CGTGGTAGGCTTGAGTTGATAAAATCGGTGCAAGTTGTAAACCGGTAAATTGGTCGTTTACAGGCAAATTGGATGGTTCCAACCACCCAATGGGACTCCCGAACGATATTAGGGACCATATATGGTAAAAATTTCGACAATTTTTATTTTCGGGGGAAAAAAGGTCAAAAATTTCAAAATTGAAAGCTAATATCCACGCTTTTTGAGAAATTTTGAAGGATTCAGGGCCCGGTGTCGAAAAGTCTTGATATTCTAAGGGATACATCTCGGGGTCATTTAATGTCGTTTGAAACATATATGGTCATTATTTGTTATCATAAATGTTCGTCGTATGCTTGAGTTAATGAAATCGGTGCAAGTTATAAACTGGTAAATAAGCCATTTAAAGGTAAATTGGATGGTTCCACCCACCCAATTAGACTCCCGAAGGATATTAGGGACCATGGTAAACATTTTGGCAATTATTATTTCCGGGCGATAAAAAGTCTAAAAATTCCAAAATTAAAGGCTAATATCCACGCTTTTTGAGAAATTTTGGAGGTTTCGGGGCCCGGTAACGAAAAGCCTTGAGATTCTAGGGAATACATCTCGGGGTCATATAATGTCGTTTGGAACCATATATATAATCACTATTTATTGTCATAAATGTTTGTGGTAGGCTTGAGTTAATGAAATCGTTGCAAGTTGTAAACCGGTAAATTTGTCGTTTAAAGGCAAATTGGATGGTTCCACCCACCCAATTGGAATACCGGAGGGTATTAAGGACCATGGTAAACATTTCGACAATTTTTAATTCTGGCGAAAAAAAGTAAAAAATTTCAAAAATTGAATGCTAATGTCCATGTTTCTTTAGAAATATTGGAGGTTTCGGGGCCCGATGTTGCAAAGTCTTGAGATTTTAGGGAATACATCTGGGGGTCATATAATGCCGTTTTGGAGTTTTCGGGTAGAGCTGTCAATTCTGGTAAACGGGTCGGGTTTGAGTTGGTAAGAGTGAGTCGGGTCAACTTGGGTCGGGTCAGGTCAATTCAAATTAATTCCATAACCTATGCATGTCGGGTTTTTGTTGGGTCATGCTTGAGTCGGGTCACGTCGGGTTATACTTCTTGTCGGGTTTAGGTCGGTTAATAATAGGTCGGGTTACATTCGGGTCAGGTAAATAGTAGGTTGGGTTAATAACAGGTCGGGTTATATTCGGGTCTCGCATACTCGGGTCAACACAGGTATAGGATTGGTTTCAGGTCGGATTTGGGTCACCATTTTTTCGAATTCAGATGGGTCGGTTAATAATCGGGTTTGAGTCGGTATTTCGAGTCGGGTCAACTTTTGAAAGCTCTAGTTGGGTTAAGGATGAATGGATTGATGAGGTAATGACCGGGTAAGATAATGAAAAAATAAATAAAAAAGAGATAGCATGCATGTACTCAATATATATATATATATATATATATATATATATATATATATATATATATATATATATATATATATATATATATATATATATATACGGGAGGGTTCCGCTAAAAACAGGGCTTATGGTGAAAACTAAAAACAGCAAATCTCAGCCATTGATTATTAATGATATAATCTAACGGTTGAAATACAAGGTACACAAAATCTTAGCAAATTTCAGCAAATCCTCTGTTAATTTTGCTGAAAAACGCAAAATCTCAGCAAATTTCAGCAAATCCTCTTTTCATCTCATTATCAAATCGTCAATTCCTCAATTCGTCAATCTTTAGGGCTACTTTGATTATTTACTCCCAAAATTGAGGGCTCGTGATTCTTCAATAATTTGGGGCTTCCTCAATAATCTTAGTAAGTGTTCTTCATTCTTTAATTTCTGTTTTTAGCTGAATTTCTAGTTGATTGCGGCTTACTATACCGATATAACTGTGATTATTTCCTTGTATATAAGCTGAATTTCTTGAATTTCTATTTGATTGCTCTGTTTTTTAGTTTCAATCTCATCAACTTGTAGTTTCAATCCTCATCAACAATATGCTCTTTTTTCGTTTTTGTATAAATATTTGCAATATATATATATTTTTTTTATATTAAAGTTTTTTTTTCCTGGATATATGATATTAAACACTAGGAGAAATTGTTGCACATAAGGTGTTTGTGTATTTGCTTAAATGACTAACACCTTGCTTAATACCATATAGTAACTCTTTTTTATGATACCATAACCATATATTTTAGACTGTTTTTGTTGGTGTCCAGTTAGTTTCAATCTCATCAACTTGTAGTTTCAATCCTCATCAACAATATGCTCTTTTTTCGTTTTTGTATAAATATTTGCAATATATATATATTTTTTTTATATTAAAGTTTTTTTTTCCTGGATATATGATATTAAACACTAGGAGAAATTGTTGCACATAAGGTGTTTGTGTATTTGCTTAAATGACTAACACCTTGCTTAATACCATATAGTAACTCTTTTTTATGATACCATAACCATATATTTTAGACTGTTTTTGTTGGTGTCCAGTTAGTTGCACCATGGAATGGATTATTTTATTATAGTACCCATTTTAAACCATATATTTGATATTATATGCAGACAATGCAAGAGGAGTCAGAAGAAGGTAGTTGCTCAAATACATCTACAACTACCAATGTTGCTGAAAACTTACCGTCACTAAAGGGCCCAAGTGTGTGTTACACTCCCAGAGGAACAAAAGAGTTTATACCGTGTTGTCCCCCTGAACTAAAGCCTACACTTGGTATGCTTTTTGATTCCTTACTTAAAGGTGTTGATTTTTATAAGCAATATGCTAGATTTGGTGGGTTTGTGGTAAGACTAGGTACTGAAAAGAGAATTAAAGATAGTGATAAAGTCTACTTGAAATATTTACATTGTAATAAACAAGGGTTTACGAAGGATGGTGAAACTAAAGCAAAAGTTTCTAACAAAGATAAAAATCCTAAAGCTAGAAAAAGAACCATAAATCGTGTTGGATGTAATGCAATGATTGGGTTTAGAGAACGTTCAGATGGAAAATGGATGGTTTATGTCTTTCATGAATCTCATAGCCACAATCTTGCTTCTCCCAACACAATGAATTTTTTGGCAAATGTTGGAAACCTTAAACTTGGCCAGAAAAAATTCATTTTTGACAACTCTAGATTGAACATTGGTCCAAACAAGTCTTATAAGTTGATGAAAGAACATCTTGGTAGCTATGATAATATAGGTGCAACATTGAATGATTTCAAGAACTTTAATCGAGACTTGAAAGCTTACATACAAGAGAAAGATGCTTCGATGTTTATAAACAATTTGAAAGAAAAAGCTGAAAACAGTGAAGGTGCCTTTTTCTTTGAGCATTGTATGGATGAACATCAACGCTTGACAAGAGTATTTTGGGCAGATGCAATTAGTAGAAAAAATTATTCGTTGTTCTGTGATATGATTACATTTGATACAACATTTGACACCAACAAATACTCTATGGTTTTTGCCCCATTTACGGGTGTTGATCACCATGGTAAGTGTGTGACTTTTGGGATAGGCTTACTTGCAAAGGAGGATATTGAATCCTTTGAATGGTTATTTGAAACTTTCTTAAAGGCAATGAATAACTGTCAGCCTACCTGTATCATGACAGATCAAGACCCTGCGATGAAAGTGGCAATTGAAAAAGTTCTTGATAAGGCAAAACATAGGTTTTGTATGTGGCACATTATGAAAAAAGTGCCACAAAAGGTAGGGCCCAAATTATGCTTAGAAACTGATTTTCTTCATAAACTAAACTCTGTTGTGTGGAATAGAGACCTTGAACCAGAAGAATTTGAAATTGGTTGGCAGTCTGTGATGTCTGAATTTGATTTAGTGAATGAAGATTGGTTCAAAAATATGTATAATATAAGGAATATGTGGATTCCTTCCTACTTTCGTGACCTTTTTATGGGTGGGATTTTAAGGTCAACTCAAAGATCAGAGAGTGAAAATAGCTTTTTCACTAATTTCACCAATCAGCATTTGTTATTGGTTGAGTTGTGGTTTCGCTATGAATCTGCAATCGATGCTCAAAGGCACACACAAGACAAGTTGAATGCTACTTCAAAAACTACACATCCCCAACTTGTCACCCCCCTTTACTTGGAAAAGCATGCTGCATTTGCTTACACTCATAATGTATTTTACATATTCCAAAAGGAATTCAAGCATGCTTTGTACAATTGTGGTATAAGTAATGTTACCATCAAAGAAGAAGAAGGGATTGAGCAATATAGAATTGTTGACAACACAAGGAAAAAAAGCTATCATGTCACATATGTTTTGTGTTCTAATGATGCTTCATGCTCTTGTAAAATGTTTGAATCTGTTGGAATATTATGTCGTCACATTCTCTTTGTCATGAAAGGAAAGTTCTTATTTGAGATTCCAAGGCAATATGTTTTACATCGTTGGACTAAAGAAGCTATGAAGAAACCAATTTTTGGCTTAAACAACTTGCTTGATGGGGCAGAGAAGGATAAGAAGCAAAAGCTAGTTGGTGATTTATGGTGCAGGTTTTTTTCATGTGTAAGTCTTTGTGAGGAGAAAGTTGAATGCCTAGAGTCATTGTTGTCTAAGCTAATATCTTTTGAAAATGAGATGAAAGACTTGGATTCTATAAGTCCAGTTGATAAACGTGAGGCAAAAAATAAACACATCGAATTATTTGTTGGATCTAATGACATAGTTGTTGATATTCTTCCTCCAAACAAGTCTTCCAACAAAGGTAGTGGTAGTGGAAAAAGGAAAAAATCTGACAAAGAGATAGCTATTGAGGAAAGCCAAAGGAAAGATAGACTTTGTAGAACTTGTGGTCAGAGAACAAACCATGATAGTCGGAATTGTCCGCAAAAAAAATCCAACTTGAATGAGGTATTTTTGTAGAAAAAAATAAATAAATTTTGTACTATGTTTACTTCCCACTAGATTTTCACTTTATATATGTTCGTGTACATGATTTCAGGATTTCAAAGAAGAGTAAAAAGGCTGCAAAACCACTTCATATTTACAAGAAGCAACATCGGCTACTGACAGCCTAGTGCTGAAATAGAGGAGATGAGAGGAAAGAAAGAACATAGTGCTATAGTGCCCTTTTTATTGATATAGTGATTGTTATTGTTTCACATATATTAAACAGGGACCTTTTATTGCTCAAATTTTATTGATAGGGTGACCTTTTATTGTTAAACTTTTTATTGACCTTTATATTGTTATTTTGATGTAGTGACATATTGGCATATGATAACTTCAATTTATATTATAGTATGTGTTTTTAACGTCATAGTGACTTTTTTTCATCGTATTGACACCTTATTCCGTGATAACCTTTTTAGTGATATAATGACCTTTATTATGATATAACAACCGTATAAAAAATACTCACATTTTAACAATTCTTCTAATCCACATCGATTAAGCCAATACAAAGTTAGGGAAGGAGGGGCTCGTTCTTTTAATTGATATACTAAATGAATAGCTTAAGAATAGATTAATATAAATACGACACTTTTACCTAACACATTGAACTAATAACATTTTAAATACATAGTGACCTTATAATATAGAAACCTTTTAAATAACATAGATACCTTTTTAAATACATAGTGACCTTATCATATAGAAACCTTTTTAAATAACATAGGTACCATTTTTTTATAACATAGGCGCCAAATTTATAACTAATATATATTTCACTAAACTTTCTTGAATGTCAATTAAAGATTACATATCAAAAGAACTACCAATACCACCAATTCAAAAGCTTTGTATGAACTGGAATCATATCATATTGTTCTATATTAACACTTATACAATTTTGTCAGATTATCCATTTGTTGATGCAAACTACATCATTACATTAGATTTCCTACTTCTGTGCAAAATACAAATACTTCCGAGCAAAAAACTTCATCCACATATTCGTTAGTCTGCCTATACTTTCTTTTCCTTTTTACCTTGCTTTGTTTTCTTCTTAATCCCATCAAAAACATCTTTTGCAACTTGACTCCTTATTAATCTGAATTCAGATAGCTTTTCAAGAACTTCATCTCTGACAATGTTCATATCAGATAATACCAGAGTAGCAGCAATCTGAGCTCTCAATGTCCGTCTAGTTGAAACCTAAATTTAAGCAAAAATTAGAATAAAAAAGCTAGTTAAATTCCATGGAGGAAATAGTTAATATAATAAAAATTGAAAGCCAAATAAAAAAAATGAGACGAGATAACCGTTTTCAAAACATTGCAGTCGAACACATCAGCTCCATCAAAGTAAAGCATGCTGACCATAGTATAAATGCCACTATCATTATTCTTCTGTTTTCCAGACTTCCAATTTACAGAAGGTGACTCCAAAGTATACTCAATCATGTTCTTCACTGAGTCATTACTTTGAGGAAGGCGTTGATCAAGAAAAGTACTCAGCATATCACTCTAGGCAAAATAAATTAATACTTTAGGTTCCATGAAGCATATCCTAACTAGAAAAATACAAATAAAATCCAAAATATCATATTTTTACCAGAACATCAGAGAACTTCTCAACCTCACTCATGTACTTTGTATCATAACTCATATTATCTATGAACTGAAGCTTTTCTTCCTTCAAATTCACAACAATTAGGAAAAAGTGCTCATTCAAGAGTATAGGAACAAATATCTGCAATAAATAAATAAACAACTATTAAGCTTGAAAAACTTAATATAAAAGTACTTAGTTGAAAAATGATTGTCAACATTTGCAATGTATTACCAACTCAACATTTGCAATATCAAAATCATTGCAAGGAATGAACAACCATCTTGACCAAATGTCAAATAGCTTGTCAATGTCTTGTGTGTTACTATCTGTGTTTGCAACTTTCAGTAAAAAAAGCCTAAAAAAGAACAAACATTAATAAATATTAAAAAAATTAGAAGGTAGAGTTATTTTTCTTAAATGTAATTACTTGCATTACATAGTGACTGTTTTCATTGCATAGTGAAATTAATTTATGAATCATAGTGACTGTTTTCAATACATAGTGAAATTAATTTATGAATTTTTTATAATGAACAACTACCATTATAATGATGTAGTAACTAAATAGCCGAAAGATACTTACACTTTGAGAAACACCAAAATATAGTTTTTGAGGTCCATGTGCACTACTCTTCTGGTTTTCATTAAGCAACATAGCCCAACAATCAATAATAACAGAAGATATAGCAATAGCCGGTGCACCTAATGAAAGGAATTCATTCCTTGTAATCTCAAATGGTTTGCCAAAAGATACCAACACCTCACTGTACAAGGAAATAAAAAGACACATGTATATTAACATAATCACTTATTATTAAAATTTGAAAATAAATAACAAAAAGAACAATGACATGACTTACTTGAGATCGAAACCATGATAATCACTAATGCAGTAGTCAACAAGTTCCTGGACAACTGCATCCAAAACCTTCATATCCTTATTACTTGACTTCATATATTCAGTTACATATGTAACTTTATCACCAAAGAGACTAACATCCATAGCAAGGGAGCATTTAGATTTTCCATTACTCAAAACATGCTCAAAACCTATCCTTGGAACCTCACCAACTACAACATTAATCTCTTTTGCAGGTGCACCATTATCATCAATATCATCATCATCCAAACCATTAGGCACTTTGCTTACCCAATTTACAAGAGACACAATCTCATCAACAATTTCATGAACACGAGGATTCATAAAGAATAAATCAGTTTGGGACATTGGAGGTGTCGAAGTTGAAGCATCATTAGATTTACGAGTCTGAAATAACACTTTCAACTCATTCATGTAGAAGTTAGATACCACTTCTAAATCTCTTTTCATGAGCAAAAACTTCTCATAAACTTCCTGTGAAAAAAAAATGTAGCACTTAGATTTTAATAAAATAATTTGTGACAAAAAAAAAAAAAAAAAAAAAAAAAAGAAAAAACTAAACAGACAGACAGAATTAAAGGGTAAAATACTTACATCAATAGCAATTGAACGGATTTCCTCATTAGACATTGAACTGGCAGGTAGCTCAAACTGAATAACACCCTTAACATTGCTACGGACACCTTCATAAACAACAGATTCTTTTCCAGAAGTTTGATTCACAGGAGCTTCCTTGAATTGATTACAAACAACTTGTCCATCCTCAAATTGCAACTTCTCACTCACTGGATATGTATCAAACTCAAGAATTCCACACCCAAAACCCTTGGACAACTTTTCATTTCTAATTCTATCTCTTATATCCACATCAGTCCAATGTTGAATTAAAGGTATTGTAGAATTTAACACAACATTCCTAAACCTCAATCGATGAAAATAGATAATCTCTAACATCAAAACACAACCACAAAACCATTCTATATTTCCTTCTTTGTAGCTCTTCACAGCTTCACAAAGTCTATCTAAGACATATTTTGACCAATTATAAATTCTTATTTGATTAACATCAACCAAACATTTTACAATTCTCAAATCCACAGTTCTGTTGGACGTAGGTGCTAAAAAACTTGAAAAAGCATGCATGATAAAAAGCTGTCTGAATTCTTCCCCACCATCTACTAGTAAAGGGATCTTAGATTCCAAAAAACCCAAAGGAATCTGATCATTCTCACCCATAAGACCAAAATGAGACCTCCATTTAACCTTTAAATCATAATCAGGGTTGATGACATTAGCACAACGAGAAATTTCTTCAACTTTCTTAGATGTTTTGCAAGGAAGGCAAAAAACATCATACACATCAAATTCAGTCACAACAAAATCTTTTTTACCATCAATAGTAAACATGCAGCTACCATGATCAAAACAATCTACCAACCATGATAGCATATCAGTTGCAGTTCGTTTCACCTTCAAAGATAACAAACCTCCAAAGCCAATTTCTTTAACAGCCTTGATTTGATCATCTGAAAAAGTTTTAATCATCTCTACTAAATGAAATGGCCTGCAACGTGTTTTAAATCCTCGTTGCACCCTGTAACAAGACATACGAAAAGATAAACAAAAGAAACCAAAATAGTAGCCTCTTTTTATAGCATAGTGACCTTTTTTTTAAACAAAACTTCAAAAAAAAGAAACAAATATTCACTTACATATGTACATCACTATCTATGATTGCAGATTCTTGCCTATGAATCACAATGTTCTTATCCTTATTTGCCTTCACTTTCTTCACTTTAAGACCTTCATTTTCATCCAACTTTCTCTTCTTAGCTGGCAAAACAATAGCATGTGAAGAAGAAGACTTATTCCCCTTCTTTCCTTCCATCACAGTTGACAAAGGTATAGCATTCTCAATGTTAGAAGGTTTCTTTTTCTTAGTGATAGCTTTCTTTTTCAATCCTTTTTCAATACAAGCATCTTTATCTCTGTTAGTATCATCATCGATCATTTTGCTTCCACCATCAATATGCTCTTCATCTTCATGATCGAGATTGATACATGCTAAAAACACGCAAGCATATAGTTATATATACAATTATCTTCATTTTAATCTAGCAAACAATTATAATATAGCAAACTAATAACTTAAAAATAATAATCATTGTCATTGATATAGTGACCTTTTTCAGTTACATAGGGAACTAATAATATAGTAACTTTTATATTAATATAGGGACCTACATTCTATAGTATTAGGAGACTATCATAATACAGCAACTAGTATATTAAGGTTAATAATCCAAAAATCAAACATTCATCATACCTCCTGTATCTTTCAATTTAACTCCTCCTGTTGAGCTACGAAGGCCTCTCCTTTTTTTAAAAGTAGCACCACCTCTAGTTCTCACCATAGTTATAAAATCTAATCCAAATCGAATGAAAATCCTTGTTGCACCCTGTAACAAGACATACAAAAAGATAAACAAAAGAAACCAAAGTAGTTGCCTCTTTTTATGGCATAGTGACCTTTTTTTAAAACAAAACTTCAAAAATAACATAGTCCAACACCCCTCCAAAAAGATTCAGTTTATTTTGGTTTGGTTTAGAACAAGTTCAGGTCATATTCATATTTATGTCTTTTGACAACCAATTTGTTTACGAATAAAAAAATCAATTCAAGTCAGGTCAGGGCAGTGAAAATCAGATCAAACTAAGGTATCCAAATCCTCGAATTCTGGCTACCTTGATTCAAGTTCAAAACAGGCCTAATTCAGAAATTTTGAAGCAAAATCCAGTACAGAGTCAAATTAACCATGCACATATGTCAGACTAGAAGTACACTTTTCAACAGTCAAGAAAGTCATGTAGATGTCGATTTAGCATGATCAGAAGCAATCTATCACAAATCCACCCCAGATGTTTGTTCCTGGGTTAGTCGCTTAAGCAATCTGCTCAACACCAAAAATCGGACATATAGAATCAAAGTCAGTATCTTAAACCAGGAAGCATTCTTCATACTTTATGTTCTTTCTTTCTTTCTTTCTTTCTACGGTTGATGTGGAAAGAGTCTTTGCATCAATATCACAAACACCAGAAAATTTATCTAAGTGCAAAAGGCAAATAATTCATGTAGGAACCTAATGACATTTGATGCAGCTGAAACCACTTCAAATCACAAATAAGAAAAGACAGGTTGTAAGAGAGAAACACAACAGCATCAAGGAACACCAATGCAACCAAGGCAGTTAGTCCATCTCCAAACATGTCACCATGTTGGTCAGGTCTCAATTCCAGATCATCATTAGCAAGAGATTGATGACCATTCCTGTTGCCTACACCAAACGGAACACGGGAAAATACAAATCGAGTTGGACACCAAGTGGAAGCAGGAACCAGTGTAGCTAATTTATGTCTCCAAACTCTCACTAATTCACTCACAAATTCACTAAAAACACTTCAAATTACTCAAAATTCGAATTAACTACTCCAAACTCTCACTAATTCACTCACAAATCCACTAAAAACATTTCAAATTACTCAAAATTCGAATTAACTACTCCAAACTCTCCCGAATTCACTCACAAATCCACTAAAAACACTTCAAATTACTCAAAATTCGAATTAACTACTCCAAACTCTCCCGAATTCACTCACAAATCCACTAAAAACACTTCAAATTACTCAAAATTCAAATTAACTACTCCAAACACAAACACACACACACAATTCGCATTTTAGCTATTCGCATTCCTAACAGGCATTAATTCGAAATCAAAATCCACAAAAATCAGCTAAACTCGAAATCAACAAAAACAAAATTATGCTCAACAAAAATCGTGTTACTAAGAAGATGAAGAAGAACAACAAAAGCAGAATTTCGAGCAAAAATACACATAAAAACCTAGTTTACTTAAATTAAGAAAAATTAAACAAAATACATTTAAAAAATACTTCTACTAAAACGAAACTTAAGTTGAAATTCAAAAAATAAAATCAAATCGAAAAAATAAAATAAAAAAACATGCAAAATTACAAAATTAAACAAAAATCATACACGAAAAACATAATAGACATTAAATTTTCGGTTGAATCTACAAAAAAGTACTCATGAAATTCCAGCAAACAAAATTTCAGAAACCTAATAACCTCAAATCGTGCAAAAATAGCGAAATTACCACAAAGAACTCACCTGATAATAGATCGTAGAGCTGAGAAATTGCTAAAAATCAAAGTAATTGAAGCGGTGTTGCTGAAGGAGTTCGCTGATGGTAATTGAAGCGGTGTTGCTGAAGGAGTTCTCTAATGTCGAGAAATTAGGAGAGAGAAAGTGAAGAGAGAAGGAAGAGGAGGAAGAAAATAACAGAGGAAAGAGAAAGTGTTTTCGCGGGAGGAGAGAGAAAATTAGGATATATATACATTAAATATCATCCGTTAGATTATAATCTACGGCTGGGATTAATTGTTTTCATGTTTTCACCCTAAGACTTGTTTTTACATGATCCTAATCCTATATATATATATATATATATATATATATATATATATATATATATATATATATATATATATATATATATATATATATATATATATATATATATATAGCGTTATGTTATACTTCATATTACTGTTATACGAAGTATTTTGTATATGATTTCATTGGTTAATATTTTAATGGCTGGATATATATTTGTCTTTTATCTTCCTTACTATCAAATCAACAGATCATTTGACAATAGATACAATAAAAATGTTGTTTGTATTGATAAGGTATAAAACATATTCCTGGGCCTCAACCATTATCTTAAGTTTTTGGTTGAGATGGTCTTCTAACATGGTATCAGTCTATCAAAGCCAACGTGACATAGAGATCACGGGTTCGAATCTCATCCACCCCTCCTTCAAAGTGGAATTAATTCGCGCCAGGTATGGGTGGGAACATGGCCTCAACTATTAATTTAAGCTTTTGATTGAGTTGTTCCTCTAACATATATATTGGTATAATGTTTTTCATATACAAAGTATAACTTTTTTTTTAATGGTCACTACTTTACTTTTGATTGATCATTGACACAAATATACTTTATTGTGATTTCGTGAATAAAATATAATTGTATTAACTATTAACTATTATATATATCACATATTTATTGACTATGTTAATTATACCTTTACCTAATATTTTGATCTTCTGTTTAGCCATGCATGGGGCAAATTTGATCACCACTAAAGAATCCCTAATACCACTAATAACTAAAGAATTTGATAAAGAATACCACTTTGATTAAAGTATTTCACTATGAACGAAAACAGCATATTTGATCGATCTTTCCTCATTTGATGGGGCAAATTTGATCATTGATCAAGAAAAAAGGTAGTCTACAATATTATTATATGGATCTACATAAATGTTTATAGAAAAGTACGGACGTATAAAATTATAAATTATTCAATTAAATTATTCAATGTAACGTATGTAAAAGGGTCGGAATAATTTAATATATTTGTTTATGGTTAATAATTTACTTTAGTGGCAAGATTGCTTCATAAAATTAGTCAATGAAGATTTAGCTATGACCTTGTTCTCTTCACTTGAAACAAGAAGATCTGGTTTGAGTTTGATTTGATAAAACTTTGACCAAACGGATAATAAAATACCCATATAAATAAATTAATTAATATAGTAGTATTCTCACAACTAACTTCAATTTGGTCCATCTTATCAAATCATGCTCTTCAATCTTCAGTCACAAGTCATAAACCTAACCTATTAGTCCCATTTAAAACATCTAGCTAATCAATAAGCTTTTTTAAGGGGAATCTAACCAATAAGCTTAAAACAAACGGAATATAAATTCACAATATGTTTACTTTTTGAAATAATAATGCTATTGGAACGTAGAAATCCGCCTTGATTACACAATATAGCATAATATCGTTGTTGATAACAAAGAATTATGCTCCACTATTTTTATAGTGATAATATACTATTTATACAATTAATTAAAATGCATGATAATGGAGAATAAGTTGGACGAGACTAGGTTAAGGCCGATCGAGACGGCCGCATAAAAGGGTGAAAAATGCTAGCTTGTAGAATCTGTTACGGTATGTACATAACATGCGAATACCGTGCACAATTAAACATATGACTCCGTTTAAAACTAAATGTAACATTTTGATTGATATAATTACTACTCTAAGGTCTCTAACATACAAATTTGGCCATTAACATATATTGAAATTTATCTAATAAACATTACATAATACGAAGTATTAATATTTATTTTTACAATTTGTTAAAAAAACTAAATTTATCTCTAAATTGGCTTGCAGAGGAATATGCACAATGAGCACCGTACATACCCTCCAAAATGACGTAATATTATACATAAAACACTTAAATGAATAATGCGCATTCCACTCAATGAACATCATGAAGATAACCAATGAACATGTTTGAAGATGAATATTATTAATAATATAATACTCCGTATATCGAATTGATAAGACCTTTTTGTGAAATCACTAATGTACTCCCGATCCGTATATTAGTGTGCAAATTTTAATAAAAGTATAGAATTTGCTATTAAAAAAAAAAAAAAAAAAAAAAAAAAAAAAAAAAGTATAGAATAATCATGACATCATATTATACCCAAAAAAAGTGTAAAAAAAAAAATCATGGAACTGCTTGAAATTCTTTGTGCCACCTGACAGCTCCACGAGGAGTACCAAGAATTTTAGCCGATCCATGAAATATTTTTGGGAAATTTTACATTATAACCCGCTACTTTTTAAAATTCTATGTTGTGCCCCTAGTTTTTGAAACTTCTATACTGTAACCTTAAGGTCTCATTGGTAACTTTGTTGTAACCTTGCCGTTAAGTGTCCATTAATAAAGTTCTGTTATCCCAAAAAAATTAAAAAAAAAAAAACCAAAATCACCAATCCAACCACCCACAACCCCTCGAACGTCGGACGCCGCTCAGACCCCCTTTCCCTCCCTTGGGGACTGCACCGCCCCGATGACCCTCCCATTTCCCCGTAAAACCACTCGTAACCCCTCCCCCTCGAAAAAACACCTTAAATAACCTCCAATCGCCGGAAATCAACGAGCCGCCATCTCCCTTCACCGCAGCCGTAGCCTCCGCTGTTGTTCCTTTTCTCTCTCTCCGCTCTAGCCTCCTACTGCCGGAAATTGAAAGTTAGGGTTAGGGTTTGGGATTTGGGGGTTGGAATTTGAGAGATTTTGTTGAATTTCGTGGTGGGTGATTCAAAGGGGAAAGGGGAGGTGGTTGGGGCAACGCGAATGTCGGGGGAGGGGAAGAAATCTAGGCGGCCGACGCTCCGGGGGAAGGGTGGTGGGATGGCGGTGGCAGCGGGCTGACCATGGGGTGGTTTTGGTGTTTTGAATTTTTTTTTTTATATACTTCATTTATTTATTTATTTAATTAAATAAAATTTTTATGTCTAACGGAACTATATTAAAGGTGATTTAGCATCAAGGGTACAACAAAGTTACTTACTATACCTTGGGGTTACAGTGTAGAAGTTTCAAAAAGTAGGGGCACAGCGTAGAATTTCAAAAAGTAGCGAGTTATAATGTAGAATTTCCCAATATTTTTAGTGCCACCACATGATTATTCCTTGTTTTCAAAAAGGAAAAATGGAGAACAAGCAATAGTTCATGTGTACGTTGATGAGATATCATACTACCTCCGTTACAGGTTATATGCAACAATTTGACATAAAACAGAGAAGGAGGTAGTAGTTGACAAGTGAAAGTGTTAGGAGAGATGACAAGTGAGCCAGATGAAGCATTCACTATGAAAGTGCTAGGAGAGATGAGATTTCCTGTCTTGACATTTCAAGGAATGAAGAGAGGGATTATGTTGAATCAAAGGAAATTTATCCTCGACACTACTTGTATGCAGGGATGTAAACCAGCAAAATTTCGCTTTCTTAAGGGAATAAAACTCTATTCAAGAGTGAGAGATTGTTGAAGAACCAGAAACATATACTCGTAGTCGTAGAAATAGGTCAGCAACCACAATAATGTGGCACACCAAAGAAAAGAATTACAAAGTACTAAATACTAATACAAGTCTTGGCTTCAAGATTGGACTCATCTCTCAAAAAACCTCCAATTCCATAAAAGGGGGAGGAAGCAGATACATGAAATGTATTACGTCCTGCCTATGACATTATTGTAAATTTGTAATTATTTACTGTTATTGTATATAACACGGGTTATACAGTTTAGATACATACAAACTTACAAGCCAAAAATGGTAACTTTCTCGAAATTTCTCTTGGATACAGTGGCAGACATTCGCCGGACTACAAACTTCCAACAGTTTGTAACCGAGTGAAAACTACCACTCTCTTACCCATGTACATAGGAAACGCAAATTACAGATTAAATTTTACAGGATAAATAAGAAGGGAATAAGTGTGATACAGAGGTGGGAAAGATGTGGAGGAGTATGCCAAAAGAGCTCTCAAGGTGCTTGGCGGAAAGAGAGCTTGCTTGGTGAATCGATTCTCACAATAACTTCATCTTCACCACCAGATTCAGAGCTTGAATCATCTACTACACGACTTGGGTGCCTACTATGTGTTTGAGGAAGAAGCTCTTCTCTCATAACATCTTCTCCAAGTCTCTTCCTAACAGTATTTGATCCTTCTGATTTTACTGAAGTGAGAGGACGTTGTTTCTGGCCGATAGGAACTTGAGGATATGAACGGACATGTGAAGGATTACCCAAGCTATACCCTTGAAAACTAAGCCCTCGCAGAGGAACATCTCTTGCCTATAAAATTGTCAAGGATAAAAAAACCGAGGCATCAGTACATAATCCTCTTTTATAAGGCAAAGATCAAAGTAATCGCTTTATAGTTTGTCTCAAAGAACATAACACATGCAACATCAAAGAGAGCTATGTAAAAACAAAAAAAAAAAAAAAAAAAAAAAAACTGCGCGAGCGCGCGCGCACACACACACACATATATATATATATATATATAAATGAAAAAAAAAAGGTAAAAGAATGATATTAAGAAGCATATTAAAACAGTACCAAAGCTAGGGCAAACTTTTAGGGCAGATGACAAAAAAGGGAGGTTTTTCAATAGCAATACTACTACACAGGAGGAAGTTAATGAAAGCATAATAGCTACTAAAGAAAATTTCTAGGCAACCCCTGTTAAATATGCTTCAAAAATAAATATGCTTTGGTCAAATTAATTACTGACCTCTCTGATTTATTTTCTATATTCAAGCTTTAGTTAGTAAGCCAACATTGTTAGTGGCATTAACACTACTAGCATGATTTTGTTAGTGGGATAAATGGTTCCTATGTTAATAGCACTTAGTACTCCACAATTATTAGTTGGCACTTTCTTCTAATTTCATTTAAGATGAATGCAGTAATATTTCCTCGGTAAATTTCAATATTTTGCTTTCTTATTTCCAACAACCCTGAGGTCTAGTAAAATGCTCAAATTAACTGTTTTTGCAGACACATGATGTAACATGAGGTTATGTTTTCTCACAAATGACCTTAATGATGATGTAAGCTTCATTCTTGTTTTCCTCTCCTCTTCTTCTTGTCGTGTTATTAATTTAACAGTAAAAGATACCTCACTTAATTTTCCTAACCAACACAAGCAAACATATGGAAAACAAAAACCAAACCCGAAAATTCCCTTCCCCCACTCCCTCCGCTCAACTGACTCACCCTCCCCTCCCCTATTTTTGGAATATATAACTTCACTGTACCCATAGGCAACATACAAAGTTCTCCACTCAGAATCATACAAATTAAACATATAAATCTGAACACTTCTCTTTTTGCAAGCACTCTAAATACAATCTTAATCTATACATGCATGTATACTCACCAGTCACCACTAGAAAAACAAAACCAAGTGACCAAACGAATTTGATAAGGGAAAACAATTTGACAAGACAGACATTCACTACTTAAGAAGTTAAGAGAACAAATTATGAATAATCCAAAAGAATGTAATAAGGCATGACACAATGAACATGGAGACAAGTGGGAAGAAAGAACTTTCTTTGATTGATGGATTAAGAAAAGTAGATGACGATGATTTTGAGGACGTGAACATCCTCCTCTACTTAGCAATGCAGACAGGCAGATATCACACACTTGATTCTCTTACAAATGAGGAACTTAGAAAGTGATATTTCATCCCCACAAAATTTAGTGGCAGCAGTAGGGAAAGGGGGAATTTTGGTAAAACCGACCACAAACTTAGCAGCATATACAAAGCAAGTTTAAATGCTTAAAACACCTCAACAAACAAGGGTAAGAAGGGAATTCTTTGATAGGGATCCAATAGGACAAAAGGAAAAATAAAAGAAAATTCCCATTTTGAAAAAAAAAATAATTGTTAACATTGACATAGAAAAAAAAAAAAAAAAAAAAAAAGAGGATATGGCATCACTGTTGTACAGACAAATCATACAGAGAAGGGAAGAAAATGAGCGCACCTTCCCCTCCATCATTATCACTATGGTCAAATTTGGGAAGACATTGTAACCTAACAGTTATCATGTATCGGCAAAGGCAAGGCACAGGGTCAATTTGAGTATTTTGCTTGAACTTAGGGACTATTCAGAGAGTTGAAGTGGATTATTTGAATTCAGTAGAATAGTAGATAAATGATATGAAGTAAAAAGCTCAAACAAGAGGCCAGGAATAAGAAGCTCAAATTTCTTTTTCGACTAAAGGCAGCTTAAGAAAATAGTTGGGCTGGAATCTAACAGAACAGATAGAAAATTACCGTGCTGCCATAGATGCTCAAGCGCATAGCTTTGGCTGATAAGTTTTGACTATCACCTATTTCTTGGCCGTCTGGTAGACGCTGATGTGACTTGTATTGATTCTCAGGCCAACTCAAAAGACCAGCATGATCCCTAGAATTCAGAGATCTTGAAGACTGATCATGAAGCAACAAGGAGGACTTCCGCCTCAGGAGAGTGTTATCAGCTTGTATTGGAACCATGTCAATCAAAAGGACTCTAGCTCTAGTCTCAACATAGTATGAAGCTCCCTGATGTAAAAAGCTGGTTGATTTGTATCCTAAACAAAGGCAAAAGTTAGGCATTTTGTAATTAAAATGAGGAGAAAAGGTAAAATAAAAAAAAAAATGGCTGACCAGAACCCTCTTGGCTGAGGAAGCTCGAATTTCCTTGTGCAGGCCATAAAGCTGCAGGTGATGTAATCAGTTCCTCAACAAGAGAATGGCTTTTTATAAAGCCTTCTAGTAAAAACCCTATAGAATGTGATGGGACTTCAATAGTTTCACCCCTCAGGTAGGTGTTCAATGTTGACCTCTCAGCTGTGAGCTTCCTCATATCTTGCATTGACATATTTTCAAAAACTCGAGGAAGGAGGACTTTGGCAAGCACAATAACACTTTCCTGAAATGAGTAACCAGAATGTCATCATAAGACTAGTACAAAGAATATCCTAATCTCCCACATTGGCTAGTATACAGCAAGACAAGAGATCCTCAACTTTAATCAGTTATTCCATTAAAAAGTAGATTGCTACAAGAGATCGATGATCCTCTGGAATTTTTCTAAAACCGAGAAACTTGACTTTGTTAAAGGAAAACATTCAATTAGAAACTACATATAGTGATCCTATACTTCAGTTGCCAATTGCCATGCTAGAGAAATTTTCAGAAGATAAATCTTCAGATAGCTTTTTAGTGCTCTACACATATCATTCGTTCTTTCCAGCCAATCTATTGCTGAAGATAATGTAGCTTACAATCTATGTTACTCGAGCTTGGGTAAACATGTCCAACTTCGCTATTTTGTGAAAAAAATTCATTATTTTGACACAAATTGAATTGTTGCGTCCTACTCATGTTGGAGTGCCTAGGATCCAACACATGCAATTAAGGCAAAGTAGAGTCTGAGTAACATAGCTTACAACTAAATTCCCTAAAATAATTCTTCATATGCAGGACCCACACGAGGCAATGGGTTGAATTGCAGGGTCAGTGAGTTTGCAATGAGAGTTTCTTAGCTATTAATTACAAGATCTACAAGAGAATATACAGTAAATGTTAAACAAATTACTTACGGAGTATATCCATGAAGCTTTCTCAAGTCTTGAATAGCAATCAAATAGGAAAGATTGATAAGCAATTATATAATTATGTATAACATTACATCAAGATAGACTTTTTAAAACCATATCAAGATAGACTTACAAAGAAGCTTCTTATAGAATCAGGATATTTGGGTAATCAAATATTGTGACATTTGACCCACTTAACCACTATTATACTCAGACTGGATTGAAGATGTTTACATGTTCCCTCAAAGTAAAAGCTACCCCCTCCGTCTCCTTTTGTTTGCCCGTTGGGCTAAGTCACTTTTTTAATCTTTAGTTGGGAGAAATTGATGAGAGAGAAAAGTGTTGAGACTAAATCATCAAATATAGTTTTTGTGAGAGTAAAGGCGTAGGCCCCTACAACCAAAAGTAGTATGGAGCAAACTTAGAGGGACGGACTAGAGAGACAATAGGGGCAAACATTAAGGGACAGAGGGAGATCACAAAGCCACTCAACACTAGCATTAGTATGCACATAAACTACCAGGGGCAGATAAAATGGTGCCAATCAGAAAAAATCAAGGGGGCATAATGCAGCAGATATATCATCCCAACTTCTCCCATCCACCAAAAGAACTCCAAACTTTTCATTGGAATGAGCGATAACCAGTCAACATATTTCTTCTGTTATGATCGATACAGTGACCCATGCCAGCAAGCAGAACAGAAGATCAATTAAGAGAGAATAAAACTCACAGCATACTCTTTATTTATTTTTTTGTCTTTTAATATTTATTTATTTATTTATTTTTGGTCTCAACTTATTGATAAAAGTGTAGCCTATTACAAAGCAATATTTTGCAGACAATAAGACATATATTTGTTCCGCTTGTTTTGTATACAGAAAATTGAGCTTCTGCACTCTATCACTCTAGAGAAGCAGCCACATGATTCGTTTTACATGGGTTATCTGTTTGTATTAGATTGATTTGAAAGAGCTGAAGCAAAACACTTTCAGGTTCAGATGAAATTATCTAATGTTCATCCAGATAATCTCAATCTTTGTCTTACTTTACAGCATTATACCAAAATGTATTAAAGTCACACAGATGTAGAAATAGCCACTTAGCAAAAAAAACAAAAACTCACACACACACACACACACTAATGTCCTATTAAGATACCTTCCAGAAGAAATGCTCCACTGCAGGATCTGATCCCAGAGCTGCGAGAATCTTCTCAGTTTCGATATAGAAGCAAACTGCAACAGAATCTGTAATCATATCGCAAAGATAAGGCTTTCCGATCAGCACTTCATACAGCCCCAAAGTACTTCCATGGGTAAAAGTTTGATGCAAGGCATGCTTATTCTTCCTAACCTTGCTGGCCCACTAAAAGACAAAAGATCCGTCAATTTTAGATTCTTAAATAAAATGTCCAAAACTTATCTAAAAGATACTTTTTCAATTACCTTCACCACGCCGTTTGATATAAGCCAGATCCCATTAGGCTTTCCCCCCTCCTTGTACAGCGTCATACCACGAACTTTAACTTCTTCTTTAGTAGAACCAACCAGCAGATCACGAACACCTGACGGAAGGGCTCCTAAGAAAGGATGCATGCTGATTAATTCCCCAATCTTTGGAATCTTTACAGTAGGAGGATTGCGTACAAGTCTTTTCAAGTCAGTCTGTAAGAAAGAAGTTCTTGTCAATGGCAAAGAAGCTGCAATCTTTTTATAAATGACACAATGAGGTATAAACATACCTGAACAGCATCATGAAGATGAAGCATCTCTTTCTCTTCCAGTATTCCTGCCTTCTCTAGACTCTCAATATATTCAATTAAATGTTGCAATACAGCATATGTTACTTGCCTCGTCTTAACAACTCGTAAAACCTGAAATTTACAGACCCAATTGTCAATGCCTTATCCTAGCTAGAGAGTAAAAGATTTCACAAACAGTTTGGTAGGAAATAATAAAAAGGTGATGATGGTAATGCATTTTAGAGTTATCAATTTCGCAAACAAAATGTCTCGTGTTTATGTCCACGGTAACACTGGTCCACCCCTAAAGCTCTGTTTGTTTTGAGAGAATTTTTTTCCATGAAAACGGTGTTCCCTTTTTCCATTGTATGGTTATTAAAGGCTTAAAAACAATTTCTCCCAAGGTAGAAAATGGTTTTCCCATGAGTGGAAAGCATTCTCTAAGGAACACCATATATTCCTCCCTACTCCTGACATTCCTTTCTTCTCTTCCCATCCATCCTCTCCCTTCCACTCCCATTTTCCTCTTCCTCTAGGTTATTTCATGTAATGTAACAAACAAAGGAAAACTATTTTTACAATTGCGTTTTCCCTTGTTTGCCATCAGAAAATATAGATCCTAAATATCTCTTTTACTTCTTAAAAATTTATTACCACTTCTAACGTAGTAATGGTTAGTGATGCTGAAGAATTACACAAGATTAGGGATGGAGTTGCAGTATGACGGTCAGCGAACAGAATTTTCAGGCAAAATTCAATGTAAAATAATTATCATGACGATTGGTACTCTCTACCATACCAGCTGTGAGGTAGTAAAATAATTTAGTCAATTTACTGAATGAGGTAGACAAATATAAAAATAAATAAATAAATAAATAAATAAAAAGGGTGAAGCCAGTAATAAATATATGAATAACAAAAAAAAGGGCACAACATAACCTCAGGAAAGGTAGTGCGGACATCTTCCAAAAATTTTCTTGCTTCCTCTCCTTCTGTCTCACTTTCAGTGATGACTGCAGAAGATATCTCACTGTCACCTGTATCAGAATTGGACCATTAGACAAAAGAGTATCTATGAAGGCTGTCAATACATGAATGACAAATTTGTACGTGCACTCTTTCTAGATTTGTGACTTCAAGAATAGATTTCAGCAAGTGCTTTCTCCGAAAGAACATAAATTATTTAGAGCCCACATAGGTCAAAATCATTAGGGAATCACATAAAAAGCTGCATGTCACCCATATTCATCTACAGAAATGGCTAAATAACTAGTTGATTTATTCTTTATATACTAATTATGTGATATCACCACAACTGGTTTGCTAGTCTTCATATCCTTAATTTTATTCCATAGATCAATATCACAATGGGAGAACAGGAAAATGTTAAAAGAGAAGAAAACTAGCAACATTATTTATAGGGATATCTGCCCTTTTCTACTTATTAGGTTGGTCTAGTTGTTTTCCCCTAAGAAATTCAACTTCCCTGAAGGTAACATTATAATGACCTGTCATAAAGACTTCACCATAAGATCCCTGATACTACCTTGTTTTGCATGACAGGTTCGGAGTGAGATGGGAAGAGGAGGGGGGTGGGGGCATAGAAAACATATGGTTTTCTTTGGGGAGGACAGAAAATTAATCAAATATAAATAATTACAAAGATCATATGCAGCCAAGAGCCATAAACTTCAGCTACCCCTCACGGCAAAAGAAAAGGCATCTATACAGCTCTTGCAAAATATAATACAAGAGAAAACTATGAATGGATTAGAAGATAAAAGATATACTTTTATTAGGTACACTCACCAATGAAATCATGCAGCTGGCCACGAGCAGTTCTATGAGCCCGTAAAAATGCAGCGCATATGTAACATGCAGATTCTAATCTTTCAACTGTGAAAAAAGTAACCAGCTTTTTTGGATAGATGCCTCCTTGAAGGAGCCTGTAGTATTTAGGAAAGTGAACACTATTTTTTAACCCTTTCCAATCACATAATGGCTCATGATCCACCGCATCAAGTGCTTCATCAACTGATTGCATTAATACATTTGCAGTACTTTGTGTTATCCTCCCTTCATCAAGCATCACCCAGTAAGCAGATTGAACACCTGGTTTTGCAAAATGTCATAGTCTAGTCACAAATATGGTGATATCCAAACAGGAAGCAAGTAGCAAAGTCAGATATAACAGAAATCATGATGTATGTATATACATCGCACGTCTGGTGATTCTACACGATGTGTGTTAGTCTGTATGAGCAACATGCAGGTGACTAAATGACACTCAAATACTCAATATTCAAGAAACAAACCACCATCCAAAGAGCACCCTCTCAAATTTGATAATAAATTCACTGCATTAGTACCTCCATCTGCCAGAAAGAAAATTCTTCCAACTTCACTAACATGACTAACATCAGTAAGTAGAAATTTTACTTAGTTATGTACAAGATTGCCAATTTACCATTACAGAAGATAAAAGAAAGTTCATGTAGCACATCACGGCATAAGCATAGCCAACCTGCAGATTTACTTAGGCTAAGTGGCTAACAGCAAAGAAATAATGGAAAGGGCTCATTGGAGCAATATTTTAAAGCAATATGAAGAAAACAGCATAATAACACAGATCCTGGAGAATCTCAAGTAGTCATGCTTTGTCAGTCAAGAGCTAACCAGCTTAATGGTCAAGTTTCATTCAGGAAATTAACCAAGTCTTTATTATATCCTCACATCTTCTCAAGAGAAGTGAACCTCTTAAAAATAACAGTGACAAATTCTCATTCCAGATTAGATACCAGATTAGATAAGGGAAACATCAAACATCAATAGATGCACCACTGCACTCAGTACAGGTTCAGTTCAATAAAATGTGTCAGAATTAAAAAATTTCATCTCCCTTAGTTGGTCCGTATGTAACACCCCAAAAATTCAAACCATATTTTGGGTTTGAATGTAATCTTACAATTACAACAACTTAGATAATAGTTTGAACATTTGTTGGTTTCAATTTACTAGTTTGATTTGTTTTTAGTTTCATAAGAGAATAAATTTAGCACTTGTAGCAGTAACAATCCCAAGTTATGAATGTTGATTTTCAAAACTAAATGTCGCCTTTATTACTAAAAAAAATGGTAGAGTAGCTACAATCAATTTCAATTTTCAAATACTAATAATCCACAATAACAATTTCTTTTCTTTTTCAGGATGAAATTTCTAACTAGTAAGAGTTACTTTGAGATGAAGGCCAGCATAATTGCTAAAATAACACAAGTTGGCAGAAACCATGTCATAAAAGATAAAGAGTTTGGAAACATTAAGTACCATTTAAGAGCCGTACACGCATATCTTTCAAGTTCATTGGATCCAAAAATCCATTGTCGGAAGTATCAGAAGCATCATGAGGGTGGATGCGATCCCCACTAATGGTGTTTAAGCTCTTAATATATCGTTTGACAGTGGGCCAATCAGCAGGTCCCAGTTCTTCATCTTCACCGAGATCCCCAAATGCCTCTAATGCTTTCTTTTCCATTTCGTATTTAGTAAATTCCAATATGCGTCTCTTGAAAAAGAATAATACTAGTACATTTTAAATGATGGAATTAACACCAACATTAAAGTGAAAAGTACCATAATAGCACTAACAGTAATACTAGGACGAAAAAATAAAGAAAAAAATAGATATATAAATATGGAACAAGAAGCCACAAATAGTAGCATAATAAAGTTACATTTGGTATCTGAACATCTTCTACAGACATAAAGGTTCAAGAAGATTAAAATGTTCAATACTAAGGGATCCTGAATCATTTTATTCACCCACTTAAATCAAAACGCCCAAAAATATATCAAAACAGTACGATAAACTCTATAGCAAAAGAGATTATCAAAAAGGCTAGAATTCCAAGATGGACATGACATTGTGTTAAAGATAAATTCTACTGCTTTATAAGTGGCTTTTAAAGTAATGAGAAAAAAAATACGCTAAAGGATTCAGAAAAGGTAAGTGGAAGAACCAAAGAACTGACAAGAGAGAGGAATAAGGGATCCAATTATTCCATTTTCATATTATGTTCTGAAGGTAGTGGAATGCCTTGGCCAATCCACAGCAGCTAGCACATAGTTCAATAGCAATTATGCAGATTCTGAGAGGCTTAATTTGTCTTCTTTCTTAGCTGGAGGACATGATTCGATTAAGACGAATTCTTCCATCAGATAGGATACACATTTGATTGATTCAAATCAACTTATATACTCTAAATCACAGGAAATCGTCTAAAAAAAAGTGCAAAACTAAGCTATCTAGAGGCAGTTGCAGTTGGCATCTGATAAACAGGCCTGGGCCACACCCGTCACAAGTGTCCACTTTATACAACCAAGGAGATTCCACTTCAAAAACATATGGCAATGAGGGGAGTAGCCCTTTAGCCTTATAAATTGGACACAACTTTCTTGTTTCTTCAATGTGGGATACACTTCCCAACACTTTTACACTCTTTCGATGTGGGACAACACTTTCACTTACATGTGGGTTTGCTCATAGGCTCAACAGCATCAATGTGCTTCCATAGTATTTTTGGAATCAGTCAATGCTATATTCTTCTACAAATTTTATTAGATTGTCAAACTTTTTATATCTTATGAGACAAAGACTCCTTAAATTTCATAGCTAGGCGCAAAAAGCAGTATGTTAAATTGGAAACAATCACCAGAAACTAAATTGCATGCTTCTGAAAGGACCACTCCCTAGAAAAATTAGAAACCAGTCATGACTTATGGATGCATAAATTGTAACATTTATAAGGCTATAGTAAAGGACTTTTTGGACCAATAAGAATGTGACTGAATCATACTACCACACGCAGAGTTTCTCACAGTTATCTGACACTCTGAATTACCAGACATGGAAGCCATTTAATAATTGATGCACCAAATCAACTAAATAAGATTACCTTCGCTTTTGATAACTTGTCCATCCCTAAAAACCGCAAGACAAATTGTGTGGTTGATCCATTTATGATTAGCGTCAAGAATACAATTCCGCCAGTGAAAAAAACAAACTGCATCCACAAATCAAAACAATAAGCACTAAGAAGACTAAGTACACATATAAATCTTAGTTCCATAGAATACACAGGATCCTCTATCGCATGATATGTAAATCATCTTGGTTTATCAGGTTCATACCAGTGTTCCAGTCTGCGTACTGAGATAAGCTGGATCGCCACTAGAACGCTGAAACATCAAATAAATAAATATTTAATTCGCAGTCAGTAAAGGAGAGCAAAATTCATGCACAGGCACACAGATAACACACACAGACAGTCACAAAAAGGGTAGAGGAGGACAGATAAAATAAAGAAGAGGGAAGAATGAGAATTTTAAATCAATAATATATTAATATGCAGTGCACTCTAAGCAAATACCTTACATTATCATCATCCAGAATAACACTGACGGTAATGAAATTGATAAAGTCCACCACTATGGTTAACCTTTTTACAATCAATGCTAGCACAGGGAACATAAAGCACCCAAAAAAAAAAAAAATCTCAATAAAGGTATTCAATCCACATCTTTACTTTTACATTATTTAAGTAATTTTTTAAAATAAAGGTAATTAATCAAATATATAAAGTAATACAACTATAATCAAAACAATATAAAAAAAATCAGAAGCATCATGGTGGCAGAATATAAAGATGTAACAAGACTTTCTAAGCGACCCAAAACACCCAAGGTTCCGTAATATACAGTAAAGTAGTTTCCGGTGGGCACTGTATTCTTTTAATTCCGCACAAAATGCACCACATTTTTTGACTATTCTATGCCAAATATTAGCTACTTAAAACAAACATCAAGCAGAATTACCATCAAACATTTGACTTACAAACACAGATCTAAAAGCCAGCTTCAACAAACAAAAAGACCTGAAAATAGCAGAGTGCAGACATCAAGCATAACAAACTGAACAGAAACATAAAAGTTGCTTAACTTACCTTTACAGATAATGAAAGAGACAATGCTACAGCTCCCCGCAACCCTGCCCATACTAAAATCATAGCTTCTTTCCATTCCATACCATAGCCAAAATAGCATAGAAATGGGTACAAAACTCCAACAACTACTCCCCGAGCAACTAGGACATATACATAAAGAAGGATCAGATAGCCCCATGCAGTACCTGAGGAGAAACAAACCGTTAGAAATGGGTATAGGGTAGACAGAAGAAATATGTTGCAAGGTAAAACCATACAAGTCTCATAATTTTAGGGCCACTAGGTCTATATTACTACTTTCTATTACAATGTCAACCTGAATTCAGTGTATCACATTCTCCTATTAGGATTAAAGGTACATAATATCACATTTATAGAGGAATCTTTAGAATTATAGACAGATATCAATAAATAACCCACAAAAAGAAATTCCCCTGCACTGTGTAACGGAAAATTTAATCTGAGCCAAACAGAATCCAAATCCCATTCTGTCCCAAATATACAACCAGACAGGAACCTGGCTACAAGCACACAACACTGCAAAAGACACCCAATTTATTGGTATGCCAATAAGAGTAACTCATCAAGAACTTTTTGGATCATATGCCTACAGAAGAAAATGAACTGTCACTTTTAAAGAACAGTCCTTTACAAATGAGCAAATGCCCATGAAAGTAACCCACAATGTATCAGGGAAGAATAATAAAATCTAAGACAAGAAAAATATCAAATCCCCTGTTTGTCCCAAAGATACAACCATTGTTCTCTGGCCTCGAGTATTAATTAATCAATCAAAACAAGCTATATTGGAGAAGCTCCACAACTTTGTGAATAAGTCCACTTGTCCAATTTGAAACAGTAGGATTGTTCAAAGAAATAAGCACCAACATAACAGCAGGTGAAATGATAACCCCCCCCCTCCCCCCTCTTCTGTATGAAAAACGCGATATAGCTCTACTAAATTTATAGGTATATCTATCATTGATGTTGCTTTATTACAACAGAATGTATTGCAAATTGGAGTTGCTGACAAAAGGGTCACAAGAAAAACTTCATATAGATTCCTCTTCTAAATTCTTTTAGAAGGTCAATGGTAGAAATAATTTTCCATGTATACTGCAAAATTATAGCTTCACCCACTTCCCTACTCATTAAAATTACTCCTATGATGAAAATACCAAGAAGTTTTGTGGCCCTCAATTAAAATTATATTTAGGACATACAATGAATGAGGTTGTCAGCCAGAATGTTAACAGAAACAGAATTGTCTCAACCCACAAATCAGTCTGAAAAAAGCTTATCTTGTCTACGAGTTGTACAAGTCATGAGAGGCATAGATGGGGCAGTTTAGTAAGCCCCCGCCTCTGATCTATAAGGCTGTGGGATTGAGTCCTTATGAGTTAAGGATAAGCCAGTGAGGTAAAATTAAACACAGTGGCCTTTGGGGGATATATAGATGGAACAAAGGGGGCCAATATTCTCTTCCCCCCCCCCCTCTCCCCCGCCACACACACACACACACTCAAAGAAAAAATATACAAATATTTACCATAAGTTATAGATTGAAGGAACAAGTTGTCTAGGAAATGAATTCTTAGAGGGTAGCAATGTGTGTGTATTGACCTACATGCATTTCACCGATTTCATTATGATTAAAATTCTTATGACCTGCTTCCATAAGGATGTAGCTCCTAAAATATACCATCAAAGTCAAGTTCAAACAAGACCACACCAACAGACAGATCAGATAGGCGACCCAATGTGTGATGCTGAATCCACTTCTCAATTCCCCTACCAGCACACCCACAGAAATATCTTTGTAACCATTTCCAATCTATTAGCCTCTTATATACAGTTTAGGGACCAAGAAGAACAGCCCGTTCACATCTTCCATTGACATATAATTTGATACAAGTTTAGATACTGAAGCATTACCATGGTTTTCAAAAATGTTATCACTGCTAAGAACACCTTGTGCTATGACAGCTCCGCTGCAAATCCATAAGAAATCGAAATAGATGAAAAGCATGCCAAGTAAAAAAAATAAAAAAAAAGTAAAAAAAATTAACAAAATAGAACAAAACATCAGAGACAAAAGTTACATATTAACCCAATTTCTTTGAATCTCCCCAATTGAGTAACTCTTTAAAACTACAGCCACCATATCTATAATGAAACATGAATTTGTTCCATAGAAATAAAGAAGACATAAGAACTTCTGGAAAGACCCTTGAATTCCACAACAGTAAAGTAATACGCAGCACTATTCGAACACTTTCAAAATAGGGCCCCCTGAAAAGGCTCAAATAATTAGTTTATGCATTTAACTGACATTCAGACACATAGAAGCCAATGGCAATAAACCTATTTATAGGACTCCATACTACCATGCATATTGTATGTACATCTGGTCGAACAAATTGCATGGTATCATAAATAGCTACTCCGGGTATTACCCACCCACCAGGAGAATTTATAAACAAATACAAATCTTTGGTATCATCCTCGATACTGAGATATACCATAAGACCAATAAGTTGATTCGAGATCTCGCTATCAACTTCTTGACCTAAAAAAAGTAATCTTTCTCGATAAAGTCGGTTGATTAGGGTAAAATTATATCCCTTAGGAACCGTACAGGCACCTTTTGATGCATACGGTTCAAACAAAATTGTGAAAAAAATCAATGTGTAGATTCTATATCCTTTTTGATTTTTCATCGAGGTTTTGCCAACTTAATAATGAATAATTAAGGGGCTCTTTTTCTATTTTTCAAGAAAGATTACTTTTTGCTCCTTTCCCGAAATTACCTAATTGCCGGTATAATAATAGAAAAAGATTTCTATAATTAAAATACAATTTAGATCAACTAGGATTAACAAAAATCACAACCTTCCTTGATCCAAATGCTAGATATCCAAATAAAGCTAGAGAATTATTTTCCCACTTTCTTAAATGCAATCAACTGGTAAATAGGTGAACTATGAAACACTTAAAAAAGAAAAGGTAATGAAACATCCACCCAATTTACACATTCTGCAGTAAATAAAACCATGTCACAGATTTTTGTATCACACACAAAGACCAACCATGACCCATGTTCATAATAATCTAAACTTGATTCCTGTACTCCATACTTATCTGAATATTATAATGGAGTTTGGGTTGCAATCCCAACATTCCTTATCCTCTTTACTATTAAGCATACCAAACATAAGATTTTCAAAAGATGCAAATAATTACCTCAAGATAAAGATCAGCGTATTGGCTATGTATGCCACCATCTCCCTGCATTGACAAGCATTACGCTTATATGTTAGGATAAATGCGGAAGGCAGGATAAGCATATAGTTCAATCAAGCAGAAAGCAAAGCCTCTGGCTTTTAAAGAGAGAGAGAGAGAGAGAGAGAGAGAGAGAGAGAGAGAGAGAGAGAGAGAGAAATCAGAAGTCCGGCAATGACTATAGGCAATCTCTTCAACCAGGCAAGTCGACACACAGATTCCATATGTATGTATACAAATGGCTAACTTGGTAAGTAATATTGTTACTCGTTTTAATCTACCAGCATGTTTACTTCAAAACAAAAACCAAAAATCTCCTTTTAAGAATTAGTAAATATAGGAGCTTGATTTATGTATGTGCATATTAAACTCTTTCACATTGGCGCATGAAGTTTAATTTGAGAAACTTTGACAACCTTGTCCACCATCAACAAAAGTGAACAAAGATCCAACTGTAGGAGCATTCAAACTGCAAACCTCCCCCCTCCCCCAACCCAATTCTCGCCTTAAAATGGAGAAAAAGAAAATCAGAAGATCTACTTTGGAAACTTCCTCAGTTTGTTCTTTTATCCTAATTTCTTAATCCCTATTTTGTTGAGGATTGGGGACCACAATGTTACCCAAGGGCAATCAATTATTTCATAGATCTCAATTATAAGAAAATGCTCAGTTTAGCACCAAAACAGTATAAAAATGAAATAACTTATCAGAATTCTTTCCTATGACTCCAACACAGAAAAAGGAGTACATCAGTGACAATTCCTCTCTAAAATATCAAATACAATAATCATTACAAGGATTTGCACATGCTGCATATAACGTATGCACTTCATTAAGCAGTAACATGAATATAAATCTTTTATTTCAGCAAAAGAAACTTTCAGATCAGCAACTAGTACTGGACCTTAGCAAGGATGAACAGATAATTAATCACTATATATATACAATTACCATTCTCAAAAGTTCGACTAACTTACTGTAGACTCTTATTTCTAGAGTTTGAGAAAAGTGAGTAGACATGAGAAAAAGATAGATAAAGCTAGAGAGATGGACTGATGGAGTAAAAGGCGGGTGGGTGAGAGAAAATGGTGGATAAAGTAAGAGATAGTGAGAGGAAAGGTGTAAATAGTGTGGGGTAAGAGGGGTAAGTAGTAAAAGGGATATCCAAATATATGAAAAAAAAAAAAGTAAAACAAGGTCCAATATTCTCTAACACCCCAATATAGAAAGTGTTCAAAAACAAGGATATGTACTCCCTCTAAATTACCAAAAGTGTGACTCACTTTATAAAAAAAAATCATTTTTGGTAAACCCCTTTTACTATCTTAACCCGCTATCTACACCTCTCCACTCAGCTTCTCTTACTTCATCCACCTTTTTCTTACAACCATTCACTTTTTATCAACTCTTCCAGAAACATGAGTCCAACTTTCAAGAATCGAGGGAGTATAAGTCGACGCAAAGGCAAAATTAATTGCAAAGACTACTCATTTAAAAGTAATGATAATAAAAATAAATAATAGTACCAAGAATAGATCAAAGGAAAAAGAAAGATAATGGATATAGAATGAAGACGCGTGAGAGTGCTAAACAGAGAGTAGCACATATAGAATATAGTATATCAGATTAGATAAAGCCCACGCAAAAAGTTTCAAACTCTAATCTAAAACGCCAAAAATTCCTATCAAAATAAGATGGTAATATACATACCAAAAATGATGCAAACTCTGTTGACTTTCACCTTTAAATGCTGTCCTAGCAGCTGCTGCATAAAACCTGCCAATCAATTGGATATAATATAGATATTTTCTTTACTGCAAAACAAATAAATAAACTGTTCAATCAAGATTACACTTACATTCCTAAAGTCATCACGGTCAAGACACCAGACACGTCAGCTCCCTCTTGAGCCTATCACATAACAAAACATGTATGGATACGTCAGATGGTTAAATGAGGGGAAGTATGCTAGCCTGAGTCAGAACAAAATCTATATGGAAATTACAGGATTTATTATTATATTTAATTGGTGACTTGAAAAGAAAAAAAAGGGGGGGGGGGGGGGGTTCAATTTTTACCATAGCAGCCATGGCACTGTTTTTCACCCTTTAATGTTTTGAGAGCCCCTACTAGTAGAATTACAAAGACTAGGAAATTTTATAAGTACCTTCTGAGGGTAACTACCTTATACTCTACAATACATATGTTTTTGGTTGTAGAATGGTACCAAATATCAGATTTGACAAGTTAACCAATATTCTAGCGCTGACCATTATCCTACTTATTTTTCGATCTTCTTCATTATCCCTCTCCTCTTAGTTCTTATTTGCTTCCCCTCTGACCCAGCTCCACCGCCTCTGGCATTCCTCTACCAAGATGACCACATCAGTCAAATACCACATTACCATCCAACACTCAACATCTATGCAGGGCAAGTCCAGCCAATTTAACTTTAGGTTAAGTATCATCATTTCTTAAATAGAGTAGCATGTTTAAATATCAAAAAAAATGTCAAATACAAATCTACAATTTGGAAACAATAAGGAATTAAACTGGAGGATGAGGAGACATATGGCTTGACATCTACGGTGCCCATTTTCAAGAGAGAAAAGGTTAAGGAGGGTAGTGAGGAGGATCAGATAATTTGTATTCTTTCAATTGCATAGTAGACATGATGGCTTCATGGTGATGAAGGGTACTAAGTAGAGATGATCAAAGCGGAAGGGGATAAGATAGTAAAAAAAAGAAGAGAAAAAAAAAATCTCATAACCAGCACATGACTGGTCAATGCCAGAGTTCAGGTCAACTCACAGGAAACAAAGATTCGGTATCCTCTTACATTAGAAGGCAGTTTCCATACAAAATCAAAAGTTAGATTCTTATTTCCTCTTGGCTAATTTAAATAAATTAAAAATAAATAAAAAAATACCCGCCTATATAGGGAGCGTTATGATATTTTTTCCTTCTAAATATATACTGATAAAACTTATTGGGTCCAACTAACCATATCACCTAGAAAAATCAGCAAATTAAACTAAACACTGTGCACCGATAATTTCCAAAATATTGAAAAAATAACATCAACTTACAGAAAAGGTACTCAACAAATAGCATAAAAGATTTAATGTCCATTCAGAAATAGCAACTTACAGTAAAATAGGCAACATAGCTCACGGCAAGGGTCAAAGTAATCTCTATTACGGTGTCATTAAAAATAAATCCGAGCCACAACACTGATGCTATTCCAAATGCAATTCCGAATCCCACACTGTCACGGAGAAAGTAAATATTGATAGTAATAAATGATCTTTCATCATAAGCTGTGCAAAAGATGTAAATAAAAAAATGCAACTTACGCTCCAAATGTAACTTGAACCAAATATTTAAGAATTGATGCCCAATTGAAGGTTCGACCAAGGATCATTTTTAAGAACAGTTGATAAACCACAATTGCAGTCCTGAAAATGGATACCAAGAAGTTCTCTTAATCTACCGATATCTGTAATCACCGTAAGCATTCAGCCACTATTTTTTTTTAAAAAAAAAAGGGAAATTCTACATTATAACCCTGAAGATTTCGAAATTCTACACTGTGTCCATGATTTTTGAAAAGTCTACACTATAACCCCAAGGTCCACTTAGTTACTCTATTGTGCCCTTGCCGTTAAGTATCCGTTAGTATGTTCCGTTATCTTGAAAAAAAAAAAATCAAAACTGCCAACCCCAGCCACCCACAGCCACCCTCTGCAACCGACAACCAGCCTTACCCTCAACCTTGACCGGCCACCGCCGCGCAGACCCCCTTCCCCTCCCCCGGTGTCGGCGCTACCCAGACCACCCTCCCCATTTCCCGTAAAATCTCGCGTACCCCTCCCCCTCCCCTCGAAAAAACCTTAAATAGCCTCCCTAATCGTCGGAAACTCGGAAAGCATCGAGCTGCACCTCTCCTCACCGCCACCGCCGCCACCGTAGCGTTCCGCTCTTATTCCTTTTCTCTCTCTCTCTCTTAGCCATAGCCTTCTGTTGCTAGAAATCGAAGGTTAACAGAAGGCTAGGGCTAGGGTTTGGAATTTGGGGGTTGGGATTTGGGAGAATTCGCTGGATTTCGTGGTGTTCGAAGGGGTAAGAGGAGGTGGTCGAGGCAGCACTGACATCGGGGGAGGGGAAGGAGTCTGGGCGGTGGCCGGCGCTCCGGGGGGAATGGGGATGGGCTGGTGGTGGCAGCAGGCTGGGCATGGTGGCAGCGGGCTGGGTGGTTTTGGTGTTTTGTTTTTTTTATTATTATTTAATTTTATTTATTTTATATTATTTTTTTTTATTTCTGTAAGCCAATCATACGTTGCTTCGTTAAAAATAACAGAACATACTAACGGAGATTTAGTGTCAAGGGTACACCAAAGTCACTAAGTGGACCTTGGGGTTATAGTGTAGACTTTTCAAAAATCATGGACACAGTGTAGAATTTCGAAATCTTCAGGGTTATAATGTAGAATTTCCCAAAAAAAAAGATAGTTGACTTTAAATTGATCTCACACAATGGTTCTAACAAAGCACATATATTCTATCAATAGAAACAAAGAATACAAATTCAAGGAAGTGAGATCACACCCATCATTCATCAAGGATTCCCCCTCAATTATAGTACTCAATTTTTTGCTTGCCCCAAGTTCTTTCAAGAGAGCTACAACAGCTACAGGATCAGTTGCACTTAGAAGTCCACCGAGCAACAATGATGTCTTCCAGCTCCAGTCATAAGGAAATGAAAGCTGCAACAAACCACATGCAGCTCATAGGTCATTCAAGTACAAAAGTTGCATACAGCACAATGTGCAGCATTGAATTGTGGATGACACACAGCTTTGTCAACTATAACCTACTTATACACATACAACTTGAGGTCAAAATTAGCAAGAGTAACAAAAATCATTATCTGCCCAGTATCAGTTTCTTACCTTTAGTGCTGCTCCAAGACAAAAGGTTGATATCAGAACACCTGGTCCAGCAAGCAGAATCATTTGAGCTGCACATCTCTACACATAAAGTGTACGAGTATGGAGAACGCAAACTTCAAGAATTTCCATAAACAAATGACTAAATACAACAACTTCACAAAATTTATGAGAGAAATAAAGAAAACTTTATTGAACCCTTATGAAAACACGTATTGATTAGTAAACGAGAACTAGCCTATATCACTAATAACAGCAACATATATGAAATAAAAAGTAAACAAAAAAAAAAAAAAAAAGATGGTTGCAACTTGCTACAGGCACATTATTTGCCGTTTCTTGATTCATATGGCATAAGAAAAGAAATCAATAAAAGAACAAAAATCAATTATGAAAATATATGTACAAAGATGCTCGTCTCTCTCAGAAAAATTTATGGCACCTCCCCACTAAAGCAATTCAGACAATCAATAATTCATCAAAATTAGACTGTCATCGAACATTCAAGGGTATTCAGACGGGTATACAATTGAAAGTAACCATGAAAGACTAATCCCCTTCTAAGTTCTAACATAAACATTTAAAACAAGATTTCACCAACAGAAAGAAAACTAATGCAATTTATGCAAAGTTCTAAATATATAGAAATCTCTAATTAAATATATAGTATATCGGAAAGTAGGTAAGTGAACCTTTATTTGGTGAATTTCCATTGAAAAGGAACTTTCAAACAGAAGGGCAGGGAGAAATACAGCCAAAAGGAGCTCTGGATCAATATTTTCCCCTGTGACATAATAACATCAGCATCAAATTTCAATAGTTTGATACACATTCAAGATCCACCAGAGAAAATGATAAAATGAACAATAGGAAGGACTTACAAATGCGGATACCATCCCCAATCCTTCCCAAACCATGCTTTGTACCATATTCTGCACAACAACCAACATTTGATATGAAAATATGTGTTCTGTTACACAATTACAGCAGGCAAAGGACTAAAATAATTGCTTGAAGCACCAACACTTGTGATCACTTCATCACTATCTACAAAAAGCATAAGGCCACTGCACTAAAGATTCCCAGTTTCATACACATACATATGAATACATTATGAAGAGAATACAAAGAGGACAGTGCAGCATATTGAAGCAAAAGAAAGGGTCTAAAAGACTTACAAGTTACAACAGTACAACAATAAGTATAGAGCTGCACATCTAAGTGAAACACACAAAAGTGGACGCACACTCATGCACAGAGAGAGAGGGGTAGATCTTCCCATCTCAGTAAAGCACACACTCAAGCACAACTAAAGTGAGTCAGAGAGACACTAAAAATATGAACATTTCAAACACATGCACGCAGACACAATTGTGGTGTCAACACTAATAGACACATAGTATGAGCCAAAACCGGGGGGACAAAAAAAAGGTTAAAATACGCAAATGTCAACTTCTCACATAATGTAATTAGAGGAAGTTCATATTGATCGGAGACGGTGCTGATTCGCAGATAGATTGATAGTTCATATTGATCTGGTGGTACTACATGTATATCAACTGCCGGACTCCAAATATGGAGTACTACTATATTTATATCAATATGGACTCTTATATCTGTTCATGGATATTCTAGCGTCATTGACCAGTGTAAGTATTCACAATTTGAAAATTAGCAATAACTAGTACTTGTATCCTTTTTCCCGTTTCCGTGCAACCTAGTCGTCAAACAACAATTTTCAACCGATTCTAATTTTTAATATTCAACTTCACACGATCAAACATAAACATTCAAATAAAAAATTCAACAATAAATCAGAAGATTTAAGCATCTACCAGCTGTTGAAAAGGCCTGAGAAGGTTCAATTCCCTCAAAAAATCAATAAAAATTACAAATACTATTTATGCAAATCAAATATTACATCTCTTTCAACTCAAATCAATATGATCATCTAATCATAATCATACAGTGAAATTCATTTCCACTTATAGAAATCAATTAATTAATCAAAACAACAAAATTTGAAAATCGAATAGTAATAATTCAACTTAAAAAACTCCTAAAATCTCGAGAGAAAAAAATCACATCCTAAATAATCGAAAAAAACAACAATGAATTGAAAATACGAAAGACGTACCTAAAGAACCAAGGCCAATACCAATGATGAGCAAAGCGACAGTATAAGGAACTCGAGTACCTCGAAGAAAGTGACGACAAGCAATCCCTAGAATTAAACTGACGCCGAAGAAGATAACGGCGTCAGTTGGAGTAGACTCAGATTCTTCCGCCATAGCAGAACCAGAAATGGTGGAGTTCGTTGGAGTGGTAGTTTCGGCTCCGACTTCCGCTAACATTAACGGAAACGGAACCGCAATTCGGTACGCAGCCATAGCCGAGGTGCTGCAATGGCGGAATAATATTGTTGAAATGGAAATTGAAGTGGAGATTGAGTGAGGAGAGAGAAAATGAAAGTCAACAAGATTTTGAGTGATTACAGTAGTGATTATTGTTAAGTTAGTACCAGGTATTGTGTTTTCTGTGAATTTTGTCAATAATTTATTGTGGGTCGTTTTCTAGTGTTGGTCATTTGTTGAGGAAAAGACAAAGTAGATGAAATGATGTGGTACATAGTTTATTAATTAAGTACTGTAATTTATTAGAGGGGCAGAGATGCTAGAAAAACTCAAATGCTACCCGGCATCTGAATATCTAATCATTTCCTAGAGTCCCACTTACTTTTGTGCTAGTCCCGGCTCTTTATGGTCGGGACTTATTCTTTATAGAGTTTTTTTTTTTTTTTTTACAAAAGATACTATTAAAGAAAAGCATAATTACAACATAATACTAACTAAAACAAGAACACTTAACAACCTACACATACTAAGTAACATTACAGGAAGATCGAAGAGAACCAAACACTGAAGTGGTCTTGCAGCAAACCAATAATTGCGAAGCCCGGACAACCATAAGAACCGAACCACATCCAAAATGTGGACCAAGAGAAGCCAAATGAACCGAAGCAGTCGAGATGGACCAAAAGCGCAGATTGCTAACACTGAAGAGAACCCAAGCTGGCATTGAAAGCGAAGGGAACTCGTGATGGAAATTGTAGAGAGACGGAAGAACCCGAAGTATGCACCTTGTTGTTGAGGAACGTACCTGTGACACCATTCCACTCCTAGGGAATGAAAAACATAACTACCTCCTAAGAGTCTGGGAACCAAACCTATAGAGTCATATAACTCAGTGACTCTATGAGAAACCGTGCATTCAAATGACGGTTCTCCTCTTGCAGTTCTACCAATGGAGAATGCAAGAAAATGGAGGACTTTGCTTAACCTAAGCATTAAAGATGGGTAGCCTCCTTCAAGATATTGTTTAACAGCGATGACTGACCTTGTCATCACCCAAACTAACAATGGGACGATAGCAACTGACTGAATGCCAATATCATCCCACAAACGAGCAACAAGACCTGCAAACCAAACTCCTCCCTCAAAACCACCCTCCTCCTGCAAACTCATATGCAGGGAAAACTATCCAACTGCGCAAATAACTTCCTCCCCTGGGGAACTAATTCAAGTACTAGGGGAACACAAGCACACCCCGACGAGACTACTAGTAGGACCACCCACCTAACGTAAAAGGGTTTACTAAATCTTACAACCCTCATAACCCACCAACAAGGCTCCAAAGACCACGACAACACTTCGATAACTTCCAAAACTTGAACTAGTCTATGATACTCTAACTCAAGACTAAGCAGAGAAAGAGAATTATTAAGCAACAACAACCCAAGCAACAAAACACGGAACTTATACAAAAACATCATAACTAAACTAAAGCAAAGCTAATAACAACTAAAAGAAACAAGCATACAAACTGGTGAAAGAACAGAGGAGAAGGCCTTGAAAACCTCAACGGCAGCAACCCCACACAACACCGCGAACACCCGTCCACGACAACACAAGAACCCCTCACTGAACCAAACCTTGGATACGCGAGGAAACCCTAACCTTAACTTCACCTTTACCGTCGGAAACTAATTAACGGAATTCCTTTCGACGGTGGCGTTAAAGCTAGCCTTTGGTTCTTGATTTGTAGAAGCAAGCCGGAAAACACTCGACGGTGAACCACTCACACGCAACCACGTCCGAAGAGGACCCCTGATTCTACACCAACTGACCAAAAAAACGAAAATTAAAAACTAGAACAGAAAATTAAAGCAAAAAGTGAAAGAGATGGCAGGGCTAGGCTCGCCGGCGACGCCTAGGCGGAGCGCTCCAATCGCCGGCGAGCAGGGGCTGAGAAATCGAAGGGTTGTGGAGGCGGTGGAAGATAAGAATGGGGGTTAAAGAGAGAAAGGGTCGAGAGAAAAGTATTTCTTTATAGAGTTTAGTACGGAGTATTGTATTATATGGATGTTCGACGTGTGACAGTGTAAGTTATGGTGAAATAGGAATTTGAAAATGGAGTTGTTGATATGTAATTGATATGGAGTATTATTGTTTTATAAAAGTTTCACAATGTCAGTATTAGCCTCTATAGTTTAGTACTGAAGTCTTTTTTTTAACAAGCATCTAAACAATATATTTAAATGGTTATTGGTCGACGTTTCATGCATCTTATATTCTTATGGCTTTGCCACTGTTAAAACCCATTGTAGTCCACTTATGAGTGTCTCACATTGGAGAAAAAGGAGATGTGGTTCCACTTTATAAGGTAGAGGAATAACTCCTACTATTGCCAATTGGTATTAGTATGGAAGCTCTAAAGCCTTGTTTGTGGACCAAACTCTCCTCCTTCTTGTTCGGGTTGCCCAGGCCCATTTCATATTGTCATTATGTCTTCGATTGAGCTCCTATCCATACACATTTTAACTAGAAGTTTTTATTATTGGATTAAGGGCCAATCAGTTAGGTGTTTCATTTTTGGAAACTTTATAGACGTTTTTAATATCTATTACAATTCGATATGTGTTGGTTTTAGGTTCTATAAATTAACCTAGAGAAAATATTCCAATTGTACAAAAACGAATAATATTGGTTAGAATTAATGAGGAAATGATATTTCAACATTTTCAATGTTTTTCAAAAAAACAAGACATTGTATAGCACTCGTACAGTCGTACTACCATAAGATCGATGTACTTATACATAGTAGTAATAATTCTTAACCCACGGATACATGCGAGATGTGCCTAACCAATCTCCAATCTCTATCAAACATTAAAGTGGGACCCACCCATGAGATCTTGTGAAGGTTGTGATTGGGATCTAGACAGATTACGACATTAGCATAATATTGTATGTGTACTTAGGAAGTACGACTGTACGAGTAGTATAAACTATAAATGATCATTTGTTTAATACTTCCTCGTTTCTTTTTTACTTGACCTTATCACACTTGTTAATGTAAAATTTTAATTATCAATAACTTTAATTCTCCATAAGTAATAAATTATAAAACTTATATATTAATATCACTTATTGAGACGAATTAAAAAAGATTCAACAACGGAGGAAGTATTAGGTTTAGTACAGTGATGGGCAATATGAAAAATATGAGATGGTGAGTAACGTACGGAATGTCATACATGTGATATCAAAATCCTACAGTATTTTTTTTTGTTTTTGTGAGGTGTTGTTTGGTTGTTATGGGAATTTACTTCCCAAAGGAATTTGTATTTCATAAGAATTAAATTCTTACTTCAAATTCATGGAAATTGCTTAAAATTGTTTGGTTAACATGAAAGAAGTTGCAAATTATGGGAATTTTGACTTACCTGGGGGGTTGGGTAATCAACTTCCCATGTTTGTAGGAAGTCACAATTTCCTTGAATTTACAATTCCCTCATTTCCACTTTTTATTGTCAACCAAACAACTCACTCATTTTCAAATTCCCATGATTTTTGACTTCCTCCATTTTCTTTGTGTAACCAAACAACCCCTGAGTAGTTGAAAACTAGCACTTGAATTGCTCAACTTAGGGCGTGTTCCGCAAAATATAGCTGTGAAAGTAGCTGTAGCTGTGGAGGTAGCTGTTAGCTGTGTAGGTAGCTGTTAGCTGTCAACAAGTTGTTAGCTGTGAAGATAAATAATTTAGATATGAGTGTTCGGTAAAGTAGTGGTTGACTAGCTGTTACATATAAAAATCAATATTTTATTTTTAAAACTATAGATTAAATTTTCAACAACTACTTGAAAAGCTACCTCTAATTTCAAAAGCTAATGTTTCTAACTTTTCACAAAAGCTACCTCCACCACTAAAAGCTACCCTAACCACTACTTTGCCAAACACTCACATTTTTTGTTGAGTAGTGGTTTGACTTGGTCAAACCACTAAAAGCTACCTAAAAGCTACTCAAAAGCTAACGCCGAACACGCCCTTATTAGTGACCTCGGATTTTATAGTACTAGTATATCAATCACGGCTTCTTAAATGACATCTTAAATGATTGATTTAAAACATTTCTAAAAAAAACAAATGATACCGTAGAAAAATTATGAAAAAATTGTTAAAAAAATCCTTTTAAAAGCATAATTTTGTGAAAACAAAACTTTTTAAAAGTTTTTTGGTTAAAAAAAACCACTACGTTCTTTTTTTTTTTTTTTTTTTTTTTTACGAGAGGAAACTTATTTCCCTAATACCCTCTAATTAATATAACTAGTCTTAAACCAATGTGATGCACGAATGTTTATTGTATTGTAATTTTTTATTTTTTTTTAAAAAAAACATTAATAAAATAATGTGGGATTTCAACAAACATTATACATAATGGGTTCATATATATATATATATATATATATATATATATATATATATATATATATATATATATATATATTGTCTTGATATATTTAACTGAGATATTATTTCATAATCGAGAACAGTGCGTTTCTGGTGCGGTCAGCCGCACCATGCGGCAGGGTGCCAAATCAGCAAATGACAAAGTAACCCCCAGACAAAGTAACCCTTAGACAAAAGTAACCCTTGACTGACCTAGTAACCCATAGTAACCCCTGACCTAGTAACCCCTAACCGACCTAATAACCCCCGGCCTAGTAACCCCTGACCGACCAAGTAACCCCCAACCTAGTAACCCCTGACCGACCAAGTAACCCCCGACCTAGTAACCCCCGGTACTGCCCTACGCCACCAACAACCACGCCACCACCACAATTCACCGAACCCACAACCAAACCACACCCAAACCTTACCCACCACAAGATCCCTATCCAATCATACCCACCCAAACACACCCACACCACGACAACCATACACAGAAAACACCCGGAAAAAAAAAATTAAAAATCGTTTAAAAAAAATTAAATGAACAAATACCTTAAAATTTAATAATAGCTTCAAATTTCACTATAAACATGGTTTAAAAGGCCAAATTCGGCCATCAGGGCTGAATTTAGCCTTAAAAAACCTCTAGCTTGTAGGAGAATGAGAAAGTGGCAGAATGGGTGGAGAATTAATGAGAAACCTCTACCTGAATTTGGGAAGGAGGAGAGAGAAATTGGGAAGGAGGAGAGAGAAAATGGGTGGAGAATTAATGGTGATGCATGATGCGTGGGTAAAGAGGAGTGAGAGAGGAGAGAGAGAAGATTTGTAAATAAAAAAAATTATGGCTGGCCGTACAGTGTGGCCAGCACATACGAAACTTTGTGAATCGAGAATAGTACTCTTGATATTGTCTTCCATAAATCTCACACAGATTTAATTTGGGCTAAAAAGATGTACTCCGTATATAAAAAAAAAATACAACAAATCTTAATGAAAATTAACACTAGATTTCTGGTTTCAAAAAAAAAAAATAATAATAACATTAGATTTCTCATCATTTTTTAGGAGTAAAGGAATAAACGATCAATAATCCTTCAAATCCAAAACTAAAACATTGTCAACAAAGTTTAAGAATATATACCAACTTTAAGAAGAAAAATTGAAAAGAAGGAAACCTGAGAAGTAGTTCAAATGGTAAATACTAAGCGGCCGTCAGTCTGTCACAACCAACTTGCAACTATTGGAATAATTCCCTAGAATAAAATGAACTAATCATTAGGATCTGAATACAATATTGAAAGAGAAAACATCATGAACTTACATAAAACTGATGGGAAGAAACTTAATTGAAGACAAATTTGACTAAATTTCAACTTTAATTTTCATGAGCAAAAAATATAATTTGAAATTTAAATTGGGAACGCAAGGAACATGGCCTATTTGCGACCACCTGTTGGGCTATATGGAATGCACGCAACAAATGGTTGTTCGAAGATGAAGCATGTGACCCAAATAAAGCTGTGGAGTATGTCATTAAACTCACGAAAGAGCTCCAAAAAGATGAAGTGGTGGTGCTGGGTGGGAGGTCGGCGAGACAGAAATGGAAAGCTCCAATTGCGGGGTTGCACAAGATGAATATTGATGCGGGGGTGGAGGAGGGGGTAGGTTCGATGGCTGGAGCTATTGTGAGAAATGACAGGGGAAGGGTCGAACTTGCTGCTGCTTGGCGCTTTAGGATAGGTGGGAGCCATTAATAGCAGAAGCAAAGGCCTTGTTGCTGGGTTTGAGAGTGGCTGTCGACTGTGGCTATCGCAGGTTGGTGGTGGCCTGGAGACCGATTGCCTTGAGCTAGTGAACGCGGTACGATCGCAAGAGAAGGGGTGAAGTAGTTTTTACCTTATTTTGGATGATATCTATAATGTCTGTTCTTTTCTAGAGTATGTAGCTTGGAGTTTCATTCTATAGAAATATGTATAGTTTTTGTATAATATGTGTATAGCTATACTTAGTGCAGGAGTAGTTTTTATTTTTGTCTGTTTCTTTCCTTGACAGCAGCCATGAGCTGTAGCTTTGTCTTGTAGTGATCAAGGTGTGTATATATATTAATGAGAAGCAGATCTTTCTAGGGTTGAGAGCCCCGAAAATTATTCTTCCGCCTCCATTCACTAACAAAACATTCTTGCTGAACACACAAAACCAAATACACTCTGATTTTCTTCATGGTATCAGAGCTCACCAGGTTGTGAGATTGAACAAAATCGAAGCTTTCTGAAATAGAAAGTTTGAATCTTTAGCCAATCACTGAACCGTATATCAAAGTTTTAATCTTTGATCTTAAAAGTTTAAATTCCTAAAATAGAAACACATAATGGCGGTTAAGCAAGTTGTTCCTTATGCTGATCCTTATTATTTGGGAAGCTCGGATAACTCGAACACACCATTAGGAACGATTGTCTTCAATGGAAAGAACTATGTCAACTGGAGCAGAAGTATGAGGATGGCTCTAGGGGAAAAGAACAAACTTGGATTCATCGAGGGTAAGATATCTAAACCAAATGTTTCTTCTGATGATTATAATCAGTGGATAAGGAATGATTGCATGATTAGATGTTGGTTATCTGCTAGTGTAACACCACAATTTGCTGAACAAATGTTGATAGTGAACTCAGCTAGAGAGTTTTGGACTGAATTAGCTGAGAGATTAGGGCAGTCAAATGCTCCTCAGATCTATATGCTTAGGAAAGAATTGAATGGGTTGAAACAGAACAACATGAGTGTTTCAGAATATTTTGGGAAGCTTAAGGCTGGATGGGATCAGCTTAGTAGTCTGGAAGGAATGCCTGAATGCACATGTGATATTTTTAATAAATGCACATGTAATGTAATGAAGAAGCTGTTGGAAAGAGAAGAGAAGAAGAAAGTGATGGATTTTTTGATGGGATTGAATGTTGGTTATGATAACCAGAAAGAAAACATCATAGGCATGGATCCATTGCCTAGTGTTAATAGAGCACATCAGATGGTTTTACAAGTTGAAAAGCAGAAGGAAATATCAGGTTTGGATGAAATAGGATCAGAAGCAAGTGCTTTACTAGTTGCTAAGCCATTCCATGGAAATAGGTAGAACAACAATCAGAATCACAGGAATAATTATCAGAATGGTAATTATTAGAGAAGAGAGACCAAGGAAGAAAAGGAAAAGAAGTGGTGTGAAAACTGCAAAATGAAGGGACATACAATAGATGGATGCTTCAAGATTTATGGTTATCCAGATTGGTTTAAGAACAAACCAAAGGGAAAGACAGGAGTGAAATATGCTGCAAATGTGTCTGGAACAGGACAGTGCATTGAGGATGATCCTCTTGAATCATCTGAACAAGGACAGTTGAGCAATAGTGAGAAACCAGATTCTGAGATGATGAATGCAGTGGTGCAGCAGGTATTGAAGGTGATGAATTAGAAGCAGCAAGGTCAGGCAAGCAGTTCAAGTAATGCAGTGAGTATGAGCAATTTTACAGGTATTGTTTCAACCTTAAATGCTTGTGCACTTTATGAGAATGTGGATAAAAGTTGTTGGTTGATAGACTCAGGAGCATCTGATCACATGGCTAGTGATAGGAAATTATTTTGTGACATAAGAAATTTAAGAAAGCATGTTAGTGTTGGAATGCCTGATGGAACAATTAGAAATGTGAAAGAAATGGGAACTGTGAAATTGAATGAACATATAATTCTTAGAAATGTGCTACATATACCTGAGTTCAAGCATAATTTATTGTCAGTGAGTAAGTTGATGGAGCAAACAAAATTGAAGGTGATGTTCACTGATTATGGGTGTCTATTTCAGGACCCTTCTAGTAGAGAGGTAGTTGGATATGGAGAGAAGAGTGGAGGACTTTACAAGCTAAAGCTGGACAAGAGGTCTGAGAGAACTGAAGAAAGAAGAAATGGAGCAGAGAAGGAGTAGAATAAGGCTAATGTAATGGCTTGTAAGAAAGTTTTGAGTAGCAAATCTAGAGGAAATTTAGATTTATTACATGCAAGATTAGGACATACTTCTTTATCCAAGATGAAACATTTGGGTATTTGTGATTGTAATGGGGTTTCTGAATATTTTTGTGATACATGTTGTTTGGCAAAACACCACAAATTACCTTTTAATTCAAGTTCTTCAATTGCAAATGCTATCTTTGATTTGGTTCATATGGATTTGTGGGGACCATATAGAACTAAGAATGTCACAGGGGCAAGTTATTTCCTCACAATCTTGGATGATTATTCAAGAGTGACTTGGACTTATTTGGTGTCAAATAAGGAACAGGTTAGACAGGCGCTGAAAATGTTCATTGAATATGTGCAGAATCATTTTAATACTTCTATTAAAGTAATAAGAAGTGACAATGGGACTGAAATATTTCAGTTTCAGTCAGAGTGTTCCACAATAATGAAAGAAAAGGGAATTTTGCATCAAAGGAGTGTTGCAGGAAACCCTCAGAAGAATGGGAGAGTTGAAAGAAAACATAGGCATTTGATAGAGACAGCCAGGGCAATTAGAATACATGTTGGGTTACCCAAGAATATGTGGGGAGAGTGTGTGCTAGCAGCAACTCATATCATCAACTTGTTGCCTAGTGCAGTATTAAAATGGGAGATACCTTTTGAGAGACTGATGAAGAGAAAGGCAAGATATGAACATCTGAAAGTGATAGGGTGCCTATGCTATGCTAGTAACATGCATAGAAAAGGGGATAAATTTGTTGCTAAGGCAACTAGATGTGTTCTGATTGGATATCCTAGTGATCAAAAGGGATACAAAGTATTTGATCTAGAGTCAAAACAGATATTTGTATCTAGAGATGTAAGTTTCAAGGAAAATATTTTTCCTTCTTGTAAGCAAAGTGACAAAGAAAATGCTGAAATTCCTAGAAGCATTGATATGAATTTTGAGACATCAGATGTCTACTGACAATATTTTGCAAGAAATTCCTTTAAGAGAAGAGGAAGAGCAAGCTGAAGTTGTGCCTGAAGTGCAACATGAGGTGTTAGAGCAAGGGATTCAGATCCTAGAAAAAGACATAAATGAAGAGATGGGAGATCAAGAGCAGGATGATCATAGAGATCATGAACAGAACATGGAACAAGAAGCTTTAAGAAGATCTGTGAGGGATAGAAGAGCACCTTCAAAATTTAAGGGTTTTGAATGTGATAAAAGGCTGCAACAATTCAATTATATAAATCAAGAAGCTGAGCCAAGAAATGTCAATCTAGTGCATATTACTCTTGATAACAAGGAGTACTATACACCAAATTACATTGTGTCCCTTAACAATGTGATGAAGATAGATCAACCAAACACATACAGAGAAGCTTCAAAGGATCCAAGATGGGTCAAAGCAATGCAAGAAGAGTTACAGGCAATAGAAAACAATGGAACATGGGAGATAGTTGACTTGCCAAAGGGAAAGAAAGCCATTGATAGTAAACGGGTTTATGTTGTGAAATTGGATCCAAATGGGAAGATTGTGAGACTGAAGGCAAGGTTAGTTTCCAGAGGAGATAGACAAGTGGCAGGGAAGGATTACAAGGCCACATTCTCACCAGTGGCTAATTTTGCAAGTGTATGACTTATAATTGCACTAGCAACAACAAGAAACTGGAATTTACATCAATTGGATGTAAATAATGCATTTTTGCATGGATACTTAGAAGAAGAAGTATATTTGAAGATACCAGAAGGATATATGAATGGAACAAAGGATAAAGTATGCAAATTAAGGGAGAGTTTGTATGGTTTGAAGCAAGCTTCAAGGCAATGGAATATTGAACTCAAATCATTTTTGATAGAAAATGGTTTCAAGCAGTGCAGAAGAGATTACTCCTTGTTTTTGAGGACAGAAAATGGTAAAACTTGTATCATCTTAGTGTATGTTGATGATTTGATTATCACTGGTGATGATGAAGAAACAATTGCTTCCATGAAAAGCAAACTGGATAGTGCCTTTACTATAAAGGATTTGGGATTCTTGAGGTATTTTTTGGGAATTGATATAGCTAGAGGTGAAGGAGGTACAATGATCAACCAAAGAAAATATGCTCTGGACATTGTCAGAGATAGTGGAATGGAAGGATGTACACCATGTACGTTTCCTTTTCCAAAGGGAGTTAAGTTATCAACAGAAACAGGAGAATTGCTTGAGGATCCTGAGAGTTATAGAAGATTGGTGGGAAGGCTGCTATATTTGAACATGTCAAGACCTGATTTGTTCTTCTCAGTTCAACAACTAAGTCAGTATTTGAGTTGTCCTAGAAAGCCACATATGCAGGCTGCTCTGCATGTTGTGAAATACATTAAAGGAACGGTTGATCTAGGATTATTTTATCCTAGTAACACTGATCATACATTGTCAGCCTATAGTGATGCAGACTGGGGAAGTTGTATATTTAGTGGAAGATCTTTGACTGGATTTTGTGTATTCTTGGGAGGTGCTTTGGTTTCGTGGAAAACGAAGAAGAAAAAGGTAGTCTCAAAATCATCTTGTGAAGCAGAGTTTCGAAGTATGTCACAAACCACAAGTGAGATAGCATGGATAGTTGGTTTATTTGAAGATTTGGGACAGGATTTTCCTCTTCCTGTCACCTTATTTTGTGATAATAAATCAGCAGAGTATATTGCACATAATCCAGCACTCCATGACAGAACAAAGCATCTCAAATTAGACTGCTATTATATTCGAGATAATATTGAAGATGGTACCATTACTACCTGTCATGTTAAATCTTCTCTTCAGTTGGCTGACATTCTCACTAAATCCCTTCCTGCACATCAACATTGGTTTATATCGTCCAAGTTAGGACTTGCTACTTTGTCCCAAGTCCAACTTGAAGGGGGGGGGGGGGTGTAGAAATATGTATAGTTTTTGTATAATATGTGTATAGCTATACTTAGTGCAGGAGTAGTTTTTATTTTTGTCTGTTTCTTTCCTTGACAGTAGCCATGAGCTGTAGCTTTGTCTTGTAGTGATCAAGGTGTGTATATATTAATGAGAAGCAGATCTTTCTAGGGTTGAGAGCCCCAGAAATTATTCTTCCGCCTCCATTCACTAACAAAACATTCTTGCTGAACACACAAAACCAAATACACTCTGATTTTCTTCCCATTCATAGGGAGGGTAATAAGGTTGCACATGAGTTGGCTTATTGTCTTCCATGTGATACTAGTTGTCGTTTTTGGTTTAGTAATTTTCCAGATTGTATTGTTCCTATTGGAGTTTGATTTCCCTATGAATGAAAATTGTGTGGCTTATGGCCTTCCATAAAAAAAAAATAAGAAAAGGATGTGAGGAAAAGGATTAAAAGAAGATAGGAAAACTACCCTCATGAAACAACATGATACTATGATAGAAAGAACTATTTTTTTAAAGGTAAATTGGGAAAAAAAAACAAAGGTAAAAAATGAAATGTAAATATGGCCCCGTGGCACTCTAATTTGTTTGCAAAAGTTCATGTTAGTATTTAGGCCCGTGCATTGCACGGGTTAATCTTGTTAGTTAGATTTTATCGGAAACAATATATTTCAAATACGAAATACCACATTGTCAACACCAAACATATCTATACTATATATTAAAAGGCGTTTCTAAAAAGTTTCTACGCCACGTAGACCCCGTCACTCATTAAACTCCTTATTATGCCACGTCATCCACTCAATTTTTTAATATGCCACATTATCCACACTACCAACAATATTTAATGTTGCCTCAACTATATTGAAAAAAATATTTGGATGAAAAGGTTCGAACCCTTAACCTCTTTGAAGAAATGTTATTGTTTAACAATCTAGGCGAATTGTTAATTATGCTTTAATGTTTCACACTAAATACTCTTTTACTATAAATATATTGAATATACATACACACTACTCCCTCCCTTTCAATTTGTTAGTCCCATATACTAATTTGCGCGTTTCAAAAAGATCTACCCATATTAAATGTATTCCACTTTTAACTTAGTTTTTATTTCCTATTTTATACCTAATAAATTCTGATTGGTTAAATTAATTGATTGTGAATTAGGGGGTGTTTGGTTCGCGGATTAGGTATAAGGTATGGGTTTAGAATGACCAAAACCCATACCATATGTTTGGTTGTCAAAAATATGATTTTTAAACCCATACCTCAAACCCATGAGGTATGGGGTTTGGAAACCTTGGGGGGGTGGGTGGGTGGGTTTGGCTCATTCCATTCACTTAGGTATCAAATACATTAAATTAAGGGATGATATTTTATTCCAGAATTAAACCAAACACATGGTATTAAGTATCAAGTTCCAACCTGATACCACCTTAACCCTATTCCTGATTCCAAACCTATTCCTCTTTGCGAACCAAACGCCCCCTTAATGACATAACTCTAAGAAAAGAAATTACTCCATTGATTTATGAAATTATGGCTAATGCTTTCCTAAAAAAATAAAAAAAAAAAATTAAATAAGGCAAAACTATTTATGAATTGTTTTTTATTTTATTATTAGATTCCAAATATTCTCCTTTTCTTATTTTATGTGATTGATTTCATATGAGACTATCATATTGAAACAGAGGAATATTCTTAAAAATTAGCACTTGCACAACTATAAAAGTAGTATCTCGGGGCAACGCCCGAACTACTCACTAGTTGCAAAATAAAAAGTGCCCCTACTCAATTACTCAACTCCCTTTCACCATGATTAATCAAATAAGATGCATGAGACAAATTAAAAATTAGACAATATTGGTCTAATACTCCGTGCAAAAAAAAAGAGATATGTATAGGCACACAAAAAATGGCATTATAACAGGTGGTAAACAAGCAGTCAACCAAGCATTGATATGGCTCACCTCACCAGGCTCCCCTGAATGAATTAACTTATCTAAACAACGCGATCAGTTATATCATCTTTCTTTTGATTGGTATAATTCTCCCTCTTTTGATTTTATTAATTAATGTTGCATGTGTGTTAGTTGTTTTTTTTGTCGATTTCGGTTCTTATTTGCATGATTTTGGTCCGTGTCTAAGTGTTGTACTACCTCCGTTAATAGTTATGTGCAACTTTTGCCATTTTTGTCCGCTCGGGGTTATGTGCAACTTTCTATTTTCTTTCTATTTTGAGTAAAAAAAAAGTGGCAAAATTACAATTTTACCCTTAATTTTAATTGTTTTATTTTTTAATCAATACCATTATAATATCCTAAACTAAATTAACCTAAACTAATCAGATTCACCTAATCTAATTGTTCCCTCCTTTTATCTTCCAATTCCACTTCTCTCTCTTCATTCACACAACTTCCCAACTACCCAAATTAATTGTGATGTTTCGTTCTACCTATATCTTCTGGATACTTCATAAGATGAACCCTAGTTCATCTTCTGGGTTTTTCTCTCTCCTCTATTCTTCTGATTTTCTCTATTTTTCACTCCAAATCTACTCTCCTCTTCTCGTTTCTTTCTCAATCAAATTCCCTCCTTAAAAATGTTGAACTTAGATCCTCTTAAGGATGCTTACATGGCTACGAATGACAAGGGAGAGGAGAATTTGATCCTCAATTTTATGCACTGCTTCGAGGTTGGATCTTCTTTTCCTCGTGAATTTTACGAGTCTACTGAGACGGGTGCGTACTGCTCTTTGTACACTTATAGAGCCCTTGGTCAAGTCCTCAAAAGCCTCGATGAGGAATAAAATGCGAAGAAAGAGGAGGGTGTTGGTGAGTCCCGTCGTAAATCGCTTGATTTCTCAGAGATGGCTGTAGATCTGGCTGCTGAGCAAGGTGACGGCAGTGTTGTTGTGCCCTCTAAGCCTAGATCTAAGAGGGAAAGGCCACCCCCTCGAGTTAAGGCCACCAGGAAGGTCGCGCGTGTTACCCTGAGAAGGATGCGTGGCCTCCCTGACTATGAGTTGATTGTGTTGTCTTCTGATGAGGAGCCTAATGAGGAACCTCCAGCCAAGAAACCAGAAGTGCCTTCTTGTTCTGTTCCGGTTGTGACGTGCTATGTGAGGCGGATGAACCCTACGGTTCAACACTCTGAGTAGCTGCACTCGTAACGCTTCCTAACCCTAACTTATTTAATTTTTGTTATTGAGTCCCATTTTTAAGTTGATTGTGTATGCTTGTGACATGATTTGTTTATGGTGGTTGTGTTATGCACATATACTCCGAATTTAATTATGTTGTGGTGGCTTTGTTGTGTTGTGATGTTGTATGTGGTGTTTGTGATTATGTCCTTTAATAATTGGAAATTTTGATGGACATGGTGTTGGTTTTCCTGTCCTATTATTGTTGGATTTTTTGATGGATATGTTTTTGGTGCTTATGTCCTGTTTATGTTGGATATTATGATGGATATGGGTTTCTTGGTTCTGTCCTTTTTATGTTGGATATTATGATGGATTTGGGTTTGGTGCTTCTGTCCTTTTTATGCTTGGATATTATGATGGATTTGGGTTTGGTGCTTCTGTCCTTTTTATGCTTGGATATTATGATGGATATGGGTTTGGTGCTTCTGTCCTTTTTATGTTGGATATTATGTTGGATAGGTTTTAGTGCTTCTATCCTATTAATGTTGGATATTATGTTGGCTATTGATGCATTTTAAGAGTTGGATAATGATGCATTTTATGAGTTGGATATTATGTTGGATATTATGTTGGATATGGTTGATGTTGTAATCATGGCATATGGCATATGGGAATTTGGTTGTTGAATGATGATCCTTTATGATGGTTTCTTGATTTGGGTGTTTGGGTTGTTGTGTGAAAAATGTTATCAATGATCATTGTGTAGAGAACATTTTCTAATGGAGTTCCCTGCACATGCCCCTTTTTGTTATTGTTTAACAGTCCCCATTTGCGCTGCTCTAGACTATTTGTGTTGTGTGTTGAATCCAAATGATGAAGGGACTCCTATGAAATACTATTTGAACAATGGTATAGCTCCACCAATCACTATATTGTGATTGATGTTGAGGTAACCATGTTTGAAAGGTTGTGTTTAAAAAAAAATTGATCTCCTGATGGATTCATGTGATTAAGTACTTCCACTTACTTGATAAAATGGCTACAAAAAGCCTCTTACAAATGCACTAGAACTAAACCACCACTGCCTTTCATGTGTGTTTCAATACTCTACCATACAAAATACACCTAACCACCTATTCATTGGTACACAAAAATAACTAAACAAAAGTGAAATTTAACATATCATTGTTGACTACTAAGTGGTTATGTGTGGCAGTGTGTGGTTGTTTGTTGTGTGTCTTTGTACTTAGTCTGCATCTACCTCCATGTCTTCTGTTTCTGCTTCATGATTTCCCTGGGGTGTTGGCCTGAACATTGTGTTCAGGTATTCCACAGCTTCCACCACTATACTCCTTTCTACTTCAATCTGATTTGGGAGAATGCCTAAATTCTCAAGCTTTTTCTTGTTCATATGTGGTATTTTATACTTGTTCCCTCCTTCTGCCTTTAGAATCTTGATCATGCATCTTTGTAATGTCACCCAAATATACTTGTTTAAATCTGGTTTGAAATTGTTATAAGACTCAATGACCTTTTCAACAAGTTCATCTACATTCTTTGGAAAAGATTGATATTGCAAAGATTGAATAGATCTAAATAGACCTAAGTCTAACACATTCAAATCTGGTGATTGTGCTGGTTGGAACACAAACTCAATGTTAAATCCATTTGCTTGTGTTGCTTGAATGAACTCTTCATCTCTTGGTATTTGATGTGGCCTTGCATTATCCCATTAAATCACCACATTTTTGGGCAAACTTGCTGGCCATTTTGACACTATTGCTGGTATGACTTTGTGAAGTAGCATGTCCCTTATTGCATCTCTGTTGACATTTTGAAGTGCTTTTGTGACCAATGTGCCAGCTGGTCTGTTTTTGCTTGACTTTTTTGCCCTTTCTTGCTGTGTGAATGGGAATATCCCATATTTCCCATCATGTAGGAGTTCCCCATGTGTCCCATACAGAGGCTTTCCTATAATGGCCATGTACATAGCTTTTAATTTGAACCTCCTTTATTGTTGAGCCATATAGGAATCTTCCTCACTTGGTAACAGATAAAATCTTCTTTTGTCTGGGTTTAGATAAAACCATTTCTCATCAATGTGGATGGAATACTTCATGTCATAAAATGTGAGGTTCTCATTCCCTTGGATTGGGTTTATGTGAGACAAAACCCACTTCATTCTTGCCACCTTGTGATTTGATGTTAGTGTTGGCTTGCTGCTTGCTGTGTATGTTCTGATTCTCCCCTTTTTCTTCAAATAATGAAGAGTAATATGTGAAATTTTGAGTGCTGCAGCATATGATCTTTCTGTTTGCCTTAAGTGAAGTGGGACTGATTGTAGGAATTCATCAGAGAATTCCATTGGCTTTGGACCTGTCCTTCCTATCTTTTTGGACCTGACATCAATCAAATTCCCTTCTGCCATCTGCCTTTTTATTTCATTGAACAGTCTTGTGATTGTTGATTTATGAACCTTGAACTTGATTGATAATTCTACCTTGTAGCCTCTTAGTAGGTTACCATCTTGCATTTTCAACAGCATTGCATCCACAATCTCTCTCTTTTGATGCATATTTAGTTGTTTTCTGTTTGGTTGATGAGTCCCTTCTTCAAACAATGATGCTAGTGTTTCATCTTGCTGAGTCTGATTATTGTTGTTAATGGTTGTGTCTTCTATTTCTGCCTCTTCTTGCATATTCTCATTGTCTGAGTTGTATGCTTCAAAATCTGCATCTTGCAGCTGCTCTTCATAATCGTAGTACATGTCTGCAATTTCTTCCTATGAAATTAAGTGTTCAATGTCGAAAAAAGGGTCTTCATCTATTGCTGCCATGTCTTTTGTTTCCTGTGTTCACTTGTAGATTGTTGTAGATGGTGAAGGGGGGTCGGCTGATGAAGGTTTTTGAAGAGATGATGCAGCCCTCAAGTTGAAGCCTTGATGATTTGATGACTAACTTCAGCTTAGCACTAATTTTAGATTAGGAGTAATTTTTTGGGTTGTTTAGCTAAACGTATGTAATTAGTGATAACTTTTGGTGATATTCAGCTAGCTTTTGAACAAACTTTGGTATGTAATTATTGAGAAGCATTCAATGCTTCATGAATGATGGAGGCTTGTATTTATAAGCCTTATAAATGCTGTGAAGAAATCAGAAAACTTGGATTTTCAGTTTTTATTTTTTAAAAAGTTAGAGGGAATTTTAAATTTCCCAAAATCAAAATTTTTAAGAAAAATTGGGGGGGAAAACATACTCCCTCCAAAAAAATCAGATTTCCCTCTTTATTTGCAAGTGGAGGGGACCACCTTTCTCTCTCCACTCACTTTAATTAACTCTCTTAAATCCCTCTAACCGTAATCATGTGCACAGTTGCACATAACTATTAACGGAGGGAGTATTTGTATTGGAGTGTTGAGTATTTGTTACAGGTTAACAGGTACGTAGTTTAAGTAAAGTGTAGAGTCAGGGTAGCATATACATATATGTTGTTATTGGTAAGATGGTGCATTTCAATGGTGGGTTTTAGGTTAAAATTGGAAATTTACATAATTACATATCATGCATCCTAAAGCAGAAGCTGATTGCTGTAAGTATTGTCCATGTAGGATAGGCGGTATCACTATTTGTATAACTCTTTCGAATTGAATGTTATTCTGATTGAGACCTTCCTGTTAAATTGAGTTTTTGTTGTCAATTATCATACAGTACGTGAATTTGATGGAATTTCAGGTTTACATTTGCAAAGGTAGGTGTTATCTTAGTTAGTTATCTGAAAGTGTGCTTTTCTCTTATTTGAGGATTCTATGTGATGATCAATTTGCTTTGGTTTCAGAGAGTTTTATAAAGTTGTTCATTTTTGTCGCTTATTGCTGTTTTAGCAGGTTATCACAGGTTTCATCATATTTATTTCAATTATTCAGTTTCAGGTTATCATAATTTTATATGAGTTGGGGAAGTTGATCCGAAATATGTTTCAAATTAAAGGCATTTTTTTTTTTATCCTCATTGTCCAATGGGAAAATTACATTGTGACGTTTTTCAAGTGTCATATTAAGTCAGTTATTGATGTCTTTGATTAATTTGTGTTTTGGCATTTTAAGTGTATATAATTGTTTTTTCCGGAGCCTACTCTGTGGAAGTTTTAGGTATGTTTTCCTTTTACCGAATACTTTTTTTATTCACAATAAACTCCCTTCATTGACGTGCTTTAGTAATGTTAGTGAGAATAACTGAAAGCTTTGGGTCTATTTTTTTTTTTTTTTTTTTTTTTTTGTTATGTGCTAAACTGCTAGCTATAAAATTATCAGAGGATTTGATTCTGAACTGAATTGGTTTATAAAGGTCTGCGGTCTGTTGTCTGTGGATCATAATATTGCGGACCTGCGGTATCATCAACTTATTCTCAAAGTTTTTTAAATTGTCACCTGGGACTCTATGCTTTTAAAAAATGGCTAACAATCGTTTGTTTGAACATACATTAATTTGCTTGATGTAAATTTAAAGTAGAATGACTGGTTATAACAGAACACCATCTTAGCTTGATTGTTGTCTTTCTACTGCTTAAATTAATTCCTGAAAATTATCTTTCTTTAACTTTACCAGGATGGCTGTTGCTATGCTTGTCAAGAGACATGTTGATGGATTGCTACCTATTGATGTCTACAACATTGAGCTGGAGGATCAAAGAGGTGCTGAAGGTTAATATGGGTTTTTACAGATCAAAGGTATGTGTTTGCTTATAGCAAGCTACTGTATGCACCATTTGGAAGTCTCTCTTTAGTTTCAATTATCGAAAAGTAACTGTATGTGCAAAATTGCCTTATATTTTGTATATGACAGGGCAATAATGATGGGCCTTATGCTGCATATAGCCATATATACAGAAGGAAAGCAGTTAATGAAAACACAGCAATACAAAGTGGTATTAGAGATTTAGAGGTGCTTCAAATGGGAGAGGTTCAATGCAGGGAGTTTATTGTGAATAAGAAATTATTTTGTCAGACAATTTCAATTTCTTGTATAACTCTTTTCTGAATATGAAGTTTTTAACACGAGATCCATTGTGTTTTTTCAGAAGGTTTTTTTCTCTCTGTGCCTCGAAACTCATAGAGGTATTTGTCATTCCTTTGTTAATGATAATGTTTTTGGCTTATTTCAATAGTCGAGTCATTTTTGTCAGTATCATTGCATAAACTCCGTTTAAAAAAAATATATGTATATTGTTAATGATGTGAAAGATAAATTGGCCACAACTTTTCTTGTTAATTGGTAAGTCTTGTCAGTTAAGTGTTTAGTTTTTAGTTCTATGATGCTTTCTTTATGTTCCAACCAGTGTTAGTGTTTTTGTTAATTAGTTTTTGGTAGGATTATCAAAATATCAATAAAAGATTGTGATGGTTTGTTATCTTTCTGAAATGGATGTAAAAAGTATCATGAATATCTTTTTTTTTTTTTTTTTTTTTTCAAATTATGATAATTTCCGGTTGATGCATGTAATGTTAGATTCCAATTTCTTAGGAGGAACTCTGTATCTTTTTGAGTTAATAAGAGTCTAAAAAATTGGTTTTGATATTTGAAAATGTCTAGATATCTTAGTTGTGTGATATTTGATACCTCTAATTATAGAAGGTAATGGTTATACAATGATAAATTTTATATAAATAGGTATGGGGAAGGGGGAGGAGCGAAGGAGAGAGGGGGAAAGGGGGGAGAGAAGAGAAAGGTAATGATTATACAAGGATAAATTTTATATAAATAGGTATGTGGGAGGGGGGGAGAGAGAGGTAATGGTTATCTACAGAATACAGCTACTTCCTCCGTTCTTTATTACTTGACCCGCTTTGACTTTTACACTATTCACCATCCTTCCTTTGACCGTCTTTTGTAAATAATATGTAAGGAAAAATATATTTATATATGATCTTTTTATATTCGTCTCAATAAGTACTATCATAATATATAACTTTTATAATTTTTACTTATGGAGAATTTAAGTTATTGATCGTTAAAGTTTTACATTGGCAAACGTGATAAAAGAAACAGGTCAAGTAAAAAAGAACAGAGGAAGTACATGTTATCTCAACAGAGTATGGTATTACATTGAAATCAGATAGCAGCCTCTGTGACGTTGATTGCAATAGAGCCGAGGAGAGAGTTCATTGTTGGATTTGGATCAGTATATTCCTTCTCGCTCTTCTGTATATACGACTGGCTATTCTGATATGTAGACTGTGTGTTAAAACTACAAGCTTTTTTATATATGTTCTTGTGTCTCTTTAAGTTCATCTTACTGGAAAATTAATGCTTGCTATAGGCTTAGGATTTTTTTCACCATTATTTGGGTGATGGGGTAAATTTATTAGCAAATCTCATTTTACAATGCAGAATTATTGAACTTGGAATTAATTCTTCGTATCATTTCTCGCTTGTGAAGGATTATTTAAAGCGAAGGTTTGAGAGGAGTGCAAATATAAAACCATAGATTCCTTGTTTGTGAAGGATGCTACAGTTATTGAGTTGAAAGATTACCTTAAAAGTAAAGATGAAGTAGCTTTTTATCTTTTGGATCATGTGTTTTTTTCAATATTGTAGGTTGATGTGCTGATATATATTGATGTTATATTGAAGATTGAAAGTGCAAATTCCACGTACACCAAACCTTCATTCTACGATTACCACATTGGAGGGGGTAATTTTCAATTTGCATGTTTTTGTTTGCCTTCCTTCTCTAATTGTACATTCGGCCATTTAAATTGTTATTTGCATCTTCTCAGTTTAATTAAATGCTGAAGAAAGTCATCAGGATATTGCTCAACTGAATTCTAATCACTATTAATTCCAATAACTAACAAATCTTGGCACTTTACAAAATATAAGGGCTGAGAAAATGCATCAGTGAACATGATTGCTTATATAAGGGCTGAGAAAATGCATCAGTGAACATGATTGCTTTTATGTTCTTTGTTATACACTGATTGCTTTTATGTTCTTTGTTATACACTGGCCATTCTTGAGCTTCTGCCAGTGCTGTCAATAACTTTCTGCGAATATCACAAGTGTTGTCTGTGCTCGGTGGCTTTCTAGCTGATGCCTATCCCTTCTTTATCGAAGGAGACAGGAAAGGAACGTTTCCCCCCAAAACCCCCTCGGGGGGATGTGGGGTGGTTGATATTGGACTATTGCAAATTTGCAACAAAGGCTCTGATCTCAATTGAATATATGCTCTAGCAATGATGAACTACAGCCAGCTCGGGTCGCAGTATGTCCTTTTTGCAGGATATTTTTACTCTTAGCTCCATGATGATTGTATTCTTTTCAATTTAGTCTAGCTAAAAGCCTAAAACATTAATAAAAATATAAAGTATTGCCTGTACATGTCCTTTGGGGGGTGGGTTTTAGGTATAGACACATCTCTAAAGAGCTCCATTTGTGCTTTTATGGTTTTATTTATAGCCTCAGATAAGATGTTGACTTAATTTTTCCTCTAGCTATTTGGTTGAGCTCTTCTTTAGGCTGATATTCATGATTTGTCATTTTACAGTTCGTTAAGGGCTTAGTGGATCAGTGAAGAATATACATTGTAGGTTGTATCTATTGATTGAATTGAAGAACATAGAAAAATTGGGAAGTTTGGGTGTTAGATGTGTGTATTGGACGTATAGTTTGTCAAGTTTTATTTCCTGTTAGCAAAAACATACATCGTACTAATGTTTATTGCCTCATTGGGGATTTTCCTATTGTTTATGGGTTTTATATATTGTAGCATGAAATTTAGTAATATCTTCAAAATAACAAATCTATCTGGAATGGATTATTTGATAATTTTGCTAGAGCTTAAATAAACTAGTATTATAGAGAATGAGACCTTGTTGGAGTTGGAAGTAAACTATTGGTATTCTGTATGGAATTTTTATGCTGGAATTTTTATCGAAATGCGAGTAAACATTTGATGACAAAAATAGATTTTGAAATTTGAAGAGAAAAATGATGTCAAACAGCTGAGCAAGACCAAGTTTTCTATGTGTTTGATGGACTTTAAAAATTGAAATCAAATTGAAATTTCTCAGCTAGGAAATGTATGATGGTCCAGTGCTTCAGTATGATTACATTATCTGTCTTATGCTGAGCTTATATGCTGTAGAGTGCCTTGTATGTAATTGTAAACTACACTCATCTGAATAGTGCTTGACATTTAATTAGTTATGTTCATTTTACTAAATGCGGATATAAGTGAGATGGTTCATCTTTATAGGGTTATAATAATATATATGTAATATCCAATATCTTTCTTAATTTTGATAGCGAAATGTTGCCACTGCTCCCAATGTTAGTGATAGAGTGCCTTTTGTCATAGTTAAAGCTGCCAAAGGTGGCAAGGTAACTGGCTGTTCCTTTGTTGTTTATATAGATTGTAGACCTTTGTTGAGGAGTGATTATAAACGAGGTTTCTAGAAAAAAGGGGGACTTTGAGAGGAGATCAAGAGCAAAGGACGGAGGAGAAAGATGAGGGACAAAATTATACATACTTGACTTTGTGCGTAAAGTTTAAATTCTAATTCCACAATTTCTGAAAATGGAGGTGTGATAACTGTTAGAGACTGATTGATCTCAATGATTTAAATTTAAGATAAAGGAACCTCTAAAAGCTTGAAAATGAGGTGGGTTATTTTAGTTAGCTATGTATATTTAATACGAAGTATAATTTCCCTGTTTTTCCATGAGCAATGACTGTTGGAGTTGCATAATCTTGAATTTTTTTAGTATTTTGAGTATGAAAACTAGATATTATCAATTTTTTTGGATCAACATTATAGGATTGTGGAGTGCATAGATGTGGGTGTCGAAGAAAGGTTTCTAGGTTGTTATCAGGTATTCAGATTTGATTGATGTTTAAAACCGGTATGATTTTTTTTTTTTTTTTTTGACACATGATCTCAAGTATGGCTTCATGCTAATTTGTTTATGGGTTGAATTCCTTATATTTTATCTTCAAGTTAGGGATAATAAGTTGACTGAGTTGTTATTTTTTTCGTCCTTCATCTGCTTAAGTTTTTATTGTCTTTCCGCCTTGATCCTTTTTCGTTACTTTACTCATAAGTTTGGGACAATATATATATTCTTTTGTGCCCTCCTCTAATATACCATGGCTCTCCATATACTCAACGCTTCGAATGTCTTATTTAATAAACCGGTTATTTCATGAGAAATTAGAATAGAATTGTTACTCAAAGAGAAATGTTAAGTATATGATGAACATACAAATAACGGCAAAATAATAACCAAAAAATAATACTGATAAGTTGGGCGCGGATCCACAACTAGTAATACTAATTACTAGATATAATCATACTCTACAATTGAACTTATTTTTGAGGTCAAAAGATATTGACTCTTAAATATGTTTGTGAATCAACAAAATTACAAATCAACATGTTCATATTTGAAAGATTTAGCCATACACATCCGACATACCTATAAGAATTTGTGAAAAATTATACTTAAGGTATATGGTAATTCCTAAAATGAAAATTTGATTATAATGATCCAACCTTTGCGCGGTCCTATTTTATAAATCCGCCAATTCAATTATTCCGCAATAATCCAAGCTTTTGGGGGGTGGTAGGTGACCTATTGTTATAGATTAAGTGACATGCTTGACCTAATAGAATAGAACACCGACAACACCCCCAAAACTTGAGTTATTGTGGAATAGTTGAAAGGTTGTATTAATAAAATAGTATTGTGCAAAGGTTGGATTATTAGAATTAAATTTTCCTAAAATAATATTTTTTTTTTTTTGAACACAAATAAAAATAAAAATTCCTAAAATACCAACAATAATTTTCCTAGAATTGTGCAAAGGTTGGATTAATAAAAAATAAAAATTCCTAAAATACCAACAATAATTTATAATTTAGGCAATGAACAAAAAATTGATTTATATTTACGATATATTTGATCAATGGAAATACAATTAGTTTGACGAGTTAGTTTTTATTACGATATATTTAGGGAATATTTAAATTTGGAAAATATATTTTATCTAGGATATTTAATTCCCATAGTTATCATGTTTCCTAGTTTGATACGACTAAGGAAACTCTCTGCCTTGTGCTATTTAATGGCTTTGCCATGTGTTAATGAGAATTAAGCCAAAGCTTTATCACAAGTTTACAGTTTTACATAAAATTAATTAAAGCAGTAGTGTTTTTTTGGCCTTCATAAGACTGAGACAAAAAGGTGCAATAATGGTGTTAGCAGAATTAGGGGGGTGCATATCTAATGCTCTTCGGAAACTAAATAATTCAAGTGTGATCGATAAGAAGGAACTCGGTAAATGCTTGAATGAGATCACTCATGCTCTTCGCGATGCTGATGTTAACTTCGAGTTTATCAATCGCCACATTAACAATATTAAGAACAATATCAATTTTGATCATCTTTCTGAGGGTCTTAATAAGCGCAAAATTATAGAACAGGTACTATACTTCTCTATTGTATCTCTTTTTAAAACCTTACTTTTAATATTGCTGCTCGAATTTTTAACTTGATATTTGTTTTTTAAAGGCGGTATTCAATGAGTTATGTAGTTTGTTGAATTCGGAGAAGCCATCTTTTACTCCGAGGAAAGGCAAACCAAGTATTGTTATGTTTGTTGGTCTGCAAGGTATGTTATGTATGCACTTTTTTTTTTTCCTCTTTAATTTCCTAAGGTTACGTTCAACCCTACCTTTTTTTTTTTTTTTTTTTTTTTTTTTAAAACCACTAACATTGAGGACAATTTTTATTTTTTTAAAAAAAATATATTTATGATATTATATTTAGAAAAAAAAAAAAAAACTAATCGGTTACCTTGTATTCCTTTAACAATGCTCACCTCAATTCCTCCCATTGATGATTGATTTGTGGTTTTTAGTATGATGATATTGTTGATAGTTTAATGTCCCATCTTGCTTATTGCTGATTGAAGATGAATAATTATATATTGTGTACTTGTTCTTTCATTTTGACGAAAGAACTAATCACGCTAATCTGGCCTCTAGCCATATTAATCCATAATATTATAAAGAACAACTGAAAAAATTGATCTGATTTCATGACTATATGTTGACAACTATAAAAGGGAATTGAAATCTCAATTGTTTGAAGATACAGTAACAAAAACTATGAATTGTATATTTGTATGTATGGCCATCGGTAGTTTTTTTCAGAGATAATTAAGAGGAATTGAAAACAGTTTTTGAATATTACTTTTTTAGTATATAATTAATTTAAAAGTTAAATATAATAAACGTATAAGATTGGTCCTAGACATTTAAAGGGCTAAGATTAAATTTAATTACAATGCTTCTTAACATCGTTTAATTCAATTATGTTTGGCAGGGTCCGGAAAGACGACTACATGTACAAAATATGCCCGTCATCATAAGAAAAATGGTTGGAATCCAGCTCTTATTTGTGCTGATACTTTTCGAGCCGGTGCTTTTGATCAGTTGAAGCAAAACGCAACTAAGGCTAAAATTCCCTTGTATGGAAGGTATGTATATTGAATTCTTTTAATTATGCTACTGGGGTTTTTGTTTATTTAGTAATGATTATGCATTGACAAGTGGTGAAATTGGTAACAGTTACACGGAATTAGATCCCGTGAAAGTTGCAGTTGAAGGTGTGGAAAGGTTGAAAAAGGAAGTTTATGATCTGATTATAATTGATACAAGTGGACGACACAAACAAGAGGCTTCTCTATTCGAAGAAATGCGTCAGCTTGAACAGGCAACGAAACCAGATGTAGTGATATTTGTCATGGATAGTAGCATTGGTCAATCTGCATTTGACCAAGCACAAGCCTTTAAGCAAAGTGTTGATGTAGGAGCCGTGATTATTACTAAACTGGATGGTCACGCTAAGGGAGGTGGTGCTCTTAGTGCCGTGGCTGCCACCGACAGTCCTGTCATATTCATCGGGACAGGGGAACACATGGATGACTTTGAGGAGTTCAACACCCAATCATTTGTTTTACGCCTTTTAGGTACATAACTTATATACTTCCCCCGGCCCTTATTTATTTATTTGTACACGTGTATTCCAATTTCAATTCCTAGTACGTATTGTATAATATGATCTATATATATATGATGATTTATTTATTTGGTTGCATTTATAGGTATGAGTGACTTGCCAGGGTTTATGAAAAAGATAAATGGAGTGGTTATTAGCAAGGATGAGAAATCGAAGCAGGCTCAAGATTTATCCAAGGGGAAGTTTACATTTAGAATGATGTATGAGCAGTTGCAGAATATCCTCAACATGGGTCCTATGTCTCCGCTTTTATCAATGCTTCCTGGATTCAAATCTGATTTCATGCCCAAAACTAAAGAAAAGGATGCCCAGGCTAAGATTAAGCGCTATATGACCATTTTGGATTCAATGACAAATAAAGGTAACTTGTTCTTCATTCATACCTTGATTTGCTTTTTTTGTTTTAAAAATACCTCCTATATATACTTCCTATCTTGTTTAAATTAATACCAAGTCAGTGTTTTAGTTCCTGTCAAAAAAAAGGGTAAATGTTTTAGTTTGTCTTCTTTCAAGTTTATGAGTAAATGTTTTAGTTTGTCTTCTTTCAAGTTTAAGAGAAAAGAGTTGAATGCATTAAATTATTGGAAATTTTGTTTAAAAAAAACCGTTTATAATAACTTTTTTGTTAGGAAAATCCTTATAAAAATGTTTTGACAAAGAGAAACCAGATTGCAAAATATTTTGTTGAAAACAACCAAGGATGACAATCAGGCATTGACTAATTCTTTTCCGGCATTGACTCTACATGTGCCGGTCACGTGACCTAGTTTTTACTAATCCCACCCAATTTCTTCTGATTCTCCTCTACTTATTTTGTTTTAATTTTCCCTCTTGCTTTTCTCTCTTCTCTCCTCTCACTTCTCATAAGGAGAGATAAGCAGGAGGAAATTAGAAGAAAAAGGGAGAAAATTAAAACAAAATAATTAGAGGGAAATTAGGGGGGAGAGTCGATGTCGAAAAAGATCTAGTCAACGCCAGATTGTCCACCTTGGTTATTTCAACAAAAATATTTTGCAATTTGGTTTTTTTTGCCAAATTTTTTTAAACAGTTTTTTACCCGGTTTTTTCTAATAAAATTTCCTAAATTATTATTCAAGTGAGAATAAGGGATATTCTTACGGAGGAAGAAGAGAGTGGGTATGATGAAATATATATATATTATTCCTTATTTTGAAAGTCTTGAAACGTAATTGACTTTGATTTGACTTGACTATGGTGATGCAGAGTTAGATTGTAAAAAGGATATGTGCAAGTCACGAATCATGCGGGTTGCACGTGGAGTTGGGCTTCAAGTTAAAGAAGTTACGAAGTTACTGGAAGAGTACAAACGCCTTGCTAAGATGTTTAGCAAAGTCAAAACTCTTAACACTCCGCATATGTTGAAGCGGATGGGTGGTTTACAAGGCTTGATGAAAACTTTACAAACTTAGTTTATATTCGAGTAAATTGATACACTAGTATATGAACTATCATTCTCTAATTAAGTTTTTTTTTTTTTTTTTTGGCAATAACCATTACTATTGTTGGTATTTTATGAATTACCATCGAGTATAATTTTTAGGATTGTTTTGGAAATGATTTTCAAGACTTTGTAGTGTAAATCTATTACATTTTGATCCATCTAGTTACTTTGGTTTGTGATTCATAAGGAAAATACACGCGCGTAATTGTAAGTACTAACAATATTAGTATTATAGGCCTTAATTGTAAGTAATACAAGTAGTATTATTATAGTATCATAAAGGGTCTTAATTGTATGTAACAAGATCTAAAGAGTTAGGTCAACCCGCTCAGATGAGAACATTAAACAATACATAATAATAAACAACAAAAGTTCTCAAAAAAAAAAAAAAAAAAAAAACAACACAAGAGAATTATACCTATGAATCAAACACAGAAACATTATTGTTGAATACCATAACAATACGTCAACACATATAAGCACAAGTTTATAAAAAGAAATACACTACAAGAGTACGTTATGCAACAACATAATATTTATAAAACAAGCTAAGCTTCTCCTTCTTCCCCCGCCTCTTCATCTTCCTCTTCCTCGGGCCCTTGCTTGTTTAGAATCCACATAATTTCTTACTTCCAAGGACGAGAAAGTTGAGGTGAAACACAAAGGGTTCCCCGCCTTTGCAAGGATTTGTGAGACCATTGAAAGATTAGTTGGATTGCTTGAGGTTTGCCCAAGCTGATCAAATGTTTTAATAAAGTGTTATTATAAGTATTTTAAAGACTAAGCAAGGTGACTACAAATTTAAATTAACTCGACTAAATAACTTACTAACCTGTGAGTAGCACAAATATTGAAGACTTGGTGAGATGACCACCATCATCACCACAAGTTTGGTGAAGTCAGTAAACTCAATGGGTATTGACAAGTACATCCTTTTCAAGTTCATCAAGCGGACACGATTCGTATCAAAGTGGCGTGGTACCTAAGAGAAGGGAAAGAATTACAAAAACTAATTTGAATTCAATTCAATTAAAACTAAGTATTATATAGGCATAACAAATAAAGTATAGCTAAGAATGCATGACTCCTAAATTATAGCAACTACTTTGAATAATCAACCAACATACCCTTATGATGCGAGACAAGTGGAGCGTCATGTATTGAACAGTAGTAAGTCCATTTAAGAGTTGATATAGATCATATTCCCCTATAGAATCACAAGCAAAATCAACAAATTGAATCTCATTACAATCAATTGTAATGGTTTTCGATCTGGTAGGTTGCTAATACGATCTTCCTTGATAACCAGATTATTGTTGCCAATAATCCTAACAAGTAACGATAAAACCCTGTCTCGTAGTTGATGCATGTTGTACATGCCACGAGTATCAAATGAACAGCAGTCACATTTCAGTGAAATCTTACACAAGTATTCCCTTCCACCTTTGAATGTGTCCACTTTGTAAAGGTTCTTAGCGCAATCCGGCATATCCAAACGGAAGTACATGTAATAGTCGTCGTTCATCCGATTCAATGTTGTTTCAAATACTCCCTCAGATATGAACGGGTTAGGAGGAGACTTCTTAGGAGGAGGAGTACGAAAATAGAGGGAGGCGTGATCAAGTCCAGTAATGAGAGCTCTGCAGGTACCATTCTTAATCTGATGTTCCACGACTTTGACACGATCAAAGTCTTGACCCTCTTCGACTTTTACAGCAACAACATAAAACCGATTTGAATCTTTGATTGACAATACCTCATGAATATTCTTGGAAAAACCTTGAAAACGTATCTCCTTGTGTTTAACATCTAATCGTTGCAAATAATATGTAACGGAGCTAGTATCAGTTTTATAATAAATTAATTGCACATAGATGGGTATGGTATGGCCGTATTAGTATTGAGAATTAAGCTCTCAAAACCCATTACATATCCGCTACCCATGTGGCCATGTTAAATATGAGTTGACAATCGATGTTGTTTTATTTTATTTATTTATTTATTTATTTATTTTGAAACCTTGTTTTATTTTAATTGATTTGGAATTAATGTATGTACTTTACTTTTCTTTGAAATATACAGGGAGTATAATACAAAATAAATTCTCATCGGTGACATCTTACGGCCGTAAAAGACGCCATCCGTCAGAAGTTATTGCTGCCTTGCTGGTGCAGTTTTGCTACTCACTTCCTTACAGGAGGTGAGTGAGAGAGGTCAACGCAGAGTAGTAGGCTGCATAGGGAATCGTCGAATCGAGGTGCTGCTAACTGGAAGCTTTGCAATTTTGCATATGTATATGGAATATGGATGACTTACTATATAAATCTTCCAACGGTACTTTTACGGTCCATTTGGTATGCAGTAATAAATACAATTTCATAAAGCCCCCATTCATCTTCATGATAAACAAAATTTATTAATCTGGCATTTTCGTAAATATATCAACAATTCACTCCAGTCAGCATGACATTTTGTAAATAAGTTAACAGTTTTTATTAATATGTGGGTCCCACAAATGGTAACTTATTTACAAATATGCCATTAGATAAACAAATTTTGTTTATCATCAAAATGAACTTGTATTTTCTCTTTCATGAAGAATTCCTATGTTATTATCCATAATAATTTCTACTAGTTCGTAAGTGCTTGAATAAATAAAGAGCGAAAAATATGAATATACAAATATGATGACCAGAGAACCAAGCATAAAGGACCTGCATTGGTGAAGATGCAGCACATCAGCAACATGGAAAGGATCTAAATGAGTGGCTAAGCAAACTGACTTTGGCGTGTATGCAAACATGAAGCCAACCAAAGCATCATGCTAAGATGCTAACAAGCGCTTATCACAGCTAATGAATCAACAAAGCTCATTTAACTAGCGGTAACATATCCAGGGACCTAAAATGGCACCCAAAACAACCTATTCTACTCATAATTAATTGCATCTGCAGGCACATAAGTTCTATTTACACAGTAAGCCACCTTGAATGGCTATGTACCACAAGCATAGGCTGAAGCCATAATCCATGCTTTGTTTTGGTGATAACTAGTCAGGCATATGCAAGGAAACAACGCACAAAACTAAAACTACACCCCCTTCTGGGAGAGTTTGGAAATAACATCCCTTCACAAGTAATAGCTCGATTTTAGATATGCACCAGATAGGCAAAGAAGCAAAATGTGATCTTGCAGTTATTATAGCATTAAGATACATCAGATGGTTATACAATAGAGAAGCATGAAAACAAGCTTTGACCTTCCAGTGGTAAATGAAGAGAGGCTAATTCCTACAGCTCATTCAGCAACCACCTTGTTTACGTGCTCCCAGGACCATCAGGTGCATTGGCTGGCTTGCGCGTTAAGTAGCGAATAACAGCGTCCTCAACCCTGTTGTAGGAGTATCACAATGTCACATTAAAATATGTTCAGTGAATATGCATCAATAACATGCAACTATTCTATTGCTTACAAAATACTGCAATAAAGCTACATACCATGGTTGGTTGAAGAACTCTGATCTACGTTCTCTTTCTGCACTACGACTAGCTTCCCCAGACACAGCTTTGAGATCTCTGCTTTGGGATTCTATTAACGCATTAATGAATTCTACAGGTGACTGACTAAAACCGAGAAAGAACGCTCTCCTTCTGCGATGCTCATGTATCTTCCTAATAGCTGCACAAATTGCTTCATCACAAACCTCGATTTCCTTTGTTTTTTCAGTGTTTGCCAACAGCATGGAGAGCTCTCTCTGTATAGGGAAAGGTATGTCCACCAATATATCATAACAAGCATTTCCTGCAGGGCTATTCCCTGAAAGCTTGATTTGATGATCCACCTGTATCGGCGGAGGAGGAGTCAGATGCTGCGATATCTTCTGAGAGACCATGGTGAATTTCATCTTTTCTTCTCCAAATACCTTCTGAAGCTGTGGATCACAATTGAAGAAAGTTGGGTCATTGGGGTTCTGCAACTTTCTGGCTTTAACATAGTGCCAGATTGCAGCTATAATCCTAGGGCGAGTCTCAGCTTCTATACCAAGAAGTTCTGTCAAAGGTGGGGAAAGCTTAAATTTTTCAGGCATATAGTTCATATCAAATCGAATATTGACCATAAATTCCTTGTCTCCTTTCCTTTTCACCTCAAAACCCTCAGTGGGTGCAGATGCCCGAGAATTTTCCCATACTATTGAATGGTTCTCCGGGTACAGTCTCTGATCCAGTGCAATGGTAACCCTCTTAAAGAAATTAGAGAACTTTGGGTACATCGGATTTGGTTTCATGGCAGCAAGCTGCTCGGGATCCACCCCATCCTCCAATATCCTCCCTATCACCTTCAACGTCCAAGTAGGTGGCTCCGCATTTGGCTTATTCGGAGCAGATTGATTCTGATTAGCAAATGTATTAAACACATAGATCCGAAGAGTTTTTTGAACAGAGGGAGGATTTTTCAAAGCCTCCTGAATATCAATCTTCTTTCTTGTCAATGCAGAATCAACACGAGACTCAAACTCAAGAAGCTGAGTATATAAAGCAGATTCAGGCAATATAGGAGCTACCCTATCACTCAAATGCTTCTCCTGAGGTTTCTGCTTCTTCCTCCGAGCAGCAGCTGCAGGTGTAAGGTCCATCATATTCCTCATAGGGGACATTAAATTAATCCCACCTGAGGGTCCTGGAGGGCGAACGGGGGGTTTCTGAGGGACCCTTTTAATACCCGAATTCCCCGGTCCTGACATCGAAGGAGATGAATTACCCCCTAAATTACCCATCCCCATAGCTTGTGACTGATTAAGGGACATACCCTGAGCCTGCAAAAGATGAGCATGGGCAGCAGCAGCCGCTTTCGACTGCGCTTGAGCCAGGGCATGAGCTTGTGCTTGGGCTAATTGAAACTGATTCTGAAACCCAAACCCTAACTGATGAGGCTGATTTTGACCTTGAGGTTGGGAAGATGATGATGATGGGTTAAAATTTGGGGGCAAATTAGGGTTTACCATTCCAGCATTTCCAAATGGGGATGACATTGATCCCCCAATATTCTTGGGTTGATTATTGTTAGTATTTGCAGACATTTCCAAAATCCCACTAACAAAACAAGACTCAAATCAACAAATTCTCTAACCCTAACAGCTTATTCTATGTTCTTGAGTTCCCCAAAGTTCAAATTCAACAACAATAAACAAAAATTCGAAAGTAAAAAGGGGGAAAGTTCAAAGCTTTACCTCATCTCACGCACACTGTTACAAACTACAGAATTCAAAACCCTGAGCTTGAATTCTCCTCAGCATTAAATTACCAGAGAAATGCGACCAACAACCCCAAAATGCGAAAATCACAAAGAACCAAGATTTAAAATTAGGAATAAAATTAGAAGTGATTTTCAGATCTAGGGTTTAAACTGAAAAACCCTAGATTAGGAAATTATGGCATCGATTGACAATAAAAAGGGGGGGAAAAGATGAAAAATTTGACGAAATAATAGGGTTCTCTTTGACGAATGCGATTGCAGTAGAAGTGAAATGTAGAGTGGAGAAGAGAGAGAAGGAAGAAGCAGAGAAGTTCAGAGTTGGGAAGAAAGGCGGGGCGTTTCAGCTGCCTTCTACTACTTTGTTTTCTTTTCTTTTCTCTTTTTTTTTTTCTCTTTCTTTTTGGTAACTATTGCTGTTTGAAAGTTTATGGTCTTTACTCTTATTACTCCGTATCCTATTGCGTTTAATGTACTTCGTATAACTTTGACTTATAATATACGGAGTATGTAGATTTTTATATGTAACTAATACGGAGTAATAATTTTATAAAAGAATTCTAAATAAAACAAAATCTTAAAGACTACATTACTCTATTAACCACTATGAAATACTTACGGATATTCTGAGTAAAATCTGATGCATCGCTCGGGCCACACATTAATTGAAAATTAAATGGAAAATTTTACGTGGCGGCCTCCAACTTTTACAAATTTCATATGGTGTCAAAACAAAAAACACATAATCTCTAGTGAACCCAAACTTTCATTAAACTCTATTTAGTGGCCAAACCTCACTTAGAATCGGTTAACCACTCGGTTAGGGTTAGATTATTAACTCTAATCAAGTGAATTACTAACCTACCCCCATTTAAATCATATCCACCTTTTTATTTCAACTGATTATATTAAAACCATTGCAGGCTCTTAAAATCCTCCCCTTTTCTTCGATAAATTAGGGTTCTTTAAAAAAAAATCTGACTTCCTAAATTTGCAACTGATTTAATTGGTTTTCGAACAATTGGTTCAAGGTCCAAATCCACCATTACAAAAACGAAGAGCTTCAATTTCTGATCGCCTTCAATCGCCGACTAGTCCCCTGTTCTTATGCTCAAACGACGACAAACTTGAATGCGCTCAAGCCCGTGCCGCACGCGCTGCCGTCGTTCGCCGTAAACTCGCCTGAGGTGATCTATTTCTGCTATATATCTGAAATTCTAGTGTTTTTGGGTAATTTCTGGTTTCTGCTTGGATTGGTGTAGTTTAATTTTTTTGATTCTATTAAACTGCAATTTGTGAAATTCAATTGCCCTTTTTTGTAATGATTTCTGGGATTTTTATTTTTTTTGCTTGGATTGGTGTAGCTTAATGTACTGGTGAAATTCTCTTTCATATCATGTTACTTTGCTTGATTTTTGAGTAGATTAATTACATGAATTTTATTAAAGATGCTGGATTTCTGTAACTAATTTATTGTTTAGGGGAATTATGTTGGAAGTTAAGGAATTATGCTCATGTCAAGAACTAAAAATTAGATTAAGATAGTTGCCCCCCTGATGATCGAACCTATAATACGATCATTAGAGGTTATATACTCAATAATGACTTGTCAAATGCATTATACTATTGTGATCTTATGGTTGGGAAAAGATTTGAAGCTGATGCAGACACTTTGTCATTGTTTGTTGGCCTCTTGTCTTCTGATAAATTAAGTGACTCAAACAAGAATTTGCTATCGAAGTTTATCAGCTGAATTTCAGTTAAAATGTATGCAAAGATTTTGGACCTTGAATATGTTTTCTGCAGAGAAAATTTAGATGGAGTAGGATGCTCCTAGACAATCTATGAATAACAGACCGCTTTTAGCTCCAATTGGCATGTTTCTTCTGAGCTTTGGTGCAGAGATCACCAAAGAACAATGATATCTTGTTTGTATCCAGATGCTTCACTACTTGGTTTTGTAAATATTTCTGTACTTTAATGTATATATTATGCTCCTAGACAATCTATGAATAACAGACCGCTTTTAGCTCCAATTGGCATGTTTCTTCTGAGCTTTGGTGCAGAGATCACCAAAGAACAATGATATCTTGTTTGTATCCAGATGCTTCACTACTTGGTTCATTTGCAAAAAAAAAAAAAAAAAAAAGAACTAAAAATTAGATTATTTTTCAAGGCTATTAGCTCAACGGGTAGAGCAATGTACAGTAGTGTACATGGTGTGGGTTCAAGCCCCGCATAGCGTACATAACACTCCTAAAGTGATCAAAGTTGATGCTAATATTCCCACCCATGGCATATCTTAGAGTAAAACAAATGGATTGTATATAAAAGGTTTAATCAACATTAGAACCATACTCATTACCTCATAAGCACACTGAAGCTTCTTAAACAACTCACTTGCTTGTCGACTACCCATATTTTTATCAGGATGCACTAGCACAGAAAGATAAAAGTGCCAACAAATTTATCCTTTTGTTAGCACGTACATCCATTCTGCATATTGTTGCAACAGAGAGATGCATAAATAACATGAAATATTCGGCAATTTATAAGAGCCCATTGCTCAGCACTTCGGCATGAAAAGTTTACTGATCTTACTGCATAAGGAAAGCCATCTTTTGCATTTAATTGCATTAAAGCCATTTAGCTGGAAGGTAGTCACATGTATACAGCAGCAGATCTGGCTGGACTATCACTAAAGTGAATGTATGTAGAAGTTCAGGAATCAAAGCAACACAAGATTAAAAGTAGATAGCAGCAGTCTGACAAATGCCAATTGATGCATAAAAAAAAATGTTTCAGAAAAAAAAGAAAAAAAAAAACATCAAATCTAGTACATAAGTTGACCTTTATTTACTACTAAATAAAAGATACTCATGTTGAAAAAAACAGACCCCAGGCTACATTTTCTCTTTCCCTTTGTTGCTGTTCCTTGGCTTGGACTGAGATAGCTGAGAAACTGGCTCTGGTTGGGAAGAAGATATAGTTAAGCTTCGTGTAACATTAGCAGTGGTTGGCTGGGATGCAGAGGTAGCAGCAGTTGTCTTTTGTTTTTTCTCGGTACCGTGTGATGCTTTCTCCTTTGTCGTCATACCACCTTTGCATGTTTGCTTGTTATGGCCATATGATTTACAGAGTGAGCATTTGACTGTGGTTGACCTTTTTTCTTTATCTGGTTCATCATCAGCTCTTCTTCTCTGTCTTGATGGTCTTCCTATTCCTCTCCTCATTGTAGGAGCTTGAATTGTTGGCTGGTCAATTTCTGGCCAATGCTCAATGTCTGGAATTGAGTTGATGGCATGTGAATAACATTGTTTGTAGGCTGCAACTGAGTACCATGTGCTAACATACTTATGAGGATCATGTCTTGCAGCTAGTATAGCCCTTAATGCATGCCTACAAGGGATGCCTGAAATTTGCCAAGCCCCACATATACAACTTTTATTATTGAGTGACACCGGGAGCATTGACTTACCCTCTCTTATTTCATATTCTCCCTCTTTATTCTGGAATGCCTTGCAAGTTCTAGAAGCATTGATCAGCATTTGGATTCTCCTTACAATGGTAGGACATGGATCAGAATCATTCCAATCTTTACATTTCTGTCTTCTACTTGACATCCTTACCATACACATTCTTCGTATGCCTGCAAAAACCACATATAACCAAGCATAAAATTCAACATAAGAACCAAGTTATATTTACAAAAATAATTATAAAGATTAAGAAAGACATAAATTTTTACCTTCCAAAAGAGTCAGAACAGGTCTGCATCTGTCCACTCCTAAAGTGGCATTGAAACTCTCCACAAAGTTTGTTTTATTCTCATCTGTGCATATCTTTGGGTCAAACTTGTGTCTTGACCACCTCTCTTGATCTCCTAGATTAGCTAACCATATTAGTGCCAAGTGGTTTGTCTTCTGAATTCTTTCCATAGCCTTTTTAAAGGTGAATGTTGAAGTAGCACTACATGCCAACCAAAATAAGGAGTGCATCAAGGGTCCTGGAAAAGCTGATTTCCAGTTTTTAGCTAAGTGCTTGCAGCAATACCTCCTCCCTACTTTTGGCTATAGCTCAGTTAAAGCAAGATCTATTCCCTACAAGAACACATAATGAAGAAATTAACACTAGTAGAGTATACTTACTGAAATTAAGCCAACATATGAGACACTAACCTTTTGCCTGTCAGATATAATGCACCAATCATCCCCTCTATTTAAGTCTTTCAAGATTTGCTTCAAATGCCAAATGAAAAACTTCCAGTTCTCCCCATCTTCAACTGAAACTATAGCCCATGCAAATGGATGTAGCTCATTATTTGCATCTATAGCCACTGCAGATAGCAAAACCCCTCCATAGTTCCCTTTCAAGTGAGCACCATCAACCCCAATCAAACTTCTACAACCTGCACCAAGCCCATCTATTGCTCCCTTGAATGATATGAAAATGCTAGAGAAAGTGAGTGACAGTTGGGGATCATTCTTTCTCCATGCACAATTAGCTGCTGAACCAGGATTAGTTTGCTTAACCATTTCACAGTACCTAGGAAGATGGCCATAAGACTCATCATGCCCACCATTGATCTCCCTAAGAGCAATACTCCTCATTTTATAGAGAGTACTAGTGGCCATCTGCACCCCATACCTGGTCCACAACAAGTCATTCAAAGTTTTCCCAGTTATATCATTGTTTTCCCTTATATCATCAATTAGCTTACTTGCAGCCCATTTCACATTAACTAAAGGATTCCTCTCATCCAAACCCCTACAATTGTGCTCTTGATCTTTTATACTCTTTATGGCTCAAGTAGTGCCATCAGGGAGTACACTTGAATGTATCCTCCAATTACAGTTCAATTCCAAGCACTGAGCAGTGAATCTAGCTGGACTAGATCTATCCACTACAATGGCAAACCCAGATTGTATACAATAATCTCTTAGAACAGATAGGAAATGTGCTTTATCAGTAAATATCATCCATGGTTTCAAAACAATACTTCCAAACTCAACATTTTCAGCAAATTCTCCATTCTTATACATTTTACTGACATAAGTGTCATCATCAAGTAGTTCAGTTTGCCATACATCAGATGCATAAGCATCATAATTGTCAATGATCTCACCAAATTCCTGATCTTCTTCATCTGAGACACCACCTCTTTCAAAATCTATGTCTAAATCTTCATCTCCAATGTTAGCATTCATTTCTGGCTGTAAAGTTTCTCTATGCTCAAACCTCCTATTAAACTCCTCTTCAGTAATCACTTGTGCCTCTTTTTCATATGGTTTGTTCATCAAGCCCTTCCTAGCAGCAGTAGTCTTAGGTATTTTATGAACAATCAAGGCTGTGTTGTTTGATGAGGTTGGATTCAGGGTAGTTTTTTCAAGCAACGGAGCAAAGTAGTAGTGTCAGCTAGAGTAAGTGGCTCATTAGTAGGTAAACTCCTTTGAACAGGTAACTTAACCCTAGGCTTAGGATTGTCCCCTCCCCCCTTTCCCTTCTTTTTAAGTGTCTTACATCCACTCGCTTCCTCTTCCATTCTTTCCCAATTGTCTATAAGTGTTTCATTTAACCTAGGTGGACTAACATCAGACATGTCACTAGTCCCAACATCAAAGCTTTGGTTGTTTTTCTTAGGTGGACTTAGACCATAATGCATATTGGGTTTGTTTTTCAATGACTCTTTAAGATTCCTAGCTGCAACTACACATTCAGAAGGTGTTTCAACTGAACCCACATACACTGTAATCACTTTCTTACTTCCTCCTATTCTATCTAACATAGACATTAAATCACTGTCACTAGTAATTTTAACATCCTTCTTATTATAACAGTAATGGAAACTAGGATATTTAGGCATCATATACGCATTTTTCCTAAACAATTCCTCATACTCAATAATAAAATCAATCCACATTACTTTATCAACATCATCAACATTAATATCAACCACATTCTTTGCCGTTTGAAATTTTAACACAATTGAGTCCATTCTGCAACATTAAACCAAACACACAAAAATTCCAAATAAATCAAGGGAATGCTCAATAAAATTCTCAAAACTAAGCTAGCTGCAAATCGCACAAAAAAAAAACCAAAAAAATGCTGCAAATCGCACAAAAAAAAACAAAAAAAAAAACAGAGTAACCAGATAATTTAGCATGCATATATGAGAAAAATTCAAAATTTATTGAAAATATCTTTAACTGATTACCTGGAAGATGTTTACCACATTAATGTTCAGTCGCAAACCGTTATTTTGCAATGAATCCAACAACAAACCCTAGCCGTCGATTTGAATACTCAATCGCAAAATTGCCAAAAAATACAACACAAAACAGAGAGAACTTTGTGCAAAATCTGTAAATAATCAATTTACGTTCTTAAAATTTGCTCAATTTCAACGAGTTTGAAGTGTTGTTATAGATTGCACTTTGAATTTTAGGGAAGAAGATGAACATGTATATGAAATAATAGGGCAGTGGAAGAAGATGAACAGAAAGATCATCAGTGCGTGAAATATAGTCAGCATTAATGAAATAAGAGGAAAGGATTAGAAATAGGGGTATGTTAGTAAATTCATAAATTAGAGTTAATAAAGTTAGCATTAGTGAGTGGTTAACCGATTCTAAGTGAGATTTGGCTACTAAATAGAATTTAATCAAAGTTTGGGTTCACTAGAGATTATGTGTTTTTTTTTTACACCATATAGAACTTGTAAAAGTTGGAGGCCGCCACGTAGAATTTCCCAAATTAAATTCATGTTCAAATTATTTTTGATAAGGTTTTAAAAAGTTATTTATTTTAATGATTAAAATTTATTTTTATATTGATTTTTTTAATACATACGACCTTTAAATACTGATCAATAGTTTTGCAAATGAATGCCGAGGTTGACTCAATTTACCTCAAATCAAGCTAATAAAATAAGAATAAAATCACCTTTTACTACGGGTCAAAAAAAAATCACCTTTTACTATGTATTCTTTCATATCTTACAAGCTTACTAAAAGTCTAAAAATATTTCTAGCTATAACTTATGAGCTTTTACTCAAAAGCCAAAACAACTACTCCCATATACGTGTCTAACACAAGTATCCAAGATCAAGTAACATAAAAGACACTCGTATTTTTGAGGCTTGCAATCTCTTCTTTTTACAAAAGTTGATTATCAGATTCTAACAGTTTTCAAAGCTCTAAACTCGTATATGCAATCTTTTTTACATTAATATGTGCAGATACTGCGCCATACAATCTACAAGCTACTTTTTACAACTTTCACACTCTTCAAAAGCTTTTGATTTTGAGATTGTTTCCCTATGCATTGTTTAATGCCTAATTTCCCAGGAACCTATAACAAGTTAACTACAACAAATATAAGGACTTCAAAATGGTTGCCCTGATCAAATGGAGTGGTACATAGTAGCAGATCTAGATGGACACTTATTATCCTATACACAAACATTCAACAGTTCATAGCATTAGCTTGTCATGGAGGAGAATTACGAGTCATTCGTGATGAATGAAACAGTCGTAACAGTCTAACAGAGGCCAAAAGTGAATAAAATCTGCTGTGATGATACAGATCCCAAATTCTGAAGAAGAATAAACCACCACTAGAATATGTATAAGAATTGTACACTTCTACAAATACAGGAAAGTGTGAAATGATGAAAATCCATACTAGAGTTCATGAGACTGGCAGATTGGCAGCAGACAGGAAGACATGGAAGATGTGCATTATTCAAGGAATTTTATGCAATTTCGTAAGACAAATTTCGAATAACACAAGTACATGCTAGTTGAGCTTTCTTTTTAGGGAACTGAATCCAATTATCTCAAAGGTAACATGAAGCACAACCCAACCACGATATGAATACAAGTCACTCGAATCACATTAGCTGAAACAACACACAAAAAACTTAAAACAAAGATATATAATACAGGTTAAGTGCCTAAATTACTGGCACATAACCTTATTAGTTATTTTGTAATTTACTGCCCATGATATTCCATCCCATGGCTCAAGAAGGTTTGAGCCTTCAAGTGTCCTTCAAGCAACCATAACAGTGCAGTTCATTATAAAATGACTTCGTCTATTGCCACCACCATCATCAAGGAGCTTCCAATTCAAGGTTTCAGCACTCGGGTAAGGACAGCAAGTATAAATAGTCATACCACGGCCTGACAGAGATATAGTTGATCCACCTATGACCAGCAACTCGTTACCAAGAGACTTGAAGGCCACACCCCAACCTTTGTTTATATCAGCTCGAACAGGAATAGGTCCCAAATCCCTCCAAGAATTGCTGGTTTTCAGATACACCATCAAGCTGTTTGTTGATGTTTCGATAGTGTATAGCTCATTGTTAACAACAGCAACTAGAGGTGGAGACGGGGTAGACTGAGAAGAGGGTAGTGTTAAACCATTCAAAATCCCCGGTATTTCCACCCAAATATTTCTTTTCTCATCAAAAACCTCAGCACAGGTTAGAACTTCATTATTTTGGCTTTGTCCTCCGATGACAAAGAATTTGTCATCCATGTAAACGCCAGAGCACATCTTCCTTTTTACTTTCATCCTTGGGAGCGGCTCCCACGATCTGGTCATAGGATCATACTTCTCAGCCGAGTTCAAAATCCCTCCACTCTCCAGACCAATGCCTCCTGCTACATAGGCTAAGCCACCAGATGATGCAGATGCAAACAAACACCTAGGCTGAATCATGGAACTACCCTTGAACCATTTGTTCATGATCACATCATAAGTCCATATGACAGGTCCATCCAACTCATTCCCACAAACAAGAAGATGAGTCCCGGCACAAAGAGACTCTTTATCACCGAGTCTAAAGACACCATCACAAGGTAATACAGGAAGCGCCTTATGGAATGTAAACTGCTGATCAAATGCCCACCAATTATCCTCCCCACTGGCAAGCATGAACACTGATGCTTCTCTTACACCAATCATTCTCCTTTCTCTCAACAAATCCCCATTTTTAATTTGAGCTAAGAACTTTTTGTTCAACAAGCACAATTTTCTGAATTCCAAAAGCGGAATTCTTGCCACTATCATATTCTCCAACTCATCACTGAGTTGAGGAACATGATAGTGTGTATAATCTGCATCCTGAGGCTTGATACCTAATGATAGATCAAGCCCGAAATTAACATAGGAAGAAGCATTACTCTTCCTGATTTTCCCAGGCCGCAGCTCATCCGAAACAATCGAATAAGCTGCTGCAGAGGAATTCAAATCAATGACATGAATGATTTCCTCTTCATCGGATTCACAGTAGTAGAAATTATCTCCATTTTCTTCATACTCTTGATCATCGAATTCGTTGCCTTCCATATCAACTTGTTTTTCCTCAATTTCTTTGCCTTTGGACATCAAAGAACTTTAAACCTTTGGAAACCTGCAAAATCACAGCAATATAATATGTAAGACATTATTACAGTATCATACTTCAGAAAAACTCTCTTCAAAAACCTCAACATCACATAAACCACAAGTCAAACAACATTCTAACCAATTACAAGATTAAATTGAGAGTGATTAACAGCTAAAAAGGCAATTAAGCTGAAGATAATCCAAACAAGAAACAAACAACCACAAATTGCCTGAAAAATCAGACATATATTACACTCTAACAAAATATTTGATTCTATTACCCAAATTAACTTCATATAAGCTAGGGTTATAAAACATTAGATCAAATATTTTCTAATATGCTAGATTAAAAATAAAAATTATACAACTAAACTATAGGATTAAAGACTAATGAGGCATGTATAATATAATAATCATTATTACAGCTAATTAGAAGGATATTAGACCATACCCAAATCAGAAAAAAGGAGATTAAGAAGCAAATGATGATTAGTGATTCCTAATTAGCTTAATTATTTCTATCAAATCTCAAAGACCCACATACTAAAACAAAGTTTAGACTAGTAAGACTACTATTTATATATGTTTATATAAATAAATGTACAGAATCAACAAAGATTGAGAGACAAGATACCCACCAATACAAAACAGTCAAAGATAGTACTTAAGAAATGTTGAAAATAATTAATTACCCATTAATTACCCTTAATTAAAAACATCAAAAATTAGAGAGAGAAATAGAGAAGCGTGCCAAATAAGTCAACAGAAGAAAAATGGATTAAAGGGGGAATTTTTATTTAATTTTTGATTAATTTATTTAGGAAGAAATTAATTGCAGAGAAACAAACAGGGCTTTAGAGAAGAAAGAAATCATCAATGGAGGTTGAGATGCCATGAAAAAGAAGATTGAGAGTAAAACAAGATATTTAAAGAGTATAAGTATTTGTGAAAAAGGGGAATTATAATTAGTGGGAATGGTGGCTATTAATTTTCAAGTGAATCTATAAAATTCAACCCATTAATAGTAAATTAGTGAAATAGTTTTCAATTAAATTAAAAATTGTTTTGGGTTATTTTAATGGGGGTTTAGGTTGGTCCAAAATTCTGCAAAAACTTTCGCTTTTTCACCATTGAAATAGTCTGTAATTTATGAGACATGAGAACGGCAATTTCCGTCGAATTAGAATATTTTAGTGGAGAAAAACACAGCCAACTATTTATGGGCAGTGAACAGTGATGGATTCCATTTTTATTTTGAAGAAAAAGGGTTAAAAGTGACAAACCGTTTATTTTGATTTTTTAATAACATCCCCAAATTTTTCATATTTTAATTATCATCCCAAAATTTTAAATATATATATATATATATATACTTCCTCCGCCACATATTATGTGCAACAAACTTGTTGCACGTTTCCTAAGATAAAATTTATTAATGTTGATTAACTAAATGAAAGGTGTGTGCTTAAGGTTAGGAGAGAGAGTTAATGGCCACCACTACACCACCTGCCAGCAGAACATCCACCACCACCCCACTAGCCGTTACCACGTAACCACCACCACCCCACTCGTCGTTACCACGTAACCACCACCACCTTACCTAGGCCTACCCCGTAACCACCACCACCATGATCCGAAACCCCACCAGCCAAATCGCGGAACCCCATCACCTGAGCGAAATTGCGACAACGTGAAACCTCAGTAGCCAATTAATCGCGAAAACCCACCACCTGAGCAACGCAACATCGCGAACCCCACCATCCAGATCTGAAACCCCACCGACGCAACCAAGATCTGAAACCACCGCAACCAATCTCACCCAGTTCGCAACCACCACAGTCCACAAACCACCCTTTACACACTCTCTCACCACCGCAAACCCTAATCAATTTTTAGGATTTCAATTTCCAGAAGGATCAGCGACAATATCATGGAGGAGGAGGCCGGTGACTCGATCGGCGGTGGATCTCGACGCAACAGGGGTAGGCTTGGGCGACAGAGGCGACTTGGGGGGGGGGGGTTCACGGAGACATTAATGGAGTAGAGGTGCTCAGGGGGATTCGGGGTTGGGACTGGGTGGGTGGGTGGGCAATTTTGGCTGGTGTGGATCGAACCGTCGCTGCGAGAGAAGCGTGAGAAAATTGGTGGTGGCGGTGGCAGTGGCAGTGGCGGCTACGAGGCAGGTGAGAGAAAAGTTGGTGATAATGGTGGTGGAGGTGGTTGTAAAGGAGGAGAGAGATTGGGATGGGTTTAGATGATTGATTAATTAATTTTGGTTAATATGTTAATAACATATAATCTTAATCATTTAATATGTGTTAGTAAAGTTAACTAAGGGTACATTGGTCATTTTAAGTAAAAAAATTACTAAAAGGGGAAAGTTTTAGTTTGTTGCAGATAATGTGTAACATCCATTTTTAGAAAATGTTGCACATAATGCGTGGCGGAGGAAGTATATAAGTTTCTTAATTGATATCGAGCTAAGCCAGCTCACCATACAAGTACTGCAAATTTAGTGAAATAGAGGAATTGTTAGCTTTTGAGCATATACTTTTTAGTAATATGATTATGATAAAATAAATGTTATCATAATTGTAACAAATTTTAGAAATACTCCCTCCGTTTTTAAATATTTGCTTCATTTCTATTTTTTGCACTATTCATTTGTCCTTACTTTGACTAATGTTTGTGATTTACACATAAGAAAAAAAATATAGTCTTGTGGATACTTGTTGGAATCATTTCAATGAATAGATTATTAATTTTCAATTGTTGGAATTTAAACTTATTGATAATTAAAGATATAGAAATGGGGCAAGTATTTAAAAACGGAGGGAGTAATAGATTTAACAATGTGCTATTTAGTATTTACATCTTGTTGAAGAATAGACCTCTTAATTATAACCATATATAAGTGTTGAAACCCATTGTAACCCACTTGTGAGTGTCCCACATTGGAGAAAGAGGAGAGGTGGTTCCACTTTATAAGGTAGAGGAGTTACTCCTACTATCGCCAATTGGTTTTAGTATGGAAGCTCCAAAGCCTTGATTGTGGACCAAATTCTCCTTCTCTTTGTTCGGGTTGCCCAGACCCATTTCATATTGTTTCAAAATTTGACAATAAGAGTCTTAGGTTAGTTAAAAACCCGGCAAGCCCGCTACTTTTTTACGGGTTTGAACATGAGAAATTGTGCTAAGGTCCGCCCGGACCCGATTTTTTATCACCTCTAGTGTGTGTGAAGGGAAGTGTGTGGCCCAAACCCATATTTTCCACATTCACATATGACATACAAAGAGCAACTTTTTTTTATTGATGTTGAGAGTACAAATGACACATAAGATAGACAAGACCATTGAAAATTTGTATAGTAAGGAATACTCACAAAACAAAAATACCATACACTATAAATAGGAGCCTTTAGTTGTGAATTGTGATGGTTTTGAATTAGATTTAAATTGAAGTGAAATTGTGAACAAAAATAGCTTAATTGAATTGAAAAATAAGTTTAAAACAACGGCGTCTAAGTCACTTTTAAAGACCTTAAAATTATTTATTTATTTATTACTATTTGGGTTATTTTGTAAATATTTTTCCTTTTTGAGTGTTGATTTAAATTGAATACATTTTCATAAAAAAATTCCATAAAAGTTGGTGGCCGCAATTTAACTACATTCAATCTTGGGAGGAAAACTCCCAACTTTTTTTCAAGCATGAGATGATTATGATGATGAGATGGTGAATTATGAATAGGAATTTAGTCAAATTTGGAGGGGTTTTCAAGTATTGGAGGATGAAAAAGATTCAATGGAGAAAAGGTCCCCAATGCTTAGTCAGCTTTACTATGAGCCTTTGGACCACTTAATTAATTAATTACAAACTTTACTTAATTTTGACACTTAATTATTTGTCACCAATGCAAAAAAGAACAAATTTTAGAAATTTATAATTATACTCCATAAACGACCATAATCATCTAAACCTTTAAGATAAACACTTTATGTGTGGCAAGGAATATAACAACTATACTAGGTAATTTTAGTGATTTCTTTGCTGTTTTAGATTTGCTTTGCATATAAATAGTATTTTTTTTTTCTTTATTTTATCGTTTGAATGAATTATTGACGAATATTATATGAACTTATCTAAACAACATGATAATCTCTACTGAATTTGCATGGATATATAGATAAGTTATCACATGCATGCATCCCATCCATTCATCTTAAAAACTTACTGTAGGAGAACGAAGTATAAGTCCAGGAAAGATCAATATAATTTTGTTCCATTAATTAAATTGCTACCTTTGTTCAACAATATTAAAACATTAACTTTTGTCTAAATAATTCATTGACACACATTTAACACGCATATGAAGCCACCCCAAACTTGATGTTTTTACTAGGAGAAAGTTGATATAGGAATAGCCGTTCCATAATATATATGAAACACATAAGTTCTAGATCAAGCATGATGGTTAAGCTTCAGGTCCCGTTCAATTCAGCTTCGTTTTTCTCTCATAAAATATTCATTTCAATCCAATTCAGTAAATATGAACAGACCCTGATTTCATTATTGATTGCAAGTGAGCCAATTTTTATCACTAAATAAGTAAATACTAAATATATGAATTGGTAACATTATTCTCCGTCCTTAATATATTGTGTAAACTGAATATTTTATGATCTTACTTTATCATCTTCCGATCCATATAACTATCAAGTATCTAACACTTAAATTTTTCCATGCTCATTTAAAAGAGTGTAACATGAAGAAGTAGAACTCAAGTAGGAAACTATACAAACACAATTACACGACACATGATGACACAACTTATCAAAAAAAAAAAAAAAAGTTAACGCACCCAACAACAACTTTGTTTAAAATTATATTAGCAAGAATTAAACCGCCACTTCCACAATTTATAATCAACCAATAAATAAATTTCAAGGCAAGAAAAAGTCGAATATCCTTGGGCACTTTTGTAAGAACTACATGAATATACCATCTTTGAGTTATTTCTCTAAATTCCATTATCTATATAATACTCTTTAATTAGTTCACATCAAAATAAATTATCTATGTATATTAATTAATAATAAGATCTTTATGCTATATTATTAAAAAAATATGGTTCTTCATAGTAGTTGTGATATCTTTCCGATTCGTGAGAGAGGAAATAAAGGAGGGTTGTAATAACAAGTGACGATATAAGTTGGTATATGGCATCATGGTGTACGTAATTAATCAAATCGACCAATGCATCATACTTAGTGTACTATTAGGATGCATATATTCAACCGATACTTCATATATAGTTTTTCCATGTAATAATTGCAAATTAGTACGAGCAATATATACATCATATATATACTTCGTATATATATATATATATATCATATAGCTTAGGTATACGATTATTATGAAATTTTTTATTCTAGGGTACGTATTTATTACAAAAGTTATAAAAATTACATACATGGATAGAAACTGTAAAGATTACTAATTCACTATCTAATTAGCTGATTTATTATGTTCTTGTAACTTTTTTTTCGTATATTTCACTCTCGTTTATTTATTCTAGTAATTATATCATTGCTCACTATTTTGAACTTGAGAACGACCTATTTTGATCGAGCTTAAATTGATTCTTATATTGCTCGAAAATCTTAAATAATTAATTATGTATTAAAATTAAAGCGTTTATAAGAACATGTACGTGTCACCTGGACTCAAAAACTCCCCCTAATCACTAGAACCATGCCAGTATAACAAGGTTCGAATATGAATTTTTTTTATATATACATATTTGATTGAGGAAGCTTCTGGTTTAGCATAAATTCCTTATATTTAATGGTATAAATATGAAAAAAATCAGATACGCAACCTCTATAATTCTCTAGTGTAGTGGTAGCTTCTAATCCAATCATTGTAACATAAGCCCATAATAACATTTAATATCATATCAAATCCAAGTATATGTAGAAAGGCATGCATGTATGATATAATTAAAGTAATTTGGCTGGCTAATCAACTCAATTAATCTAGATCATTAGCAACGATATTGACACGTCCCAAACTCAAAAATGGGAGTTGATTGGATAAGGCTTCTTTTTTTAACTGCCTTTATCTCTAATTATTTTAATTAAGAGGCTTCCATGGCTAATATGCGGCGGATTAGTGTAAGTCGTAGATTATTTGGCGTTTTATCATGTATACGTATATAATCTAAGATTCTAAGCACATAATTTTCGGCTTTATACTAATTAAAACAATAATAATACCGTCGTTGTCTTAGTTATGTCAACATTTTATAAGTAGATTGTTGCCACTGTGCCTTAAGTTATTTTTTACTAATTAAGAATTAAGCATTAAGCATGATAGGATGGATAAAGTTGTATGAAACCTAATTTGTTGATGCCAACAATTTTGAAAAAAAATTTGTAGAAATTGAATTGTGAAGATGATTTGATCAATTTAAAAAAGCGCCTTGTTTGGTAAGTAGTTGTGTACAATAAGACTCTTGATTGGTTTTTTTTTTTTTAATGATTTTTGGCTTATAATTTTTTGCCATGGACGAAAATCAAATCTTGATAAAAGGGCTTTCAGCCAAATAGAAAAGGCTAATGGGAGCAACTAATTGGTTAATTGTTCCAATTAAAATGATAAAGTTAGTCCCTTTTAATAATAAAATACATCGATCATCAGTATTAGTTAGCAACTAACAGTCAATTAATATGTCATTTATCGTACATATCTAAACACGAACAATGCTAAAAACACAATGCCTAACTAAAAATGTTAGAGGACCAACTCAACCAAAAGTTTAAGCTAATGGTTGAGGCACAAGAATATGTTTTATACTCTATCAAAACACATACATACACAAACAACTATTATGAATTATCAACTAGCTACTCAGCCAATCCAAGTAAATAAGCTAACATTTGATTGGTAAACAAGATCATATGTACAATACTCACATAGCTACCTTAATTAACTCACTCCGGAGTTTTCTATAAACATTTTATAACTACAATGTCAAGAAGGATTTTGCTACGTTTATAGGAATATTCTTTTATATTGTACTCCACTTTCACTATTATGCAAGTATTAATTAATGGGTAAATACAAATCTCTTTAAGAAAGTTAGTATGAAATTAAACCACAAAACATGAGCTAAGAACATTTGTCGTAGAAGAAGAATATGCCAAAGCGCAAATTAGCAAGGGTTGTAAAACTTGTAAGGTAGGGCAAAGAACTACTTGAACTTGCTTCGACAATAATTTTTTTTAGACAATAATTAAACTAAAAGTAATGCTATAAATAATCCTTACGACTACATAGAAGCTAGAGATGATTAACATCGGCTCGGCTTGAAAATAGAGCGGGTTTGGGCAAGCCTAAAAACGCAGTTTTAGTTAAAAAGCCCGAACTCAGCCCGAAAAGCCCGATAAAGCCACTACTTTTTACGGATTTGAGAATGAGAAATTATGGTAAAGTCTGGCCCGGCCCGATTTTTTATCGCCTCTAATATAAACATTAAATATACTCTTGTACCGTATAATTTTAGAAATTTACAACAAAAACAGCATAAAAATCACTTACATGTATTAAATTATTTCCATTTTCTTATTTTTTTCAGTTTTTGACATCCAACTTCCGAACATAATCTTTCGTCTTCCCAGCTCCAACCCTCCGACCAATTTAAACCGCCGTACACGGAGGAATCCGGCACTGTTTGGAGATGATCGTCTGTGTCGCAGTCGTCGGTCACCAGGTCTCATTCTCTCTCTTTCATTATACATCAAATTTGATGAATTTAATTAACTATATTTCTGTCTTTTTATTAATTTCTGGGCAAATTAAATTGACTATTAGGGTGATTTTGGCAGAATAATCCTCTCTACATTCAAAGTTTTACTGGTGTTGATGATAATGATGCACTCAAGCTTCATCACATTGTTCACTGCTCACTTGATTCTATTGACGAACGAGGTCCCTTTTGTCTTTACGATTTTGTTGATTTGATTTCTTAATTTGGATGATTTTTAGCTCATAATTTGCTTATTTGTTTATCTGGGTTGTGTTGAATGTTATTATGTTACTTGGACTCTTCAATTTAGATTTAGTACCCTTGTCGGATTGATCTAATCCGACGAGGGTTTTGAATATGGACAGTTGGACACTTCATTTAGGGCCAAAATCATGGAAATTTTTGACAGAGTACTCGAGCCGGACCCGAGTATGAGTAACATAGGTTGCAAGTAGGAAAATTTTAAGATTTTGGGTTTCATTTATGGATTGAACATAAAAAGTTGGATTTTAGAGTTGAGATTTGATTTGGTGGTTAGTTCTTTGTTGTAGCTGGCAAAACATTACCCTAGATTTGATAGGCATTTCCGAATGTAGGGACTTTAGGTTTCAGGTTTGGATTGCCTGATTGGAGCCAAGGTTATGTATGGTTTGTTGAAACTTGGATTTCAATCACAGATTTTGCTGTTGGAGTTAGCCGTTTCTGCGCCCTTTTAGTGTGTGAAACATTGCTGCTTGAATGTAGGAATTAGATGTTCGAGGTAATTATTATTTTTCTAGGAGATTTCAACATGAGACTCATCAGAATTTACAGTATATCTCTTGCTCTCTCATTCTTTTAAAATTTCTTGACTGAACATCTAACTATACACTAAATATTGCTTCCAACTACTATATGTTGGATTTGTTTTTATTTGATTACAAGTGAGAGCTACATTTCATAGAACAATACAAAGAAGGAAATAAAGAAGCCTTGGTTACTTCCATAGTCTGCCGAACAACAAAAACATAGAGGATTAGGATCTCATAAATTATCATAGCATGGATCTTTGTTGTTTAAATGATGTTTAAGCTTGAATAGCCTCCCTTGAATCAAAGCATTAGAAGCCATAGTAGGTTAACATATATAAATATATTGAATTTACCTTTTTTAGTTTCAAAAGTCACCCCTTTAAGTATGGATTATCATTTTATCATCCCACTCACGTTTAAAGAGTAACCAATATTTATTAACACCATAAATCGGAATTAGATTGTTGTCCTTTCAGTGTTATTGCAAATTGCACTCATATATTGGAAAGGTCACTTATGATAACCTTGAAAAGTTGCCCTTTGAATCGCTGGATTAGTTGGATTTTGAAGAAATGATGAGAGAGAGAGAGAGGGTACATGAATAAAGTAGAGGCACTAACAATGTGTATTAAAGCTTATACATCTACGGAGTATGTTACGCATTTAAATTAGTTTAGTTACAAGTTATTGGTCACAGAGTATGATACTCTATTACTTAGTATCGTCTTTTGTAAGAACAACCCTAATGCTTTTCATTTGGTCATCTAATATTCAAATGTACCTTTGGTTTCAATTGTTTGGTCTTTTGTCATGTTTATTCATTTAGCGTTAATCCTAAATTTCTTGTTCAAGTTGATTGAAGTTTTAATTGTGCTGATAAAATGCAGATAGCTTGATATTCACATTTATCCAGGTGTTCTGATGTCTTAGTGTATGAATAGAAGGGTGGATTTTTTTTTAATTTTTATATTCTTACTGTGGTTGACAGTGCCATAACCATTTGATGTATGGAGATAATTTAATCATGTTTCTGCCACTAATTGTGGAATTCATGCTTGACTAATTTATTGAGTTTATGTTATCTGACTTACTATTACATCTCAGTGAACAATCCCAAGAAATCTGGGCCTGTGCTGAATGAATCATTTTTAGGTCTGCTTTACCCAACTGAGAATTACAAAGTGTAGGCATCTTTCCTCTTGAGTTATGCCAAGATGGACTGTCAATTTGCTAATAATGTGGTTTTGGCAGCCGAAATAATGATACTGATGAAGTCAACCTTTTGTTGCTTGTAGGTATGGCTATTTGGCTAACACTAAGGTGAAGTTCATTTTGGTGACAACTGATTTAGAGGTCAGAGATGCTGATGTGAGAATTGTAAGTATAAGTATATGCAATAAGCTTGGAAACTTTGCCAAACAAAAGCCGTGCTTGAAGTTGCTTTACATTGTGCCTTTTGTCCATCATGTGGTGCATTATGTAAAGTCTCCTTTTTTCACTAGGAGTTCATTCGTAAATTTGTTGCACTTGGTGATAATTCTACTTGGTATAGGAATAATTGTGGGTTAGCATTGTAGAATACTGGATATTGCTAGCTTTGAGGACTTTCTAGTGTGTGCGGCTGAGTTGGTTAATCAATTTGGTGCTTGTGCATCTAGGAGTCATTATTTCATTTATCTACCCAAGGAAGCTGTGCTCTGTGATCTGTTATTGATTGTCAAGCTCAAGGTGTGTAGTTTCATTATGAAACAAAATCAAATGACCGGTTTAGTAGGTGGTGCTGGAGTTTTCAGCTTGTCTGCTCTCTATTCCATTGAAATCATCTCCTTGGATGACAAGCTACTATGATGATTTCATTGTGTATTATATGAGAGTATTTGTCCAATAAACTCAGTATGACTTAGTTTGGAGCTTTATAATGGATTTTGGTGCTTTCTCATTACAAAGGATCCTGGTGGATTCATTCAGTGAGTTGCACACTCGGCCACTTGTATATATGTAGTATTATATTTCTCACTTGGCCACTTGCACATATTATGTTTGTGTTTCCTGTTTTTATTCTTTTGAAACCATTTGTGTTTCCTGTTTTTTTTAGCTGATCATGTGTATTTTGGTTGAAAACAGTTCTTCAGGAAATTTCATGAAGCTTATGTGGATGCAGTTTCAAATCCTTTCCACGTACCCGGCAAAAAGATAACCTCTCGAACATTTGCTGAAAGTGTCAGCAATGTTGTCAAGTCATTTGGGTTAGGTTCAACTGGGTGAACATCTGCTCACTATTTTGGGGAATGAGTCGAATTACTTTCAGTTAGCAAAATATGAGATGGCTTAGTTTTGTATTAAAAGGACTGTAGCAATAAGGTACACACCATCATGCTGATAGCTTGAATTAGTGAGTGTGTTTATGTGAAGAAAGGCTAAGAGATAATCTTTGAGCATGTACTACGTATTCAGTTACAAGATCAATATCGATGTCATGTAGCATGTCGTATAACTTGATTAGCTTACTGGCTGTCTGGATGGTCTTCCTCTGCAGCTGAATTGAGACTTGTGCTGTTTGTACTTTGTATCTTCATATTCTAATTCAATTTTCATCGTGGAACTACAGATATTTCTGTGACTTATGCTACTTGGTCTCAAGATTTAGGTTACTATCCAATGTATAAAATCGTAAAGTTTTCTTTATTTATTTTGAGACATTCATGATAAACATAGTGTCCCAAACAATTGGCTCAATGAAACTGTAGTCCGTAGGCCAAGTAATGTCAGCTTGAGCCTAGCCAAATTAGACGGTAAACTAAACTACAGGCTACTGTAACTTCTAAATATATATTGATTCTGACTTATTAGTTATTTGTCCGTACCATAGTTTTTTTAGTTAGTATTTTCTTTTTTTAAAACATTATTGAAATAATCTCATTAAATTATCTTTTAAAATTTATACACGGAAAAAAAACCAGTCTAGTATGTGACTAAATACATTTTTAAAACCTGACACAATCATTCGAGTTGAGAAACCACAATTTTATTGGAAAAACAAGTCTTATTTTGGATCCTTAGGTTGGACTGTGGTCGGTCACCTTCTACCTTAGTTCTCACTGCCTCACTGGGTTTGAACTATTAAAAGCAACTAGGGGTGGCAATTCGGGTCAGTAGGTCGGCTTCGGATTATGCTTAGAAACTATCAAAAATAGTGTAAAACTTAATATTATTATGAAATATGAAATTTGGGTGTCGAATTCGGGTTGGTCGGGTCAGTTTGGGTTCGGATTTCTCTTAGTAACTTTGGGTCGGGTCAGAGATTGCCAGCTCTAAAAGCAACCCATATCTGTTATCCATACTGACCCGACCCAACCCAATCCAACCCAACTGACTTAAAATACAATATTATCCATTTATCCCCCAACAAGAATTCTATCCAACAATATAAAAACCATGAACCTCCCTCTTATTTCCTCTTTCTGTGACTCACTAATCAGTATAGCCTGTTAGTTATCCATGGCTTCATCCTCATCTCTTCTCAATTTTCTCTCTCCTCTTTTTCAGTCAATCACCTCACATCCTCCTCCTTCCAACCCCAAATTCCCCAACCTTAATCCTCTCTCCTCCCAATCAAACTCCCTTTCTCTCTCCTCCCCTAAACACCATGAAAATGCTGCAATTTCAAAGAATGAAGAAAACCCAGGTGATGTAATGGCGGTTGTATGCCCATCTCTTGCGTATTCAAACACCCTTTACTTCAGATCAGCTTATAATGTTCAGGTTTTAGTTGATGACAATGAACCTGAAGAAAGGCTTCTTAATCGATTTAGGAGAGAGGTTATGCGAGCTGGGGTTATTCAGGAGTGTAAACGACGTCGTTTCTTTGAGAATAAGCAGGATAAGGAGAAGCGTAAGCATCGTGAAGCTGCTAAGCGTAACAGTCGTCGAAGGTCCCTTCCTTTTTCTTCTATTTATCATGTTTATATACTATGATCTTTTTATAATTTGGTGTGGTTTTAATTTTGCTTTCTTTGCTTTGTGAAATTGTAAAATTTTTATGTTATTTGATATTGATTGGCTAAGTTAAGCATATGGTGTATAGGGACTTAAGGAGTCGCAGAGTTATAATGTAGACGGGATTTGATCTCGGGTATTTGTGTACACTTTCCATCCTTGTACCAAAAGACTTTAATTGACTAAGCTGAATTTGAGTAACAGACTAACAGGATAATAGGTCAATAGCTCATTCAGGAATTATGTATCGTCTAATATTATCTAATTATATATTGGATAAACAGGGGAAATTCTTAGAGTTTTGAAGCAAAATATTGTTAAGTACTCCGTAACTAAATGAAATGTCTTCATGTTCACTTTTTAATTGTGAATTTGCGGTGGCTGGAGTGCGTTTACTAATTTGTTTAACTTGCCTATACATTCCATGGGTGTGTTTAGCATCTATATTTAGCTACGTATCGTTGGGCTTAGGCTTTTCGTTACTGTAAATACAAGCATAGGAAAATTCGTATTCCCCATTACTTCACATTTACCATGCTGGTTGTAAACTGGTTATCTACAGACTACAGATTACATATTTTGCCTTGATTGATTGATCGATCATGAGGAACTTAGGAACTGATAGAGAGGCATTTTAGGGCTCTGGAGGACTAATGAGGGGCAATTCTGTGTGATTTCAGATTTTGCATATTGTGATTACTCTGATTAGTAACTTGAACTTCATCAAGCTTACTGCTTGAATTGTTGTAAAGGTTTGAAGTTTCCTGGGGTGTTTCTTCTTGTCTCTGCTTCTTGTGTATATATATGTGGTTCACTTTTTCACTCAAAATCTTCTGGTAACAGACGTGGTCCATTCCGAGCTCCATTCCAAGGCAAGGAAGAGGTGGGGAAGGTTGAGAAAAAAGAGGATGATGAAGATAACTGGGACATGCCGGAAGGAGATGCTCCATTCTAAGAGCATCTTGCATTTTGCTCACTTTCACTGACTTCTCTTGTGTCAGAGAGGTTTAGGTTCTGTGTAAGTTAGGCGTTTGTGCTTTCAGTAGCCAAATTTTCAACGTGTTTATAAAGGATTTATTGATAAATTTGTAGTATTATTCTGTAGATCCTTGTGTTTTGGTGGCTTATACTTCATTTACAATTGTATCAGAGAATTTGATGAGACCTCAGAACAGTTTTGGCTACAGAAGCCTGTAATTTTTACGAGTACTTATTAGTTGACCTGTTGTTTTGTAAGTTCAAAGCAGTTGCAGGACTTGCTGATCGAATTGGGGAAGGTAGAATGAAGGGTTTACGCTTTACAATCCACCATGTTTTCCTGTAGAGCTTTATTTTTGCAATTGTTTTGTACTCTCTAATTAACTATTTGATAAATTTACTAATTAAGGCTCAGAGCTTACAGTATAATCCAGATCATACCGCCCTTGGTAGTATTTTGTAATTTTGTTTACTGAAATGCATAAATTAACTATAACGAATCACCAGCTCAGACCAAACCCCTGTTTTCTCGAGGTACTTTCTCCTGAGGTACTTTCTCCTGAATTGATGAAGGTTAGGGAGTGTTTTGATATTTTTTCTCCCCAGTTGGGGCTGTGTTCAATATCTTCTCAATTTGGTTGCTTGATATATACTACGTCCGCTTCTTATTATGTGCAACAAAGGAATATTTTTTATCTCACAAATAATACCCTTTTGTTGCACATAATAAGAAACGGAGGTAGTACATTAACTAATCAAAACCACATAGTGGACAAGATCAGGTAGAACTGAGTTTAGTATTACAGATGAGGTAAAGCAATGCCAATCAATAAAATTGAATGTTATACATGTAATCAAGCAACAATAGATAAGAAAAAAATAATAATAATAACATACATACATGAGAGGCAATCAAAATTGCCTAGGGCACCTCCTATGTGGTTTGAATGGTTAAACCTCTGATACAAGATTACAGAATAGCATTTGTTGGAGCCAACTTCTTTTTTGTATTGGCAATTTGGCACTGGGATAATGCCTTGCACACTACTTGATATGTACCTCTTGCTATATAACCCAAGAATTCTGACGAGAATTGTATATCTTTAAATGGCATCTATCAACCAAATTCTATAAGCTTCTTCAATAAATTCCTACAGGTTGAAGTCAAAGCAAAATTCCCAATTTACTGTAATGTATTCCTTCCTTTTAGTGCTCAGACTGCTCACTACTCACCCTTACTAGGCTGATTATCTTCTTCTTCTGAATCATAAACGTCATCATTTCCACCAATTGTCGCATCCTGCCCTTGCTTTACCAAATTAATATCACCCCCAGATTTCCCTTTAGTTAGTGCTTGTACTTCCTCGTCATTAAATTCCTCTCCAACTCCATCTGAATAAGCATACCTGTAAAGAGAGAAGCACGATTTAGTGCTGTACGCTAGTAACAAAATCGCTAATGACCAAGAGCACAAAATCACAAATTATTCTTGATTCAATGTCAAAAACAAATATTCACAAATTCAGCTCAGCTGGCAGTTTCCAAGATGAGGAGGGGTGCTTCACAAGACACCTTAATGAATACAGTTCATCTTACCTTTGAGAACTCTGAGATGGAGCCCATAAATAGCAAATAATGCTTAACACTGCAAAACCCAGAATGTCCCAGAAAGCAGTGATAATCCAAGCACTCTGCCACCGCTCATTAAAAGGATCTGTAGCCTTGAAATACACCTGTAAGAGGCAAATTACCAGAATAATTATATTTGCAACAGGGCAGTAGCCACATCCCAAAAATCAACTAAGCAGAGAAATGATACTAAAAAAGCACTGATCTGTTCATTGTAAGGTCATCCCTTTTGTTACCCAAACTAAAACATGATCAATACTAACCTCTTTATTTTCTTTTCCGGTGATACTTAAATGCAAAAGACATCCAGAAAGCATCTTTTCACTTTTCTTTAGAGAGATCTACTTCTAACGCATATGAGTCATATCTAATGTTTTCCTTTTCTAGCCCTTGCCAGATACAGGTATATTTTTTACATATCCAATACATTATTTGCCCTATAATGGCCATGATAGATCTACAAACAAAACACAATTAGATAAGACTACTGCATCAGAATAGTGTGCTTTCAATATTATTGCATTGCTACTTGTACTACGTCCAAAAAATGAAAAATAAAATAAAACTAGTAGTTCTACATTACTCTTTTAGCAAGTGCTCATATTCCCTAAAGTTGAAAAAGTTACTCGGAATAGATCTCTCACAGACTTCTTCTATCTCCCTAGACTAGATACATGCATCTTTATCTCCCTAGAGGCCTAAATTCCACATATAAATAGATTTCAGAGGCCATAATATCATGCAGGCACCAGAAAATCTTCCTCATTTTATATACACTAATCAAGATACAGAACTTTATTGACCATATACCTTTTTATGTCTATTATTATAAACTTAAAACATACCTCATATACTATCCATGCGACAGAAGCAATCACTGAAACGGCCAATGCATTCGAGAACTTCCTGTAGATATCCAACTTCACAGAGCTTCGTTTCATCTGAAAACAAATTTCTAGTCTAATAAGAAACCATCACTTCCAGCAAGGCTTATTCTGACTAACCTAGAAAAATAAGGCAAAAAACCACAATTTACTGGAAGCAACCATAAAAGGAGGGAAATTTTTTAGCTGCATTTAGAGCTTCTATGCAGATTGTATGACAAGGGTAGCAAGAGTCTTGAGAAAGCATCAATTTAAGAGGGAAGAGGGGGGCAGATGTGGGCCATAGGAATGCAATATTGGTCCCTAATCTCAATCCAATGGAAATGAAATTGAGTCTATGCAATAGTTATGAGCTCACTCACCATATTAATCTTCCCTACTACTAACATAACAAACCAGATAAAAGCTTTATCCCACTAGAAGAAGCTGGCCACATGGATTCATAAACAAAAACCGAGCAACCAAAAAAAAAATAAAATAAATAATCATGCAAAAAACTGCAACAAACCTGTAGCTGTTCCAGAGTCTTTGAAAGAGAATTAAAAATCCACAAGATTAGAAAAGCATCCAGGAATGAATCAGGAAGGACAAGAAGTATTCTTGCTCTTCCTGATACATCATTAACAGTGCCCACATACTCTGTAATGTTTAGCAGTTCAGTTGCCAGGAAGTAAGTTGCCCCAATAACCAGCACCTTGTAGGTAAGACCACCAAGAGTAGGCCGCACCACACCATAACCCATTGATAATGAAAGAATAAGTAGACGTGAAAGTGTTCTTCTTGCAGCTCCAAGAGTTACAACCCAAGTTGTAAGTACAACAGGTCTAATGCCTGTGCTGTTGAAATTAGCATAATCAAGATACCAAAAGAACATTTCCAACAATCCAAGGACAACAACTGCTGTGATGCAATGTTGAAGTTGAAGTACTTCATTCCAGAATCTATAATACTGAAAAAACCATATTGAGCTGAGCACCAGGTAGGCGAGAGACATGAAAACATAGAATTTCATGGATGGGGCCATTCTACCAGGTAAGTAGCCATCAGGATTTTTCCACACGGTCTTCCCATTCATAACTAGTCCTTTCAACTCTGGGTCACAAGAAATGAAGAACAAGTTGTACATTCCTGTCTTTGTCACGTACACCTCTTGCCGACGCATCCTAGTTTTTAAAGAACGCCCTTTAAACTTCACATTTAAAATCACAGGCCAATTTTTATCTGTTGATGATCGTATTTTTAAGACTTCCCCTTGTTTACATCCTTCAAGTTTGGCAAGATCAGGGGTGCAGCAAATAGACCTCTGCCCACCGTAAGCAGAACCACCAATATCATCACGATCAGCTGCTTCAAAAATCACAATTTGCACAAGTCCAGAGCCATGTTCCGTGTTTGATTGTTTTTGAGCAGCTTCCTTACTTCTCCAGAATGTGATATTCTCAAATCTAAACAAAATGACTAATATCAGATGATTGTACAATTGTATTACACTACTACTAGCCAGTGAGAAGCTTCTTTATGCTTTTACAAAGAGACAAGAAATAAGCATAATAACTTTTTTTTTGGAGGTGGCAACAAAGATCAAATCAAGCAAAAGGCAAACAATATAAGTTCTGAAGCTCTTCATATTGGTGCAACATACATTGACACATACTCAAAGTTCTTCCCAAGCATGGTAAGTTTAAATTATAGCTTGATTTAAATTATTTATCAAGCATCACTCTCCGAACTCCTAAAGATAAAAACTTTGAAGGGGTTGTGGCTCTTGACCTCTTGTGGGAACTCTACCTTGGATAACTTGGTAGCCTGAATGACAAGCAAAAAGTTTCTAATTGTCATTCTTCTTTCAGTAGCATGGATATAAATCAATACTATTCACATCTTCCTTCCTCTAGATTGTAATTCCATCACATTTTTTTCATGGAAAGAGAAAGATAAGTCCTCTCCCTTTAGCTTGGCAGGAAGGAATTGATCAAATAAGAAGGAATAAAAAGTATCCCTTTCCTTACATTTGGTTTAAGTTTACGTATAGAAATACATTGACAGGAAGGCTTCATTATAATATTTAGGTTACATTTCCTTCCTCTATTAATAAACCAAATCTTCAAATGCTTGAAAAACTTTTCCAAACAATGCCAGTCTACTCCTCCTCTCCCCTTCCCTCCACCCATGTTTTCCGAACAACGATAATTTCCAATTCTTTGATACTCCGTATTAGCTAACCGAAAGAAGGATTTCACTCAAATCACTATCAAATCCTACAACAGGAAAGTTAACTCATTTCCTGCGATTCCCTACCCATTCCAATCAACATAGATAACCAAGCAAGCTGTAACAATCTCCACTCTTTAGCTAATAAATCAAATACTACCCAAGTTTGAACCTCATTGTCTACGTTCCTCCCATATAAAATAAAATAGCTTCATCTAGACGGAACGGTTCGATTCAATAGATTTATCTACCCCTTCTTTCAATACACAACACAATTTCCTATTGACATTTACACATTATACATTTTCCAAATTAAAGCAATAACATCACTAATATGCAATCAATAAGAATTGAATTCAAACAGCATAAACATAAACCAAGATCCAAACTTTAAACCCTAAAAATCAATCACAAACAAACCCAGTTCACAAAATAAAAAATTTAAGACAAACAATCAAAAGGGTATCCACAGATCGATGAAATGAGAGAGAAAAATACCGAATAAATGAGGTACCATCATTAAGAGAGTGAGAAACGACACGCGTAGAAATGGGAGAAGAAAAGGAAGAACGAGAAGCACGAATAGCTTCACTGCCACCAGCAAGAAGGTAAGAATTGCCGACTTCACTGAAAATTTGTCGGTCATAAGTGTGAATTGAAGCATTTGAGAATTGAAAATGTGAAGAAAATAGTATAGTTATTGTAAGTAGTAGTATGAAATTTGGGAGTTTTAGGAGAGAGAAAGAAAGGGGATGTTTAAGATCATGGATCCCGATTTCCATGGCGAAAGCTTGATGTGGGTTTGGTATGGTTTGATTTGGCCACCAAACTAAAAAATAAACTAGTTGTTCAGTGAGTGACTTGAGAAGTGAATGACTGAGAGAAGTGAGGTTGAGTAAGAAGTCAGGAACATATGTCTAGTGTCAATTTGTTAATTGGTGGTGGTTTGATGGATCTAGAAGGGAATTTTATTTTAAGGGTTTTAGGTGCACCCGAGATTATATAATTTCATAGGTAATTAATTTGACATTATATAAATAATATAATAAGTGCGTAGTATATCTTATAGCATACTCGACTACTCATATTAATGAGCACAACATAAATATAAATATAAACATAAATTAGATTTGTATCATTTGATTATATGATAGATTATCTAAATTCTTTATACATAATTGTTAAAAATGTACGCTTTAATTGAACATTTGGTGAGAATGGAGCTTTAAGTGAAGGAAAAAAGTGTTAATAGAACTTGTTAAAAACTTACCAATATGAGATTGATTTTTGTTAGAATAGAATTAACTTCAAATTTCTAGCAATGAATTGACACTAAAAAAATCTCTCTCAAAAAAAAAAAAAAAAAAAAAAAACTAATTTCAATGTACAACAAGATTAGAAGAGCGTCCCGGAAGATTTCGCCTTCTCACTGTGGTGTAGGAGTATATTGTAAGTGGTGTATAACGTTTAATGGATGCTTTGGTCAACTTGGATTGAGAGAGATCCTAATGACATTAGGTCATATGAGTATATGACTAATATGTGTTCTAATGACAATGACATATATTTTTGAATCATTTATAGTGTGTACAACTATATATTTGATTCACTTCCATTTTTAGTATACGAGTAATCGATTTATGTTATTTTATGGTATCAATTACATAAACTAAATATCACAAGTTCGTTGTTATATTAGTTGATAAAATTCCATCATCTTGTTGCAAAAATAATAAAAAAATAAAATAAAAATAAACTATCAATATCCCGTGTATTATCAAAGGCACATTAGGAATCTGTTATTTTCAGCTTAATTTCAGTTCAATTCACTTCAGTTAAGTTCAATTCGATTATGTTCAGTTTCTAATTTCCTTTTGTAAAATAATAATTCAATTAAATTCAACTTAGTTCAGTAAATAGGAACAAACCTTCGATAATCTCATTTCGACTTTTAGAAACCGGGGCGGATATCACTAATACGGACCATCCACCAAAAAGCCCCGTTACATTGGAGAATCAAATAGAATAAAGTAAAAAAGCAACGGTTGAAGAAGAGGCAAGCAAAGCAATGCCAATGCAAAGCCTACGTTTATACCGCCAAACCACCAACTTCCTTCGTCATCCCTCTTCTTCCGCCATGGTTGCACCTTCCTCATTTTCTCTCTCCTCCCCACATTGCAATTTCAACCCTAACCCTAAATTTCACAAACCCCAAATTATCAACATTTCCCAATCCCTTAATCTTCTTCGCACTTTCAAATCTTCCCCAAATTATTCCAATTCCAACCAATCTCCGATCGAAACTGACGAAGACCCACCACCGGAACCACCATTACAGCAACCAGACGAAGGTGGAGGAGGAGAAAACGATCTTCTGTCTTACCCATCGAAACGGTCATTTGGGGTTGCTACTGGAGAGATTTTTATTGGGATTGCTTCTCGTTTGATTAATTTTAGTGGGAAAATTAAGAATTTGGGGGAGAATACGACGGTTTTGATGGATGAAGAATCGACGATCTTGAGGGAAGTTTCCGGTGAGAAGTCGGAAAGTGGAGAGAGAATTGCGAAGGTGATTGAGGATTCATTGGAGCCTGAGGTTGTTTGGGAACAAAGAGAGAAGGATGTTGAAGAGGAAAAGCGATTGAAATTGGTGACTAGTCCTGGGTTTAGCTTCTCTGCTGCTGGGCTTTTGTTTCCCTATCATCTTGGAGTTGCTCAATTTCTTATTGAAAAGGGTTATATCAAGGTATTTTGTTGAATTCTTTCTCTTTCTATTTATCGTGTTTATTTTTTGTTTGATTGGTTATTTTCGAGGATGGTTCTTTATAACGATTCATGTTAGCCGACCCCAAATTGTTTTGGCTTTGTTTTTGTTTGATTTCTTGTTTACTGACCAAACAATTGCTGGGCATTGTCTCTGTTTAGTGTTTGATTGGAATAATTGGATGTGGAGGAAGTTGAATTATGTGAATTTATAGCTAGGTCATTTGAAAAGATACCTTCACGGTGATGTCACTGATGTGTTGTTGGAATGTCATTGTTGATAAAATTAGTATCTGACTGTGACTCGAGCTCTCAAGGAGATTGCTCAGGAAAATAGATATGATGGAATTGAAGGGTTTTATTTGCCTTTAACTTGTATAGGCGTCTATGGCCGGTTTGATATAGGGAGGGAGGGAGGGAGGGGAGGGAGTAATAGTGTGAACAAATTCATGAAGATGTCAAGCATTGTTTTTTCTGTTAGGCAGTTACATGATAAATGATTGGTGGGCTGTTGAACACCTACGAATTTAGAGGATTGTTCATCATGGAGGTTTGGGGGTAGCAAGTCCACAGTATATATCTCAACATGTTAGACATTAGAGTCGTTGTGATAAAATAGAATTATATGTGCTGAAGCTTTCAAATGAGTTGCTATTGCTTAAATGCTTTTAAGCTTAGGTTGGGTACATGATTGTGTTTCAGAGATAAAAAGAATACCAAGTTTATGCATGCATTAAATGTTTCTGTAATTGAAGCCTGGGATTCATGTTCTAGAAGATATAAAAGGGGTCTGTTTACTTCATGAAAAGCATGTAGATTTATGAGCTTATTGTGTTTGTTTGTGAGTGCTTGTCACTAGGTGCTTTAGCTTATGTGTTCTAGGGGAAGTTTCTGTGATGTGATATATTGATATATTCCTTTTTCTACTATGATCTACTTATGGGAGTGGAGCAATGAACACCCTCCTCGACTTGGATTAGAAAGAAAAAAAACCACTACTGTCTAAGAACTATGCTAGTTTGAACTTGTACTGTTATTTGTATAGCTTTTGTGAAGAGTGTAAATCTAATTAGGGTAGGATTACTAGTTACAGATCAGTAACTGTTTGGTGAAAGATACTGAGATTTCACTCTATAAGATTGACTCTCCTAACTACTTTTTGGAATAGAGGATTATGGAATGTGGATGTCTTCCCCATATCTCTATTTGAAGAAGCAGCTTATCATTTAGGGTATTGAAAATAGCATAACCTTTCCTCCTTTTACACCAAAACACCATTTAACACCTTTTATCTATGTTGATCGAGAAATTGTTCTGGTAATAACTGGTGAAAGAAATGTGCAGAATTTTGGATTGTTGAATTCAATAATATTTTTTGAAACAATGCATCATTCATCTATCATATTCAATGGTCAATTACTTAAAAATCATAGAAGTCTGGACGTCTGGTTACCTGGTGTGCGTATTAACTGAAGCAGTATTTATTTCTTGATTTGGAAATTCTGCCTCCTTTTTAAATTAGTTTGCCACATATGATTTTGTTCATAATAGCTGACTAATTTAGACCAGAACTAAGTCAAATTATCTTTTGATTTATAATGTCAAATTAACATTTGTAGAAAAGCATTTTCATTTTGTTTACATTATTTAGTGTTATATATTTATGCAAACAATGGTCAAAGCTAAATTTTGATTTTAAAATTGGAGTACAATTTGTCCTCAGTCTAACACCGTCTTTATAAAGATTGAGGTTTATAATGTATCAAAGCATGGTTTCTGTCAACTACTGTCCCTCCACTATATGCTTTTGATTTTACTTCTGTGGTTGTTATGTACCGGATTCTTGTGACATGATTATATTAATTTAACACAATTAAGAGGTAAGCTTGAGCAACGTTACAAGGTTCGCGGTACGGAGCCACGAATCGCAATCTGATTCGTGCGAACCAGAACGCGGAACAAACGCGACCTGGGTCGCTGGTGGTCGCGAACCAGAACGCTGAAGGTGGCGACTCCTAGTTGTGGCTGAGCAAACACGGTTGTTCTTCCTCTGCAACCTTTAATGGCTTGTTTCCCGACATTTTCAATGCAGTTTTCTCTCTCTTTCTTCTTTCACGTGTATTTACTTATTTAATTTCTGAAGTTTTTGACTTTTTTCTCCCTCCTCTCTCCTGATTTACCTAGCAGTAACATTTTTTTTTTATATGTGCACACTAAGGGTGGCGGCTAGGGTTTTATTTTAATTGGTAAAAAGCTTAAAAGGCCTTAAACCTATATCTGTCTATCAACAACTTGGGCTTTTTTTAAATAAACAACTTGGGCTTTTTATTTTATTTACTTTTTTTTTAGCAATCCACTCACCTAGATATAAAAATCTATCTATAAAAATCACCTATATTATTTATTTATTAATTTACTCATTTCGTACCCAATTGTACCGGATTCACCACGGGTAGCGTTCCGCGTATTCGTTTCCGTACCACGTTTCGAATTGAATCCCGTCCCATGTAATGTTGAGCTTGAGTATTTGATTAATGAGCAACTGGATTACAAACTAACAGTGGATAGGCATAACTTTAGGCTATGAGTCTCTCAGTGACTTTAAGCCACAAATCTCTCAAATAACTTCACTCAATTTTCTGGATGATTACTACTGCTCCTAGATTACAATACTTATACTCAAGGCTTAGATAATACATGTGACATTACTTAACTAAAATGGAAACCCACAATGACCATGATTAAAGAAGGCTGCTTTCTTTCCTTAAATTTCTTTTAATTGCCCTTTTCCTGTTGCTCTTTGTTTACTGCTTCCTCTGATCTTGGCTGTCTAAACCCCTTGGACCCTTGCTGCTCTCCCTTTCTGTGCCTCGCATACACCAATATTGGTGGTTGACTTGAGGTGTTGACCTTGTTGACCCAGTTTATAACATCACTCCCCCCTTTGAGTTTCACCTTGTCCTCAAGGTGGAATGATGGGAAAGGCTGCTGAATGTCGTCATAGTCTTCCCATGTAGCTTCAAACTCGGCAGGTCTCTCCATTTGATTAACACTTCGAGTCTCGGAGTGGTCCTTTGCTGTCCCCGACACACTTCTAGGAGTTCTTCCGGCTCGACAATCAACTCCAAATCTGGGGACAATTGTTGTGGAATAAGATGTTGGCTGGAGAGGTTCCCCAAGGCACGTTTTAGTTGAGATACATGAAAAACCGGGTGAATTTTGCAATTGTCTGGCAATTGGAGCTTGTACGCCACACGTCCAATTTTTTCCTAACAACTCGAAGGGCCCATAGAACCTTGCTGCAAGTTTCTCAAAGGGTCTTCCTGCGAGGGATTTCTGGCGGTACGGGCGCAATTTTAGAAACACCTTTTCGCCCACCTCGAACTACTCCTCCTTCCTGCTCTTGTCGGCGTTGCCTTTCATGATTTGTTGAGCCCGATTGAGTTTCATCCGAAGCTCATCCGAAATTCCATCTCTTTCCTTCATCCCCTCTTCCAAGCCGCTGACCACCGTTTCATTAGCTCCTAAACGCCACAAGTTTGGAGGGTCCCTTCCATAAACGATTTTGAATGGAGCCATTTTGGTTGAAGAATGAGGAGACGTATTATAAGAATACTCTGCCCACGACAACCACTTAGCCAACGTTTGTGGTTGCTCTGCAATAAAACACCTAAGGTACGTCGGTTTGGGGGTGGTAGGCCGTGCTTCGCTTGAGGTGGGTACTTTGCAACCGGAAAAGTTCCCTCCAAAAGATACTCATAAAAACATGGTCCTTGTCGAAGACAATTGAAGAAGGGAAACCATGAAGCCGCACAACCTCCTTAACGAAATAGTCGGCCACCTTAAGGGCATTAAAAGGGTGTTTTAGCCCCATAAAGTGACCATATTTCGACAATCGATCAATCACCACTAGCATTGTGTCAACCCCTCGCGATCACGATAACCCCTCCACGAAATCCATGGAGATGTCTTCCCAAATTGCATCGGGAATCGGGAGCGGCTGGAGCAACCCGAGTGGGTTCTTAGCGGTGGATTTGCTTCGCTGGCATACTTCACACTCTCTAACAAATTTGTCGACCGCCTTTCGCATTCCGGCCCAAAACCAATCGATGGCTAGACGGAGGTACGTTTTGATCTCCCCGTTGTGGTCGCCCATTGGAGTACTGTGATACTCACTCAAGAGGAGGGGGATAAATTTAGAGTTACTGGCAGGACAACTCTATTCTTATAAAAGGCTCGGTCCCCTTACCTTCCTTATGGCCCAAAATAATGCTGCCTAACCATTTATTAGCTTCCAACTCTTTCTCCAATTCGGCCCAGTCCACGAATTGAGATTGGACCATGGCTTTTAATTCAGCCCTTCCCATTTCCTCTTCTTCTTCGCACCCTGCTTTCCCCTTGCGAGACAGAGCGTCAGCGACTCTGTTCGCGGCTCCGAGCTTGTAGTGGATTTCGAAGTCGAATCCTACGATTTTCTGAATCCACCTCTGGTATTCGCTCCCCACTTCATGTTGATGAATCAAAAACTTCAAACTTTGTTGGTCCGTTCGAATGTGGGCCTCAAGGCACCTTTCTTATGATGGGAGATTGGCTTTGGCTAGGTGGAAAAGCTCAACTCAAGGCCTCCCTTCCTTACGAACGACCTACCTAACAAGTAATGCCGCCATTTAGTCACCGCAATAGCTATGGCCATAAGTTTCTTTTCATAAATGGGCCTTCCTTGAGCTCGAACCCCCAAAACCTTGATGTAATAGGCAATTGGGCGCCCCTTTTGCATAATCACCGTCCCTAAACCAAAACCCGAGGCATCGGTTTCCGCAATGAATTTCTCCCTAAAGTCGGGCATGGCCAATATGGGTGCGGTAGTCATGGCTACCTTCAGCTTGAGTGGCTACCGCCGTCCAACCGTATGAATCCTTCTTTAATTGCGAAGTCAAAGGTTCCGCAATTTGAGCATAGTGATGCATAAACTTACGGTAATTTCCCGTAAGCCCCAAGAACCCCCGGAGTTCCTTGAGATTCTTCGGTATCCCCCATTCGATAACCGCCTTAATCTTATCTTGATACGTGGCAACACCTCTTTCGGAAATCACGTGGCCTAAATAAGCCACCTCCCCTTTGCCAAATTCGCATTTCTTCCAATTAGCATAGAGACTATGCTCTTCCAATTTTTGTAACACCAACTTGAGGGGTTCCCGATGTTCCTCAATTCCCTTACTATATATGAAGGTGTCGTAAAAAAAGACCAACACAAATTTCCTCAAGAACGGTCGAAACACATCGTTCATCAATGATTAGAACATTGTCGGCTCATTAGTAAGCCCAAAAGGCATCACTAGGAATTCATAGTGCCCCTCATGAGTACAGAACGCCGTTTTGTGTGTATCTTTCGGCCTAACCCGTATTTGATGATACCCCGATTTCAAATCTAGCTTGGAGAAAATTTTTGAACCGTGTAATTCATCTAGTAGCTCATCAATCACGGGAAACGGGTATTTGTTGGGGACGGTCTCCTTGTTCGCTTGATAATCCATGCAAAACCTCCACGACTCGTCCTTCTTCTTGACTAACAACATCGGGATCGAGAATGGGCTACTTGATGGGGTGATGATCCCTGCTCAAGCATTTCTTGGATCATCCTCTCAATTTCATCCTTCTAGGGCTTTACTAAAATTGGATCACAGCCCCCCTTTAAGAGAATAGAGTGTTCATGGCCTCTTTGTGGGGGAAGCCCACTAGGTAGTTCAAAAACTCCCTTGAATTGACCCAACATCTCACTCAAGAATTCAGGTGGGCCTAGCCCATCCTCTTCTAACTTGTTAATCTCCACCAAAATTCCTTGCCTCTCCTTTGACAGCACTCTCATCATGGCCTTCAAGGATACTTGAGCTTTTTCCAACGACGGATTGCCGGTGAGTGTTTTCGGTTTTCCCCCCACTGCAAACTTCATCACGTGGGTTCTCCAATTAGTGACCACCGAACCGAGTTTTTATAACCATTGAACCCCCGAGATCACCTCCGCATTGCCTAAGGCTAAAGGAAGGAAGTCCTCCGCTACCGTGACTCCCCCATTCAATTCCACCCTCACACCTTTACATACTCCATCACCTCGAACCGTGTCCCCGTTTCCCAAAGCCACCGAGAATTCCCCACCTTCCTCCACCCTAATGGCCGCATCTTCTACCACCTTGGTGGAAATAAAATTGTGGTTAGCCCCCGGGTCTACCATGACAACCACCTCTCTTCCTTGTACCATACCCTTCAATTTCATCATTTAGGATTAGATAATCCTACTACTAAACATAAGGACACCTCCACCGGTGGCGGTTCGTACACCACCAACTCTTCTTCATTCATGATTTCTTCCTCATCCGCTCCTTCACTCACGATTAAGATACTAAGCTCCTTCCGCTTGCACCTATGGCCCACACCCCACCTTTCGTCACACTTAAAACATAACCCTTTTGACCTCCTTTTCGCTAGCTCGGACTCGGTAAGTCGCCGTGTTCCTCCACTCAACCCTTGAGCTGGCCTGGATTGGTTCGGCCCACATTCACCGACCCTTGAGATTCAGGAGCTTTGGGCCACACCTTAGGCGGCCCACTATTGCTGGCAGCCCGTACGTCTGAACCAGCCCCCCTCTATCCATTATGGACCCACTTTGGGCTGAGCTCATGTTTGGAGGCCCACTACTAGTCCCTCCTTTCCAATTCATGATGGGCCTTTTACCTTGCTGCACCCTTTTTCGTTCTTGAGTTCTACTTGCAATTTCCATGGCCTTCTCTAAATTAGGGGGATGAAGCAGCCTTAGCTCAGCCTTAATCTCTTTGCTTAGGCCATTAATGAATTGGCCGAGCATCAAGCTTTCTGGGACATCTTCTAACGGTGCCACCAATTCAATGAAGCGCTCACGGTATTCCGCCACCGGACCGGAGAGACCGCCCGCCACTGTTCGTGCCAAGTTCCCACGTGGGATGGTCGGAATTCGTTTAAGATTCGATGCTTGAGGTCCGGCCAACCGTAAAACAGCCGCCTCTTCTGCTCCCACTAAAACCACGTGAGCGCGGCCCCGTCCATGGCGACCACCGATGCTTCCATCTTCTCTCTATCAGTTAAGTGATAAAATTCGAAGTACATTTCGGCTCAGGCGGTCCAGTTATCGGGGTCGTCCCCTTCGAAAATTGGCATCTCCAATTTTGTGTATTTCCAGTGACCTCCGCCGCCCCCTCCGCCGCCGTCACCACTTCCCTTCCAGCCACCGTGCCACCCTCCCGTGTTAGGGGGTGGCCAACCTTGTTCATCATACGGCCTCTCCCCCACTGGTGTTGGAATCCGCTCTCCGTCCCCGTGACTGTTCCCCTCTTCCTGTAAGCTGTTCTCGCCGTCGAGGTGTAACACCGGCTGGATGCTGGGTTGCCGCGGTTGACTCTGCTGCGCTGCTTTAAGGTCCCCTTGTAATTTTGTGATTTTGGCACGATCAATGGCCCCCTGAGTCTCCACATCGACACGGAAACGATCTATGTGGCCCTCTAGCCGAGTGGTGGCGGCCGTAAGGGCGTCCTCTATCTGTTTCCGGTCGTCCTCCATCTTCTTTCGTTCTTCCTCCATGGCTGCCTTCACTGCAGCTGCAACCACGCGCGTGAGGGAGTCTCCTTGCGGTTGGAGCTTTTCTTCGATGGCGGCTAATTAGTCGTTAGGCCGGTGAGAGCCTCTTCCACGGCTGCCAAGTGTTGTGGTGTTCCGGCCTCCATGATCGGTGCTCTGATACCAAGATGTTATGTACCGGATTCTTGTGACATATATTATATTAATTTAACACAATTAAGAGGTAAGCTTGAGTATTTGATTAAATGAGCAACTGGATTACAAACTAACAATGGATAGGCATAACTTTAGGCTATGAGTCTCTCAGTGACTTTAGGCCACAAATCTCTCAAATAACTTCACTCAATTTTCTGGATGATTACTACTGCTCCTAGATTACAATACTTGTACTCAAGGCTTAGATAATACATGTGACATTAATTAACTAAAATGGAAACCCACAATGACCATGATTAAAGGAGGCTGCTTTCTTTCCTTAAATTTCTTTTAATTGCCCTTTTCCTGTTGCTCTTTGTTTACTGCTTCCTCTGATCTTGGCTGTCTAAACCCCTTGGACCCTTGCTGCTCTCCCTTTCTGCGCCTCGTATACACCAATATTGGTGGTTGACTTGAGGTGTTGACCCCGTTGACCCAGTTCATAACAGTGGTTCTGGGCAGGCTCTAGTATATGCTCATATTTGGGCAGTTGCATTGTAGGACGGGAATATCTGTGTGTATTAACGTGCTTTCTGTCATTACTCATTATGCGTAACTTTGTACATCAATCTGATCAAATCATCTTTTGGAAATTGCTGCTTTGGCTTCTATTTTTCATTCAATAACTAGATGCTTTTTCCTTTATATTTGCTTAGAACAGGAAACAACTCCTTTAGCTGGTTCGTCAGCTGGTGCGATTGTTTGTGCAGTGATTGCCTCTGGAAGCAGCATGCAGGATGCTTTACTGGCTACCAAAATTTTGGCTGAAGATTGCCGGACAAATGGAACAGCATTTCGACTTGGGGTATACGCACTTCCTAAAATAAATGTATTAGGAGTATATTTTTAGTTCATTACAGGTTAAGTATCCTGTCCTATTACTGTTTCATTCCCTTTGAAGATGATTTGTGTTCAAGCAAATAAATTTTGATAACTAGGTTCTCGATAAAAAAAAAAAAGGGGGACTGTATATTGTGAAATTGAACTCAAATTGTTTGTGTTTTTAATTTCTGCTGATTCAAAGTCATTGATAGATTACCATTAATTGCAGTTGAAGTTTTTAATTATTTTATTAAAATTTTCTGTTTAGGCTGTTCTTAGAGATGTATTACAAAAGGTTCTTCCAGAAGATGCTTTTACCAGATGCAATGGGCGAGTGCGAGGTAAGAATGTACCTCCTGTCTATAGTTGTAAATTTTTACTTGGTTTTGTTTGTTTAGGCTGTGATTTGGTGAGGCAGTGTTGCCTCCTTTACTTTACTCACTCTTGTCAAGTAGGGATTGTACCTTGCCTTGATTTTCTCTTATCACCCCCACGTTTCTCGATTGAGCTCCTGGGGCCCTGGGCTTCTGATAACCTATTGAAAATATTTGACTGATTGGAAAACATAAAATTAATATGTAGGCATGTAGCTAGACTTCTGTCAGTAAGGTTGTAAGAAATATGACAAATTTGAAGTTTCACTCAAAGTTGAATTAGGGAACTTGGTCCATGTAGTGGAGTAGATATGCACGCTGTTCTAGATTTCTCTTATGTATTCCGAGCAGAAAACTTCTTGTAGTGTAGCCTTAGGATGCTGATGGTTTCCCCATCTCGGTGAAAATCTTGCTGTTTGTTAAGTCTGTTTGACTACTTACAAAATGGTTACCTCTATAATCAGTTTCTTTGTAATCCACAGTGGCTATAACACAAATTGTATGGAGACCAAGGGGGCTGCTGATAGATCAGTTTGACTCCAATGAAGATCTCATCAATGCATTGTTCACCTCTTCCTTTATTCCTGGGTAAGTAGCATGACATTTTCTCATAATCCTGATTCTCTGTCGGTTGGAATGCTAAACCGATCTGATATGGTTTCAGCTATCTTGCTCCAAGACCAGCAACTATGTTTAGGAACCGGCTTTGCATAGATGGAGGTTTGACACTATTCATGCCACCAACATCTGCACCTCAGACGGTATGCTTTTATGTGCTTTTTTTTCTGCTTGGTGTTTTGTTGTCCATGTGGTGATACTATTATGGCATGGCTGTTGCTTGTCATATTGTTGGGTAAATTTCCTTGGAAATGTAGTAGCAGAATCATGGATTGAGGAATGTTAGAATAATATATTGAAAATTTTGAATTGATGTATACTTGACAGTCAGTAAGGGCTGCTTTGAAGGAGTAACAATAATAGTGCTATTGTGATTTAATGATGGGGGGTATAAGTTATTATCTTTGGAATGTTAAGGAATAGAAGGATGGGAAAGCTGTTATGTGGGAATTTTAGGATGTAGGTGATTGTATGGGTGACTAGGAAATATGCTAATATATTGGCAGCAAACTTTTGACCCCTTAACTTCAGTCAAGGATTTTCTTGTTGGAAACTTGGAATAGGTTCATTGGAATTGCACTATAGCTAAGGAATTGTGTAGAATTGTTCTCCTGGCTCTCAAATTGAAGGATCTCTCTGTCAGGTTTTGGAACTGAGGGAACATAGTTTTTGCCTTGGGGATTTTGAGTAGATGCTACATTGTCATTGAGCCATGGCTAAACCACACAGGCTCCAATGCTACGTTGTCAATGTGCTCCTAGTTGAACTAGTGTTGTTGGGTTTGTATTCTACAGTTTCTGCCTATTTAGGAATTGGGCGCGTTGTTCTGAATCATACAAGCATATCGCTTAGTCTATAGGAGTTGTATCTTCTAATTTTAAGGTTGGGGGGTCAATCCCCAATAGGGGCACTCTGAGGGTGGGGGATGCCTTACCCGTTTCAATAGAGCAATTCTGACCTTTTTAAAAATATATATATTGATTTGCTTAAATATAATTAATCAGGTTCCCCTTTTTTATTTATTGGGTGACTGGCAGGTTCGTGTTTGTGCCTTCCCTGCTAGTAGTATACGAATGAAAGGCATTGGGATTAGTCCAGACTTAAACCCCGAGAGTAGGCTTACTATTCGACAGGTAAGCTTTTAAAGTTGTATACTTCTATGCTATTTTTAAGAGATAGGTCGAGCAAAAGGTCTAAGGTTTAATACAGTAGTTAGTACTTAGTAGGAGAACTGATTCAGTTAATGGTAATTGTTTGTAGCTTTTTAATTGGGCGCTTGAGCCAGCAGATGATTATGTGCTTGACAAGCTCTTTGAGTTTGGATACTCAGATGCCGCTGTTTGGGCAGAGGAGAACCCAGTGAATATGATACTTCAGGAAGAGAAACCCTGAGCGTAGTAGTTTTTTTTTTTTTTTTTTTTTTTTTTTTTTTTTTTTTTTTTTTTTTTTTTGACATCCCACAATTTTTTAACATGCTGCAACATGTATATTAATTGTTGGAGCATGATCCTCGATTTCTTATGTTTTCACTTGCTTAGTTGAAGAGAATTATTATAACAATTGTACGCACACATCAGACTTTTTAAATGTATATAATAGAAAATTACAGCCAATTTTATTTGAAGTGTTGTATCATTACTAGTCTGTTTAGTAGCATGGTTGCAGTTTAACTACGGGAAAGTTTAAATTAATAGTAGCTGTTATATAAATTAGAGCTTTATTGGTGACATTTATAACTTCAATTTAGTGACAAGACTGATATCATAGAATTGAAATCATGTTTGGAAGTCATATACTGATTGTCGGAGTGGGAGTACCATCCTAATAAAAAAACCTCCAAATAATTTCATGCACCCGGGGGTGCCGAGGATGTCTTGCACAGTTGCATGTTTAACTCACATGTGATGTGTCATGGCATTGAGTGATTTGAGTCATGCACAAGTTAATGTGCGTGCATGCGTGATGGCACCCACCGGTTTGGGAGCACCATTGATCGGTAAGGTCTTGACATGTTACAATTGAAGGGATTATATCAGAGTTTGTAATTGAAGGGACTATTTTTCTACCTCACTTTATCCCCAATTAAGCGCAGGGCTTTGCACATCACTTTCAACCCGAAAATCGAAAAATAGGGCTCTGCATCTCTCTCTTTTTTCCCTAAAAAATCAAAATGTAGGGTTCATGACTGTGATTATTCGAACAATGACATGGTTATTCACAGTATCATTTTAGAGATGTGAAGGTGAATAATGGACTTAACGTTGATGAATCAATGAGAAAGTTACTGGTATGTTTTGTCAAATTCTGACCAAATAGTAGAAAGAGTGGAGGGAATAAAGTTGTGTTTGAAAATTGACTACTTAAAGTTTATCTTAGGATGATATTTTTTTTTTTTTTGAAAGAATATCTTAGGATGATTATTATTTGTACTAATTATCAGTTTTGCTGTTGTCTTGAAATGTGTAAAAGTTAAACATGAATTGGGTTTTATCGTTATCGAGTAATTATATGGTTTAGTGTTAAGAATTTGTGTTCATGATCTCAAGGTTTATATGATCAAATTTATAACCAATGCACTTTATGGATGTGTTCCATTATTTATTGTATTTTTGATAAGCTTTAATTTGTTGAACACTTGACTTGATTTATTTTGTTGGAATATTGGTTGAACATTTTTTAAACGATGCCTATTTTTGTTGAGTACATTTATTTTTTAACTTGTATACGTATTATTTTATATTTATTTTAATATTTTAGGGGTAAAGCTATATTTTTGTTGAATTTTGAGGTAATTATTTGTTAGGGAAAAATTAGGCCTCCTAATCTTAAAAAACAGGACTTTCTTTTTTGGAGTGGGAAAATTGGGACATTTAATTGTGGAAAAAAGGGTTATTAATTACGACGTAATTAATTTATTTCATAATAGATCCATGACTCCATTAGGTCAATTTTAGCAAGTAGCAAATCTTTACTTTCATATTCATATTTAAAAACTCAAACTGGAAAAGACATGTCACTACTCACTATCCTATTCAACTTCTTTATCTTCTTTTCTGACTCCATATGCCACAAGCCGTCTTATGTTTTTCATTTTTTATTACCTTTATCTTTCTTAACTCTTTTATTAAACACTTCAATTCAACCTTTTCCTCTTCTCTCTTTAATTTTAGCCTCTCCATTTTTTTTCAAGCGTCATATTGAATTAAAGTCCCAAATATTTAATTTCTTTAATCATGTTTTCAGTTACGCATTACACCCTTTAATAATTTAGTGGTTTTTCCTCACTCGTCTCTCAATGCAACTTTCTATGAACAACCCGTGCATTGCACGGGCCATCAAGCTAATTATGATTTTTACAGTAGAGTATAATTATAATATAAGTTCACTACTTCACTCGAGTTTATTTATCTCTTTATCTTAATATTATTCTAAATTTATTTTATTAAATTTATAATAATAAATTAACAAAAAAAACTTTACAGCATTGACAGTCCATTAAACTTGGTTAGTGAAGCTAAAAGAAAGGTTGGACCAATAAGTGGCATCATCAACCCCTCTAATTTCCAATTCCACAAGCCACATTTACTCATTGATATTTTTCCTCATGAATCATGGACCCACCTTCCTTTTTAATTTTTTTGAAGTAATGTATTTCACTTTGTTAATTGCCTAGTAATCTACTAATTCTACTTTAAATTATTATTGAAATATTATGTATATGTTTAGGATTAATTTTGATTCTCTCCACCCCTAAAATTCATTATTGGGTCCCAAATCACACTTAAGTTCAACTTTTAATTATAGTTTTTCTCTCTCCAAAGTGATGAAAGTCTATTGGATTAGCTCGTGGACAATTTTAATTTTGTTATAAGTCTTTGTTTTATTTGTTTGTTTTTATACTATTTTCATATCATGGGAACTGTTAAGATTTCCTTTGAAAAGGGCTAATCTTGCCATATCTATTTACATTCACATGCAAAAGTGGTATAATTACACACTTGTGTTTGAATTATTTAAGTATTCTGCCCCAAAACTATTATTCTTAGATCCTCATATATTCTACACTAGTACTCTCAGTCATTTTTTTGGGTAAATAACTAAATATACCGAAATCGTAAGGATTTACTGAAAATACTAGTTAGTTTAGCTGATAAAATTAAGGATACATAAGATTATATCAAACTCGAAAGCCGAAACTTCTTCTAATGAAAAGGACCTCAATAACAATGACCAAGTTTGGTCCCTTAGGGAAATTATGCAAGCTAAGGAGAGATGAAGGGAGAGAAAGAACATGAACAAGAAAGAATTTAATTAGACTACTAAATTACGATCTAACCCTTGGTTATTGAGAGGTTTAATCTCTACATAAATTATGAAGTATTTCCTTCGTTCACAAATAATCTTTCTATATTCCTATTTTTAAAAAAATGTCAAAAAAAATTCTCATTACTAAAAATGAATAAGTTTTACACTCAACTCATGTGATGTGGATCATTCAACTAACTTTCACTTTTTTCACATTTTCATCTCATCTAGCTAACTTATTTAATATGTGTGTTTAAATCTAACGTGAACATTATTTGCCCGTGGATCTTTTTAGATATAGAGAATCATTCCAATTTGTATGCACTTGATTTTATTTAGTGAATAATTACCTAGTCAATAGAGGCACCGTTAATTTTTTCTTTCTTGAGAATGTGACTTGCAAAGTTGCAATAGTACCAAATTAAGTGCTATTATACTTTTGAATGTATAAGATGCTACCTATCTAAATGACTACATTTCACCTTTTGAAAAATTTGCCACAATATAGATTTTGTCTGTGGATCATATTCCTCAACTAAATTGATATTATCCACCATAAAATTGACCAAGTTAACATAAAACTTTAAACCTTTGATGATGAGATTTTAACCTATGGTCAAGCATTCAAATGATCACGCCTAAGAAAATGTGGCCCTCCAAATTATGAGCACTACTATTTTCACTCATTCTATACATAGTAGAAGTATAACATCATTCATTTGTCACATTTTATACTATCATTACTTATTTTGTACGAGTACCTTGAATTTGCTCACACTATCTTAAATTATAATACCCAAGAAAGCAAACACAAAAACATTCCTCCCCCTGTTTTCTGACAGTGACAGACAAGTCCCATCTTTTAGATCCCTTTACACCCATTCATGTTTATACCTATAACCGGATCGAAAGTAGAGATATGTGAAATTTTGTATACACGGGTGTATTGTATACAATATATGTAGTCAAGTCATACAATACAGGTTGTAATAAAAGTCGATTATGTATGTAAAGAGGTGCGTGACTTGCATACGTAAATAGACCTTTTATGCGTCTTTTGTATGTGAATTTAGTTATAACGGGATGTATTGTATATGACATACTTTGTAGAGTATTAAGAGTCTAACTTATAAAGGGGTGACTTTATCGTGATTTAACATGAATAAACCATTCATACGTATGTTGTGTGTGAGATCCGGTAGCGAAAAAGGAAGAATGTGTTACTTATAAAAATGACATATTTTTCATGAAATTAGAAATACAAAAAAGGCGCCGTTTTTGGATAGACTTTGTCGGAGGGTCCTCGGAGAAGCTTTTGACCCACCAAAGATCTCCCCAGAAATTGATCTTTGACAACTTTGAAATAGTGCTTAGTTTCCTAATTTCCCTCAAAATTTGGCACTTTGTATTTTTGTATAATAATATATAAATCTATTATCCTTAATCTTGAAATTATGGTGTAAAGTAAGTCTACTCTATAGTCGGCTTACTATTAAATTTACTAATCATATTATAGCATGTCACTATGCATCAATTAGCTTTTGCTTAGACTCTGCTTTTTCTTATTCCTCTTCACGTTACTCCCTTTTTGGTTTACTTTATGTTTTTTTTTTTTTATTTTAATTTTCATTTGGTTAACATGATAATTCAGATGAAGGCATGAAGTTACTTTTTGGATGATTTAAAATATTAAAAAAAACCTTAATTTTATGATAATATTCATACCAATTAGAGGGTGAATTTTCTTACCTAATCCTTTACGAGCGAGTAAGATTTCTTGCAAGAGTTTTTACTTTTTGTAGTCAACTATGAGAAGTATTTAATGTTTTGAGTAGTAGTAATATAATACCGGATCATGGATATGAATTATTGAAATTACCCGTGGTTTATACTTTGTAACCAACTAAATCATTCTTTACATGTTATGCATCCTTAATTTTATGATGTTACGATGATATAATTGATCTCTCTATAACCGGGGATACATTTGTACAGCGATACATTTTTATTTTAGAGCGATTGTTAAATACAGTATTTTTTAGTTGTTGTACTTGTTAATTTGTTATACATCTGAATATCTGTTATACATTCAAGAACTTCCTGTGCAACTTAATTCTCTTGTTTTAGTGAATTATAATACTGTAATTATCAAATTTACTCACTAAAAATCAGATACAAATTGTAAAAAGAATGTTGTTGCAGAGAAAAAGAAGGCAGCTTTTTTGAAAAAGCCTTTCAAATTCACCACCAAAAGGCTCCTTTTGCTTTGGCATAATAACATATGGAATTGTCATCATATTAACCACTCTCTCTCTCTTTCTCATTCTCTCTCCTCCCACGCTCAAGGCCCCTCTTTCAATCACGCCCACAACTAAACATTATTCTCACTTACCATTTTTCTACTCATATTAATCTTCTTCTTCACTCTACCAAAATTCCTAAACTAAATATTCTTCTTCTTTCAAACATGAAAATACCCTCCTTATACTTTTTCAATTTCTCTATTCTATGTATTACATTATCATTTACATTTACTTGTCGATCATCTCTTGCTAGTACTCCATTAACCGACGCCGAATCGTTGTTAGCCTTTAAGAAATCCATAGACAATGATCCTAGTAAAGTCTTTGAAACTTGGCAAATGAGCAAGAAAACTCCTCTCTGTACTTGGCAAGGTGTTAACTGCTCATCTGATGGTCGAGTTTCGCAACTCGACCTCAGTTGGCGTTTCCTTGAAGGGAATATCACATTTGATGCTTTAACATCTTTAGGCATGTTGGTGTCTTTAGACTTGTCTGGGAATTCTTTTGTTATTAACTCCTCTTCCCTCCTTCATCTTCCGCCTTCGATCGAGCAGCTCCTGCTGTCGTCGTCTGGCCTGCGGGGAGCTCTTCCTGTCAATTTACTCACGCTGTACCCAAATCTAAATACGGTCGATCTTTCGGGTAATAATCTGACTGGTTTACTGTCAAAAGATTTTCTGAGTTCAACCTCTAGCAGTAGTAGTATTAGTAAACTGCAGGTTCTTGACCTGTCTGCTAACAGAATTTCAGGGCCGCTTCCATTTTTCGAGGCCATTTCTGCTAATTCCTGCACTAATCTTCAGACTCTGAATGTGTCCATGAATCAGTTCAGTGGAAAAATTTCTCCCTTTTTAGGTAGTCTGCCAAGTATACAGGTAATCGACCTGTCTCATAACTATCTTGCAGATTCAATTCCTGCAGAAGTATGGCAGGCCTGTGGGTCCCTTACAGAGCTGCATATTGCCTACAACAATCTATCAGGTGCTGTTCCTGCTGGTTCTCTGTCATCCTGTAAGTGGCTTCAGATTCTGGACCTGTCAAACAACAACCTGTCAGGGCCATTCCCGGGACAGGCGTTGTCAGGACTGCAGTCTCTGGACACACTGGTGATGAGCAACAACGTGATTTCGGGTTCTTTTCCGGGGACTATATCGTCGTGTGCAGCGCTGAGGGTGGTGGACTTTAGCTCTAACAGGCTGTCTGGAGCGATCCCGCCTGATTTGTGTGCAGGAAATTCTTCTCTGGAGGAGCTTAGGCTGCCTGATAATCTTATAGCAGGCAGAATACCGCCAGAGTTGGCTAAATGCTCGAGTCTGAAGACGGTGGATTTTAGCTTGAATTATCTGAATGGGACTATTCCTGGGGAGATTAGTAAGATGGAAAATCTTGAACAGTTTTTTGCGTGGTATAATGGGTTGGAAGGCGAAATCCCACCAGAAATCGGGCAATGTAGTAAGCTGAAGGATCTTATACTGAATAATAATCGTCTAAGCGGAGAGATTCCGAAGGAGTTGTTCAATATCACTAACTTGGAGTGGGTTTCTCTGACATCAAATCAGCTCACAGGGCATATCCCAAAAGAATTTGGGCTATTGCAGAGGCTTGCTGTTTTGCAGCTTGGAAATAATTTCTTTACAGGAGAAATTCCTACAGAATTGGCAAACTGTAGGACTTTAGTTTGGCTTGATTTGAATAGCAATAATCTCACTGGTGAAATCCCACCTAGGCTAGGAAGACAGCCAGGAAGTCCCAAATTATATGGGATTTTATCAGGAAACACTTTGGTGTTTGTGAGGAATGTTGGCAATACTTGCAAAGGTGTTGGTGGGCTGCTCGAGTTTGCGGGGATTCGACCTGAGAGGCTGCTTCAAGTACCATCCCTGAAGAACTGTGATTTTACTAGATTGTACTCGGGGGCGATCCTGAGTTTGTTTACTCAGTATCAAACTTTGGAGTATCTTGATCTTTCTTATAACCAACTTCATGGGAAAATTCCTGATGAGTTAGGGGATATGGTGGCATTACAAGTGCTTGAGATTTCCCACAATCAGTTGTCAGGGGAAATTCCTGCAAGTCTTGGGAATCTGAAGAATATGGGTGTTTTTGATGCATCTTATAACAGGCTGCAGGGTGAAATTCCTGATTCATTTTCCAATCTGTCATTTTTGGTGCAAATCGATTTGTCGAATAATCAGTTGACAGGACAAATTCCGCAGAGAGGGCAGCTTAGTACACTTCCAGCTACTCAGTATGCAAATAATCCTGGCCTTTGTGGGGTGCCTTTGCCTGAATGCAAGGATGTAAATGCAGGGAGTACGCCGGTGGAGGATGATACAGGAAGAGATAAAGGGCGGTCATCTAAATCGTCGTTGACTAACAGCATTGTTATAGGATTGTTGGTTGCGATTGCAACTGTGTGCATTTTGATTGTGTCAGCTATTGCTATACGAGTGAAGAAGAAAGAAAAAGAGGATGCTAAGATGCTGCATAGTTTACAGGCAGCACATGCCGCGACAACATGGAAGATAGAAAAAGAGAGGGAACCATTGAGCATTAATGTGGCTACTTTTCAGAGGCAGCTAAGAAAGCTGAAGTTCTCTCAGCTTATTGAGGCTACTAATGGGTTTTCAGCGGCGAGTATGATAGGGCATGGAGGATTTGGGGAGGTCTTTAAGGCGACGTTGAAGGATGGATCAAGTGTTGCAATCAAGAAGTTGATAAGGCTTAGTCATCAAGGTGATAGGGAGTTTATGGCCGAGATGGAAACTCTAGGGAAGATCAAGCATAAGAATCTAGTCCCACTGTTAGGATACTGTAAGGTAGGAGAAGAGAGACTTCTTGTGTATGAATTTATGGAGTATGGTAGTTTGGAAGACATGCTTCATGGGAGAGAAAGAGGTAAAGATCGGAGGATCCTTACATGGGAAGAGAGGAAGAAAATAGCGCGAGGAGCAGCTAAGGGACTTTGCTTCCTTCACCACAACTGCATTCCACATATTATACACCGCGATATGAAGTCTAGCAATGTCCTGCTAGACCATGAAATGGAGTCTAGAGTGTCTGATTTTGGGATGGCAAGGCTCATAAGTGCCCTGGATACTCACTTGAGTGTTAGTTCATTGGCCGGGACTCCAGGGTATGTTCCACCCGAGTACTATCAGAGCTTCCGGTGCACTGCAAAAGGTGATGTCTACTCATTTGGGGTTGTCTTGCTAGAGCTCCTAACAGGGAAGAGGCCAACCGATAAGGAAGATTTCGGAGACACCAACTTGGTAGGATGGGTTAAGATGAAAGTCAGAGAAGGCAAAGGACCTGAAGTAATTGATTCAGAGTTGCTGTCAGTTACAAAGAAATCAATTGAGGCAGATGCAGAGGAAATGAAGGAGATGGTGAGATACCTCGACATCACGATGAGATGTGTCGATGATTTCCCTTCCAGAAGGCCTAATATGTTGCAGGTCGTCGCCTTGTTGAGGGAACTGGTGCCTGGTTCATCTAGTTCCAGCAATAGTAGCTAATAAAATTTATCAGAGTTCAGCATAAAAATTCTTCTGTTTGTTATGAAGAGTGTTTTTTGTATTCATATACTTGTATAAGCTTGCAAAATTCTCTCTAAGATTTTATCTCCTACTGCTTGATGATCATAAGTAAAAGTATAAAATGTGTTTGGATTGCTAGACTTAGATGATATAAGTCTGTAAATCATGCACTTGATTCCAAGGTGCGAAATCTGACAATGTATGTACATATAATGTAAGATCAACAGATGATGTTGTATAAAGAATGTCAATTACTTGATTAATTTCAACTCTTTTTGCTCCATTAAGCAGTAATTATAGAAGAAAATGTTATATTTACTTTGAGGTCCATTGTTATCATGTAACAAGACTAACATTCACAAATAGGAGTAAGTAATATGCAACACTAATATGAAGGTTTTCGGCTGCTGTGTAGTGCTCCCCTCCACGAACCGGGATTAACAAAAAAAATATAACGTTGGTGCAGGAAGCATTGGCGAGCAAAGGAGGCATGGTGTAGTTTTATTTGAGATAATGATTTGTCTTGGGTTAGGCTGCTAGGCACACATTGCTGTTATTTGGTTTTCAAATTAGACGGACTTTCCAAAACATCATCATGGAAAAGCTCGAGTAAATTCATAGGTAGGAAAGATTATTAGACCGTCTAATTCCACAATACTTACTACTTTGTTAGAAAAGGTACAACATCTGCATCCCTTATAATAGCATTATTCATAAGAATTTCCTAGAATTTTACGCGCTAATACATTTGGAGAGAGGTTTCATGGAAAGAATTGAAATTAGAAGTACATTTGAGGCTTTGAGCCAAGTTAATAATGTTTAAAGGCACTTTAAATTGATAGAGAGAATAGTGATAGTGATAGTGATAGTGATTAGTGAAACATAATGGGTTGAAGGCGTGGAAAGCCAAAGGGTCAAAATAAATCTATAAAAGAGTAAAAAGTTGATATAAAAAATCATTAAGGTAGGGTCACACCCTAGTTTTATCATTTTGATTGACAGCTTAACATCTTCACTAAGCTTCTTTTTACCTGGCTTAATTATTGGCCCAGTCAATAGCTACTAATATGATCATGTTACTAATCACGTATTTATCATACTATTAAAAAAAAAAAAATCACATTCTTCATTACTGTAAAAGCGTAAACTGTAATAATAATTAAAAAAAAAAAAAGTTGAGTAAGAACTAACACTACGAGTATGTTTTACAAATCTGTTGAAAGATAAATTATACTACCTCTGTAATTTTGGAGTATACTCTTTAACCTCTGTAAAAAAGTTGAATGTGATTTTTTTTTTTACAGAGGTGAAAGATAAAGATATTAAAGAGTATGTTTTACAAAAAGCATGGATAAATATAGTCTTTAATTTTGGAATTTTTTGACCTTTGTTCGTCCGGAAATAAAAATTGTCTAAATGTTAAATATAATTCCTAATACCCTCTTGTAGTCCAATTGGGTGGGTGGAACCATCCAATTTGCCTTACAACGATCAATTTACTCGTTTTAAACTTTTACCAATTTCGTGAACTGAAGCCTACCACGGACATTTTTGACAATATATAAAGGTTATATATGGTTCCAAACGTCATTATATGACCCTAATATGTATCCCATAGGGTCTCAAGACTTTTCGCCACCAGGCCCTATGACCTCAAAAAATCCTCAAAAAGTCTTCAATTTTGGAATTTTTTGACTTTTTTTCGTCTGAAAATAAAATTTCTCGAGATGTTTACCATGGTTCCTAATACACTCCGCTAGTGTAATTTAATGGGTGGAACCATCAAATTTGTATTAAAACGATCAATTTACCCGTTCCAAACTTGCACCGATTTCATGAACTTAAGCCTACCACAGACATTTTTGACAACATATAATGGTCATATATGGTTCCAAACTTCATTATACGACCCTACGATTTATCCTCTAGGGTCTCAAGACTTTTCTCCACTGGGCCCCGTAACCTCAAAAAATTCTCAAAAAGCGTGGATAAAGCCTTCAATTTTTGAATTTTTTGACCTTTTTTGGCCCGAAAATAAAAATTGTCGAGATTGTTACTGTGGTCCCTAATATCCTCCGGGAGTCCAATTGGGTGGGTGCAACCATCCAATTTGACTTAAAACGATCAATTTACTCGTTCCAAACTTGCACCGATTTCATGAACTAAAGCCTACCACACGGACATTTTTTACAACATATAATGGTCATATATGGTTCCAAACGTCATTATATGACCCTACGATGTATCCCCTAAGGTTTCAAGACTTTTCCCCACTGGGCCCCATAACCTCAAAAAATCCTCAAAAAACGTGGATAATAGTCTTCTATTTTGGAATTTTTTTTACCTTTTTTGGCCCGGAAATAAAAATTGTTGAGATATTTACAATGGTCCCTAATACCCTCCGGGAGTCCGATTGGGTAGGTGGAACCATCTAATTTGCCTTATAACGATCAATTTACCCGTTCCAAACTTGCACCAATTTCGTAAACTGAAGCCTACTACCATGGACATTTTTGACAACATATGATGGTCTTATATGGTTCCAAACATGATAATATGACCCTAAGATGTATCCCCTAGGGTATCAAGACTTTTCGCCACCTAGCCTCATAACCTAAAAAATTCCTCAAAAAGCCTTCAATTTGGAATTTTTTGACCTTTATTGGCCCGAAAATAAAAATTGCCGAGATTTTTGCCATGGTCCCTAATACCCTCCAAGAATACAATTGAGTGGGTGGAATTATCCAATTTGCCTTAAAACGATCAATTTACACGCTCCAAACTTGCACCGATTTAATGAATTGAAACCTAACACAGACATTTTTGACAACATATAATGGTCATACATGGTTCCAATCGTCATTATATGATCCTAACATGTATCTCCTAGGGTCTCAAAACTTTTCGCCACCAAACCCCGTGACCTCAAAAATTTTCAAAAAACGTGGATAATAACCTTCAATTTTGGAATTTTTTGACCTTTTTTGGCCCGGAAATAAAAATTGCTGAGATATTTACCATAGTCCCTAATACCCTCTAGAATTCCAATTGGGTGGGTGGAACCATCCAATTTGCCCTAAAACAATCAATTTACCCGTTCTAAACTTTCACCGATTTCCTGAACTAAAGCCAACCACGGACATTTTTTACGATATATAAAGCTCATATATAGTTCTTGTAGGCGTCGCTCGAAGTGCGCCTACGTTAAAAGCATGTGGTGAATATGCTTGGCACTCATAGGAAGTGGGGATTGACATAATACAATTAGGGACAAGGAAAGTAGGGAGCCGCCAACAAGTTTTTAAGGAACTTGTAAATCGTTCACGGATCATAAAAGGCAACCACGAACAAGGGACAACGAAGGCAACAACGATTGACCCGTGAAGGTTACACCCCATTCATAATCCATGAGATTACTAACTCCATATGGTTCGGAACCACAAAAGGAGGATCGGGGATGATGGTACGAAGTGAGTCATGGAGTCACATTCGCCCGTATTGGCCTCTACTCGATTCTTATATTGAAAAGCATTCCTGCGATCTCAAAGGCATACAAACAAAAATTCAATTTGCTCCAAACTATTATTATGCTAAATTGGTTTAAAATTAATGCAACACATAATTCTAAAATATTTGTGATCACTTGAATTAAACAACAAGATTAAAAAGGAACCTAAACCGGTTGTCCAAATTATCTTATTAGGCGTGATTTTCAATTACATATTCCCTTTAAACATGCAATATGGTGATCAATAAATAATAGAATAAACATTAATATTAAGACCAATTTAATCACGATTCCAACAACATAAAAATCGTTAGAAAAAAATAATAATAATAAAAAGAGCATGATCCTTACTTTGAATCTGTTTGCTTGCAACTACAAAATAATAAACGAGTTAGTAATTTCAAGGAAATAATAAAACAATAACTAAATTAAATTAAATAAAATAAGGTTGATTTTGGGGCCAAACCCTCAAACAATTCTACCTTTCACGCCTTGGCTTAAGGACAGAACCTCGAGTAAAATATGGACTCCTTTGAGTGCTTGAAGAAGGAATTTTGAAGTAAAAAGAGTAGGCTAGTGTTTAGGTTAATAGCATAGAAGAGAGAAAATAAGAATAACAAAATTCTGGTTGCCCCGTACATCAGAAATGAGGGGGCATTTATAAGGAAAATGTGCCGAGGGAGCACACGAAACCCTAAAATGATAAAAACCCTAAAAAAGTATCCCGTGACACGGTGACACGGTTAGACTGTACCGTGACACGGTACACTTCCCTGTGACACGGTACAATTTTGGAGTGACGCGGGAAATTTTCAGAAAAACGGAATAAAAAACGCGTTAAGGGTTTACGCGGAAAGGACACGGAACGTCCCATGTCACGGCAGACCTCCCGTGTCACGGGAAGTCCCACCGTCAGACGGGAAGGGTTCCCGTGACACGGTCAGACTGTACCGTGACACGGTCACTTCCAGTCCATTTTTCCGTCTAAATTCATTTTTAACCCTAATTTCTTTCGGCTTTTTTTAGTGCCGATTGATAATTTCGGGCTTTTTTCTGACTTTTATTATTCGGGCTAAAATAAGAAAATAATAAAATAAAAATAAATAAAATGTTTGGGCCAAAAATAAATAATAAAATAATAAAATAAAAAGGTTTGGGCTTAAAATTAATTAATAAGCTTGGGCTAAAACAACTATGCTTTTATCAAACATCAAGACTAATCCATGGACCTTTCAAAGGTATGAATTTAATAAAACACGATTTTTTAAGCACTCTCGGGATTAAATACTAAACCCGACCAATAGAGGCGGTGAAAGGTTATTTATCATCGGGTTTGGTTTTGGGGAGACATTTTTAGGTGTCTACAGAAGCCCCCACTTTGACTGAGTTTGTAGAAACGTTAGTTTCGAAAACGATAGTCAAAATAGCCGATAGGGACGGAGAATGATTTAAGACGTTCTGCGATCCTAAATCACTCTGTATACGCCGATACCTGCAGAAAAATGTTAGTTCTATAGATAAAAGAGTAAAGGGATAGAATGCTTATCTAACACCAGTGTATTGGTGGCAAATGAGCTTGGTAGCTTCCTAT